CTAGGCTACCAGGCTACACAATTAAGACCCATGCTCTTTTGGCGTTGTGTCGACCGCCGAGGGCCCACTCTAGTTTCCCATCAGGAGATTGCCATCTTCCTAGGATAGGCATTTCACTGGATTCGGGCTGTCTATTGATAGCCGCAGAGATCTTCAAGCATACGCTACAATGCTGGTATGATTCGATACTCGGACTGTTTGGTCGCCTCCGCCACGTCCTTGTAGACCGCCTTCAAGACCATCAGTTAGCAAGGCTCACAAGGCCAACAGGCTATCAGGCAATTCATACAATCCATTAGAGGCTCCAGCATATAATGCAGGTCGTCTCTTAACGGCCAGTATCATGCGGGTGAAAGCCTCCGTGCCCAATGGCCAAGTTCAGCCATCACAGCTTCAAAGATGGTTGGGGTATGATTAACCCAGCAGCGCTTCATCTTGGTCCAATGCAACCCATGGCAAATAGTCTCAAGATGTCATATGCACGTAAGTGTTTCAACACTGCCGACAGGGGCGGCGAAAACTCTCCGCGCGGCTCCAAATCGCAAATCTCGCGATGCAACCCTCCGCAACGGGGTCGGTCCCTGGGCAATGGAAGCAGGAGACTTGACTGGTCATGATCCATCGACCACGTTGCCGGTCTGCCTACTTTCCGGGAGATCGTCATCCCAATTTTGACAATTCCCATCCTGTGAGATATGTACTACACAGATACTCGCAGTCACTTTGATCAATTCGTTCGTCGTAGTGGCAATCTCTCGGCTAGCCTTGTCATCGCTTAGAGCCAGGACCCGAACTCGAAAGATGGACAATCTTCCAGACGTTACGGGGCAAGGCATGGCACGGAGCCCCAATATTTGTCGCGAACGCGTGACACTAAGGACTTCACCCCTTACAAACCTCCTATGAACTGCGTCACAACTTTCCCTGGTTTAGTTAAAGCAATTGGCCTTGACCTCGGAAGATCGAGAAGCCGTACCAGGAATTCTCACAAAACTGTCGTTCTGACATATCATTTGATGAGATCGAGAGCGCTGGGACATTCCGAAATTGTTACAGGCATTTCAGCAGCGACATTTTACCTGACCAGAATGGGAAATCCTGACGGGATGCGCAACCAATAGAGGGACCACCTAACCCCTTTGTGGTTCGCACAGAGCCAGCGCATCGCCAGACCTGGAAGATGGCCTACCTGGACATGCCACGACTATTGACCGCCTCCGACTTTCCTAACTTGCCAAGACTTACACTTACGGATTTGAGATAGTGAGAGCTCTTGCTGCAGTGAGAAAACCTGATTCCTTGCAAAGCCTCTCAGCCCCTATGGGCCGGCGACTATTTGCGTTCGCAGATCAGGTCGCAGTTGATTTCTAAGAATATAATCTGGCAAAACGGGGAAGGTTGACAGTCGATCCGCCACCCCGTATTGGAGCCTGCCTCCTTCAGGCACAGATATTTGCCCCACAGCCTTGTATGCGGCTGTGGAAGGCGAAACCGACTGCGGTACGCAACAGCATGATATCTAGTTCTCGGTAGAGGACGACCCTACATTGACCTCTAGACGGTGATCAACTCGTGTTCGTGTTTCCCGCCGACGGCTGCATACGCAGGGTTCGGGATGTGGGAGTATGAGATCTGCTTAGATGTCCTTGCCCTGGAAATACCAACCATCCATTCATCCCCTGGCGTGTGTGCGGTGTAAGAGCGTGACAGGCACCTTACATCGACCACGTTGACGACCAGTAAGGGCCAGGAAGCGACACGATTCTCCTCGCCATCATCCTCCACTAATGCCGGTCTGGCCTCACTCCGGAGTAATGACAGCCAAGGGAGCAGCCAATGCTGCCCTGGCATGCCGGCGTATAACCAGGTCCATTATGTCAATAGGAAATCCGCCTCTGCCCATGCGAGGCGGTAAATCAAAGTGTCATGCTACCAAACGAACATCGCCTTGAACTCCGGAGGAAGAGACGAAAGAAGGTTCCTCATTGGAGATCCGAGCAACCTGACCCAAGAGCCTGGATGCGCGCAAGCGCTACCCCTTTTCTCATGCTACTGTAGCCGCCTCGTCGTTCCTGCTTGAGGGTGCATTCGGGTCAGCTGGAAGGCGCACGCCAACCGGTCCCGATCTACTATGCTATATTGAACGGCCGTTATGATAATGGGGGCCCTTAATTCCGGCGGCAGGCACGGCACGCATCCAGCAGAGAGCCGGTAATCCTTGATCATATCTCATTGTCTCAGTTGGGAATCTCACCTGGGCTCGATACCGAGAAATAGTAGATTGAGGTTCGTTCATGAGTCTCTTCTTCGTCGAGAAAGGGGTATTCCTCAGTTTGAGCCACAGCACTATCTCGTGTTGTAATCATAAAAGAATACCAATTGAATTACTTCCAGCTGTGTTCCCCATCTTTACGAATTTGCAGGTCAAAGCGGCTCGTCCGGTTAATGTGGTTGGTTATCTATTTAGCACAGCATGCCGTCATAAGTTAGGTAACGCACACAGCTCGTTGGACCGTCACGGTCTCGAGTAGATGAGATTGAAGCTGACATCAGTTACACAATATACGCCACATCATCGCGATGTGCCTTGGCTCGGCACGGAGGGCTTGTATCAGGATAACGAGCCCAAGCGCGTGCCACAAGCAATATACGACATACGATGCATGTACATGTTGTCCCTGCAGGACTTGATTAAACTACAATGATTTCATGGTGACCATCTGGTGAGATCAAGAAACAGGGTCCTCGCGGAATGCTGACAGCACTATACGCAAGCATGGATCCTGAAGCTATCGGGACAGTAGGCTCTCCTGCTCCATGCACCGGACTGCAGTGTCGGGAACATCCACTCAATCACATTTGGAACCCGTGATACAACGTTGCTCCTTGGCTGATGTTTACCGAAAGTACACCCGTTCCGTTTCAGGAAGCTCGCCTTTGCCTACCCGGTCCGGACGCCACTGGGTTTCCGGCCACCGAAGCACGATGAACCGCTGCACACTTGACAGATCTTAGGCTCTTCAGGGGTCTCTTCATCGACAATTGAGCATACGCGACTTGGGTCTGAGTTCTTTGTTGCTATACCAGTGGGATAAAGCCATATTATCCGGATCAGGCGAGGGATTGTGGCACTGTGGATTTGTCCTTTGATGGAACTACTTAGAGGAAGACAACCATAAACACGAAGTATCTTCTCTCGAGGTTTTTAAAGAGATGGGTTGTTCATAGACGAGGAATCTCCATTCAAGAGTGTTGCGCGTTGATCATCATAAGGTTTTGCAGTCCATACACGTAGTATCGCAAGCTGGGTTCTTACTTCCTGCCAAATGTATTTATCTGGATCTAGACACTTCATCATCTAAGTTTGTTCATGTTTGATATGAACAAAATGTGGTAGTTCTCTGTGGTACTTAGTTGGCTTGGCTTCATGAGGGGGGGGGGGGGGGGGGGGGGGCATATATTCAGTTACCCTTCGATGCGTAGAGCACCTTGTCTTTGCAAGTTGATTGTATCTGGACGATTTCTGGAGACGAATTATGATATATGTAACTGATATGGATTCACCCCTGCCTCCTTGATTCAGCGACTAAACATGAACACTTGTTTGTTGCATACTACTGATGACAGAGACGGCGAGTTACGGAAAGTCGACAATGCCTCACATAGCATTGTTAGCATTGCAATGGTAATGTAAGACACCAAGGCTTTGTTATCTTGCCAGAGTGGACTGCATAAGAGTATAACTTGAACCTTGGGTTGTGCATCCCGTATTACATATTCCCAGGCATTTGAGTATATTAGTTCCTGATGTTCTCACGCGGAGCATCTTCTCTCGCCACTTAGTGCTCAGTACCAGACAGGTAAGTGCAGCCCGCAGAAATGACTGACCGCTCAGATCCCGCAAGGGATGATACGGCCGATCAACTCTGTGAATGTCACCGGCCAATTCGCCACCTGCCTGATAGCCATGAAGGAACGCAAGCCGCCTGTGAGCATATGGAACAATGGGACGATGTTCTTCTTGAGTTGCGGGAGCAGCTCATAGCCGCGGATCTGCACGCGGCACTCCTTGAGTCACACCATCCTGTATTGCGGCGACGCTGGAATTCAGATGCGCTCTGTAGTCTGCTGACAAGCATGCGTCTCTTAGAGATGTCGCACCCACACTCCTCGCGGTTATATGAGTTCGGGTATCGATGGTTCTTGGTTGCGGCTAGATACCTACCCCCTAGGGAAATTGCGAAGTTGGAAGAGAGCGTTGATATGGAGTTTGGACGAGCTGCTATTTTGAAGGAACTGATTCGGCAGGAAAGTTCGCCAGAGGAAGTCAGAACAGTGTAAGTATCTAAGCTCCTCCGTTGACTGCGGCAGAGAATACACCTGAGGCCGTTTTATGTGTCTTGAGGCGTTGCAATCGCCGAATTCTTTGTCATTCATAAGTTGGCTCAAGAGAACCCTTTGACCCAACAAAGGCAACACTGTATGCTGTGAAAGTTTTCCCCCATGTTGTTCAATGTAAAGCATGATTATGCAGATCTTTGTTGAAGGTTCGATGATGAAGAGCCAGTATATCGGACCGACGATCTGCGTATACCTATGCTTGCCCGGCTTGCACGGCCTCCACGCCGGCACGAGAGGTGAACACCATGGTCTCTATTGAAACAAGTCGACCACAAAGGAGATTTGGGGTAGCCAATCATGCCGTCCAATTCAATGTGGTTTACACGTCATCCGAATCCTAGGTTAGAGACATGGTCGAGTGAGACAGATGTTCCATATCTAGCGTGGTGTCAGGAGCCAATATCAACACACTACGCGCTGTTGCGTAAATTCAAATTGTGCCACGAAACACCCTCCATCCTCCGTCAGGAGATAATTGACAACAAGGAAATATGTGAATGCAGTGGTGCTCGAGCCGTCAAAACATCTACTAACACATCCGGGCAAGAAAGGGTGAGCCGTCACTCAAGCTTGGCTCGTTGCCTGTCCGAGCGAGCGCCATGTCGACCGAGATGTACAATGGCCGCCGCACGTCTGCGCTGTATTTTCAGTACCTGCCCGAGCTGCCGGCCCAGCCGGAGCCCCTGAGTGTGTTGGAAGTCATACTGAGCGCGTATCTGTCGGATTACGATGAGCACCAGACGGACGACCCCAACGACCCTGAACAGTTGTACATTGATCTTGCGCTGAACACGGCACTCTCGGCTTCGACCGACGCCAAGAATCGCTATGGCTACGCAGAACTCCGCGGGTTGTTCTTCAACATCACGCTGCATGCGCTGCTGTCGGACTACAAGGGCCCGGGACTCAGTTCAGGCGTAGAGAGGTCGCTGGATCGCTGGGCCGAGGTCTGCGTTCGGAGCATGACAATCCCGGAGCAGATGCGTTTCCTGCTCAGCTTGGAGCGCGAAGAGGGTGAGTCGAACGTATTCGCCTTTGTTGTCCCCTTCTGGTCAATGTTCCATGAACTCGGCCGGCGAACTGCGGACCCGATAACGCGGATATATCAAGAAACCCACTTACACTATGAATGACAGAATGGACAAGGGCAGAGACCGCGGAGGAGATTCGTGTGCAGTGGTGGATCTTCGAGGGGATGGGGCGGAGGATCAACGAGGCAGCCGACAGGCTTGCTGAGAGGATGCTTGAGGATGCTCGACGTCTATAGTATATTATGAACCCTTCTATATGCAGCCGGTATGTGCGTCTATGTATACGTCTAGACTTCTATCTTTAAGCAACTATTAATGCAAGGAGGCGGGCCGGTTTCCGCTGTCTTAGAGAAGTTCTACCCCTACACGGTGAACTCCTCGATCTGCCTCTCGATCTGTGCCATTGGATCCAGCTCCCTCGACTCCTTCTGCAGCTCGAGTGCCTTCTTCTTGAATTTCTCATCCCCGAGCACTCTCTCCACAGCATCTTTGACTTCCTCCACCACCGGCTCGGGAGTGCGGATCACCAGGCCGAGGCCAGAGTACTCGATGCGAGCCGCGACCTCGGCCTTCTCCTGGCCCAGCTCGCCGAGCACCACCATCGGCACCCCGTTGCCGACCGCATGGCTCGCGCCGCCGTAGCCGGCGTTGAAGATGAACACGTCCGCGTAGGGCAGCACGGCGTCGTATGGGAAGTAGTCCAAGACATGTGTGTTCACCGGGACGGGGAAGTCGTCGGGAAGTTTGCCGCCGCGCTGGCCGACGGCGACCACGACGATGACATCAGTGCGGTGCTGATGGGCTCGTATCGCCGGGAGCAGCGTCCGCTCTGGCGCGTGGTCGAGCGTCCCCTGCGCCACAAAGACGACCTGCTTCCCGGCCCCGGCGGCGCCTGTGACTTCGGGCCACCAGGAGGGGTACGCCAGATCGGGGCTTACTCCCTTTGGCGGCAGCGTGCCGATGAACCGAACCTTGGGGCTGCGAGTCGGATCCGGATATTCGAAGCTGGGCCCGCAAAGCTGGAGGAAGATATCAGAGGTCAGGCAGAAGTCGTCGAGGCGGAAGTTTTCGGGCCAGCTGGTGCAGCCTGTCTCCTTGAGGCGCTGGATGTGAGCGTCGCCCAGTGCCCGGTACGCGAAATTGTGGACAAGTTCCAGGATGTACTTGTTCCTGGCCCGCCCTGTCGGCGTGTCATCGAAAGGCAGGCCGGGTCCAGCGTAACCTGTAACCTCACTGTCGAATAGAATCGGGTTTATACCGAGACAGATGGTCTTGGGAAAGGATGTATAGCCCTCTGGCAAGGGTGATCCGAAATACTGTGGGAGTAGTCAGCAATTTGTCAACCGCAAATATTGATCAGTGCAACTCGTAGAACTCCCGGATAACATCGTCTGTGCTGTACACGCTATATCGTGCATGAGGTCAACTATGGGTATGATGAAGCCTTGGGCATGGCTGCAAGAGCAATCCAGAGTCATAAGCTTTGCAAGACTTCCCCCACTCAGAGAACCACGGGAAGAAGAATTGGTCATACAAGTCTCCGGTCCGGACTCCATGACCCGAAGGGTTATCACGGTGTAGAAGATAATGTGCTGAGTTTTCCATCGATCCACTTTATGGCACGGGAGCTCGAGGGATCTAGACAGTGCTGTCCGGCATGCATTGAATAAGAGGCACTTTGGATATAGCCTTTCGACCCAGGTACTGAGCGTACAAAAACAACTTACAAAGGAATGTACTGCCATGGCTCCAAACTCATGTATCACCAGAACTTGCCTCGCGGGGTCTCGGCGGTGAAGCATCTCGAGGGCCTTCCGGAGTTGTTGCGTGTGCCTAGGAATGCTAGCGACAAATATATGCTCGAAGGCGTGTGCCATCAGTTGGCATGGCACTGCAGTATCACGAGTCAGCAAACCATGTTCATCCCCCCAAGGTTCTGTTTAGCAAGGCATACAACTCTAAAATGCAGAATCCTTGCAAAATGCAGGAGGTAAAGGCTGAAGGGACTCACTCTTCACATTAAGCGCAGCAATTACAGCAGGACTGAAACATGAAAAATCGAAAGGCTCCAGCGGAGACCATTCGGCGCCGGCTCGCGTGATCTGATCTTGGAACTCGGGCGAAGAAAGGAACAGAGCCTCGAAGCCTTGCTTGATCAGGGTAGAAGCAACCCGCAGCAGCGGGTTGACATGACCCGCAGCTGGCGCTGCCACGAACACAAGCAATGGTCCTTTGCCAGCCATGGTGCAACGTGGTTTCGAAGTGAAGTTAAGAGTAGAACGTCTTGTTTCAGGAAGATCGGTAGTCTTGGTGGACCACGGTAGTTACAAGATTGCCGAGATCTACGGCAGCTTTATTCGAGCCGCAAGCACAAGGGCCTAGCTCGAGCTCGGTCCACCGGGTAGATTATACTCCTTTTCATCGTGGGTTCGTCATGGTGACTGACAAATGCAGTGTGGTCAACAGCTAGGCATGGGGGTGTGGCGGATCGTCATTGGACCGGTGACTATAGTGTCTTGTAGTTATCCACTTCGCTCTGTCTACTGCTGACAGGATCGGAAAAGGGACTAACCCACGCTTCCTGATTAGGTATAGACAGTTTATGGTCGGATCGCGAGATCCAATATTTTTAATTTTTACTCTGGTTATCGTGGTTTTTGTAGCCCGGCCTTATACCACATAACGCGCGCCGCTGAGTCACAGGGACTCGACTGCACAAGCAACCGGCTGCACGAGGGACCGAATTGCTATACGTAATCTATCATCAACGACGCATGGAGAGGTCGCACAGAGCAGCGTCTTGAATTACTATTCACTCCAACCAAAATGGACCCAAAGCTCGGTCAGGGACTGTCTTCTGATTGGATCTGATCCATAACTCAATTGTCTTGAAAATCACAGTCGAACGCCACCGAAGTGATTGCTGGACTTTAGTTGCCCTTAAGCAACCTCAATATGTGGTTGGGATATTTGCAGGGGACGATGCGTCTCCGCAGAGAAGAAACTGGTGTAGCTCGGCGCGCTTGAATGTCTGCTCTGGCTTTCTTAAGTCTGCTTGGAAGAGCACCGAGTCTTGGAAGGATGGAATGGGCACTTTTCCCTTCCCACGGAGTACAAACTGTCTGCATTGGTAATCTGACGCAGGATATCAAAAGATATGTCCAATGTCAACGCGAAGATGCCGGCCGCCTCTCTGACTGACAGCAGGGATTAACTGTGCTGTATCCACCCAAAGAGTGCCTCTCGGTGAAGCCTGTATCCTTAGGAACATGCCGTAGAAGGATGCAACATTTAGAACCAGGGCCCTTCGCTTCAAGGGGAACTAAGAGCATGTTCGAAACATCCGGCGCAGCTTTGCTCGCCAACCCGACTTAGCGGCGTCATATCGTGCTTTGACGACGTATCCAAAGCCGGTATGGGGAATTCAACGGCTTCGTGCCTTCGTTGATGAGCATCAACACAGCAGACTCTTCTAGATGGGTACCGACATGAAGGCGAGCGGTGCAGGTAGAGCCGGGTTGGTAGAGCGAACGCAAGTCGCCCTGTGGTCGCTTTCAGCATTCTTTGGTCTGCAACATTCAGCCAGTGCTTTGACAATCGGCTGGGGGTGTCTCTTGTGGCTTCTTGTGTGAAGCGGCTCGTAATGACCGTCTTCCTTGTCGCGGGGCGTAGATGGGGAACCGCTTCAGTCCACCACATGTCTTGCAGGTGATGACCAAGACGTCGGCCCACGGTTTCATGCCACCCTTGCTCTTATTCTCAACGACCGAGGTACAAGTCTCGCCTTCCACCATGAGGGTATCGCAATATCTGCAGACCTTCTGTTTCACGGCAGAGGTCAGGCGGATCTGGGCCTTGAGGGAAGTGGACCGCATATCCGTGAGCAAACGGCGGGAAGCGGACTGCATGAGGATGGCATTTCCTGGCGACTTGGTCTTGTCTTCCTGTAGACCAGTGGTGAGCCCGTCGGCAGCGCCGGTGCACTGTGCAGGAGCTTGAATCTGCTCGCCCTGGCGTGTACCACTCAAGTACGAGGCTGCCTGGTAGAGGTAGGATATGCGAGAATAGAGCGGCCGATTGGGGACGTTGCCCGCCTGCTTTGGTTTGGCCATGGCGACCGGCGGAATGGGCCGTGTCAATGGGGTCTTGGATATCCAACAGACGGTCTGACGTGGGGGAGGTGAGACACGAAGCTGTCAAGGGAACTCTAGTTTGAGCTTCAGACTCACTGCACACTGTAAGTCGTGTCTGTGTGGGAGCTTGTGCTTGAGCTTGATCCAAACCAATCCCATCTCGTCCTGGCAGCCTGGCAGGCCTGGGTTGGTTGCCCAAGTGGAAAATCTGGGGAAGCACTGCCGGACTTCAGCCGCTAACTCACATTGTGGCGCCGGCCGGTGCACAGCCCCCCAAGATCCGCGGCCAGTCCGCATTGGGGGCTAGCGCAGCTGGCTCTGGCTGTCCCGTTGCATGCTGGTGGTCTTTTTGTGTGGCTGTCTGGGCTATCTGGGCTGTCTGTCTGGCACGTCTCTCCAGAGGGACTGCGCCGCACCACCACTTCTGCCACCTGTGCTCATTGCTCGTTGCCCGCTGCCCGTGCACTCACTGTGTGCCTGCCCACCTTTCTCTCTTTCCTTCCCTGCTAAACCCCCCCCAAACCCCCCCCCCCCCCCTGCTCCTGCCAGGTCCAGCTCGATTGAATCCGTCAGCCGCCCGCAACCCCCAACATCCAGTCACACATTTCTTCTCCTCAGCCTCGACCGACCGTCCGTCCTGCTTTGTCCCATCGATTAAATTCGCCAGAGGACAGCTCTCGACTCGACGCTGGTTGTCTGCATCGCCTCCCTCACTTCTACCTCCCATCTTCCTTCTTGTTTGTTCGTGTTGTCGCGCACCTCGGCGGCATCCTGATCGAGAACGCCAAAGTCGCAAACGCGCCAGACGTCACAGCTTACTCTCTGGACACGACACCCAGTCCGCTACTAATCTCACTCGACCAACAACACCGTCGCCACCACAACCACCACCGCCATCATGTCTGCCGAAGAGGATCTCATCGACTACTCCGACGAGGAGCTGGCACCCAACGATGCCGCCCCCGCCAACGGCAAGAAGGCTGATGCCGCCGCTGCCGGCAACAACGTCGACAAGAAGGGCTCCTACGTCGGCATCCACTCCACTGGTTTCCGTGATTTCCTCCTGAAGCCCGAGATCCTGCGCGCTATCACCGACTGCGGTTTCGAGCATCCTTCGGAGGGTTAGTCTACCACAAGTCTCACTTTCAAAGCTACACCGGTCAAGTCCACATGTCCATCCCTCCCTCCTTCTTCAAGCGTCCGTCCATCTCGCAAGCAAAGCAAACCACATCGCATCGCAAGCCAGAAAAAAAAAGAGCCATTTCAGAGTCGATGGGAGAAGGAAGCGCGCGCAACGCGACCCAGGCTTGGGGACCCGACCGGCCTACCGGTCGCTACGGAAAACGTGCCACTCTGACGGCACTGTTTCGTGCCATTGCACAAGACAATCAAGTATCGTCAGCTTTGCGGGACCGCGATATACGCGACTCCTCGTCTGATCTGGCATCGGCGGCGGTGATTTACTCACTTGCCCCGTCATGGCGTTTGTCATGAATACGCCAAGGCCCTCCCTGCCATGTCTAGATCTATAGACGTCGCCTGGTCCGTTGGCAGCCCTGCCTTCGGAAGCATCTATGAGGATGGGGGAGAGGCGGCCTGACATGCAAAGCAACGTCATGGATTGCCATTTGTGGAGAGGCTGGCCGCCACGGGGTGGAATGATAACTGAAGAACAACACCTGCCACGGCTATGCTGCGATGATGGGCGGACCCTTGTCGATGTCCCATTCCGTTCACATCCTCCGCTTACCAACTCTTGGGAACCTTTGTCTAACAAAACGTCGCTACCTGCAGTTCAACAGACTTGTATCCCTCAGGCTTTGCTCGGAGGTGACATCATCTGTCAGGCCAAGTCTGGTCTCGGAAAGACGGCCGTCTTCGTCCTGACCACCTTGCAGCAAGTCGAGCCCGTCGCTGGCGAGTGCTCTGTCTTGGTTATGTGCCACACTCGTGAGTTGGCTTTCCAGATTCGCAACGAGTACAACCGCTTCAGCAAGTACATGCCCGACATCAAGACTGGTGTCTTCTACGGTGGTACTCCCATCGCCAAGGATGCCGAGATCCTCAAGAACAAGGACACCCACCCTCACATCATTGTCGGGACCCCAGGTCGTCTGCAAGCCCTTATCAGGGACAAGTATCTGCGCCTCGGCAGCGTCCGCATCTTCGTCCTCGACGAGTGTGACAAGATGTTGGACCAGATTGGTAAGTCGAGAGAGCAGTCCTAACAGCCATACGACCCAAGCTAATCGTGTGGGCAGACATGCGCCGTGACGTTCAGGAGATCTTCCGCGCCACCCCGCAGCAGAAGCAGGTTATGATGTTCAGCGCCACTCTCTCGGATGAGGTCAAGCCTATCTGCAAGAAGTTCATGCAGAACCCCACTGAGCACTACGTCGATGAAGACACCAAGTTGACCCTCCACGGTCTGCAGCAGTACTACATCAAGCTCAGTGAGGCTGAGAAGAACCGCAAGCTCAACGAGCTTCTCGATGAGCTTCAGTTCAACCAGGTCATCATCTTCGTCAAGAGCACACTGCGTGCCACCGAGCTTGACAAGCTTCTGCGCGAGTGTAACTTCCCCTCCATCGCCGTCCACTCTGGCGTGAGCCAGGAGGAGCGTATCAAGCGCTACAAGGAGTTCAAGGAGTTCAACAAGCGTATCTGCGTTGCAACTGATGTGTTCGGCCGTGGTATTGATATTGAGCGTATCAACCTGGCCATCAACTACGATCTGTCTGCCGATGCCGATTCCTACCTTCACCGTGTTGGTCGTGCCGGTCGTTTCGGAACCAAGGGTCTGGCCATCTCTTTCGTCAGCAGCGACCAGGACCAGGACGTGCTCAAGGCGATTGAGAAGCGTTTCGAAGTCGCTCTTCCGTAAGCTCACTCATTATCTTCAGCATATGAAACGAATACTAATGCCATGTCTAGTGAGTTCCCTAAGGAAGGTATCGATGCCAGCACCTATATGGCTTCGTAAGCCGACTGCGTATAATGTGTCTCGATGTCACTATCAGACCCACCTTAGGATGTGGATGTGGCTGGATGGGTTTCCTAGATTATAGGCAAAGAAAATTTTCCGAAAAAATAAGGTGGTCTGGGAATATTGCGGTTTCTGTATGATAAAAAAGGCTTTGCTTTCGATATGGAGGCGAGTACGTTCCAAGGCACCAACAGAGGACACGCTGGATGAATATCTTTTGGCTTCAACGCTCATGACCAGCTCGCGTGCTTTGCTTAATGCCTCATGTGTTCCGTCTCAAGCCAACTCATGCGTACTTTGACCACTTGTTGTCCTACAGACTAGACCAAATTCTGATTCATTGCTGAATTTAGCCGTCTAGTGGAATGCGACGAAAACCTGCCCAGCTCGTATGTCTTCCTCTACGTGCCTGCTCTACATGTTAATCGGCCTTGAAGCAGTGTAGTCTTTTGACTGCGTCTGTAGTCGAGCTTTTCTAATTGTGTGCCATGATCATCAGCCGAGTTCACCTTTGTTATCCTTGCTAGTATAGGCGAAGGAGGTATTCCGACAGTCCATTGAACCACGCCCACATGGGACAAGGTCAGACAGACACAGACTCCTCCACACGGCGCAAGTGCAACCAGCCCCGGGCTTTCTTTGCGGGCTGTCCTTTGGGGTCTGTTGAAATCCAGAAGGGTGTATATCATCGGATGTGTACAATCACCTGCAGCTCTCAAGAACGATGTCAACCAGGATGTCTCATGGTCTGCCTGGTACGGCTCGTACCGCTCACTGCGTGAGCCGATGAAATCCCACCAGAAGAAGTCTCTCCTTCTCTGTTCTTCGCCGCATACACGTGCTGTACTCTCGCTACAACCTGGGATGTGCAGACCGGTGTCTGGGCTGAGGGCATGTGAAGCATGACTGTAGTGCAATGTAATCTCATGAGGCTATCAAACCCGTGTGCTCTAGACAAATACACATCGTCGCCGTCTGGGTGGATATCGTCTGGGATCTTTTGAATCAAACTTAGACGTACATGATAAGATGGCAGTTCGTTAACGTTCTTCATATCTAGCCTCTATCGACTTGTGGACCTGTCGTGGTGGAAATGCTGCTTCCCGACTGATATCTCTCTGCTCGTTCTCGGTGTTCTGCCACCATCGAACCTCTAGTCTACCCAATGTATCAAATGATGGCACAAGTTCAGCCTACGACCTTGGCCGTTCCCTATAGCTGCTCATTTGGCCAGCACAGCTCGCAACGCCCCTGAGAACAACCCGATATGTGAATCACTCATCACTCACAGAGTCAAGGTTAGCGCCAAGGCCTGTTGTGGCCTTGGCCTTTGATCTGATCTTGACCATTCCCTTGACCTTTGGGACATTTTTTCGGGTCCCCTTTGAGCCAGGCATTGCCACCATCACTCTCGCCAGATGACTTCCAGCCTGCCCGCACCATCACAGGCAGACATCGTGACGATGTAACTCCAGCTTGGCCCTTCTTCCTTCGTCACCAAGAAAAGACTCAAGTTTCAACTTGGTCATCAGTCGCCTTCGAGCTCCGTTTCTCGGCAACCACGCCTCCCAGCTTTACTCACATGGTCACACCCAAAGCGTAAGACAGGGCAATGACACATAGGCCGCCCCTTCATGGTCATCTTTGCCGTCTCTTGCCGTCCTGCTCATCCCTCATCGATGATGAATCTTCCTCTGGAGGAGTCATCAGCTCAGATGGCTGGCTACCCGGACAGGCGGGCAGGCAAGCAAGCAAGCAATTAGTCAGTCGGGTGCCGAGTCTCTAGGCAAGTCTCTAGGCAAGCTGGAGACCAGCAGCCACCTCCCGGTCCCTAGGTACGGCTGAATGTCACGATATCTGCCCAAGCCCGGCAGCACCACTCTCTCTCCCACCGCTGGAGGTGGCCATCAACCCCGTCCGCCACATCCGGCATAAAGCATCCGTAGCCTCAAGCAGCCGCGGAAGTGCGGGGAATGGATGAGACGGGTTGTCAGCTGACGCGCTTCTGACATGTATCCCTGGGCTGCCATCCGAGCTAAGCAAGGGAAGGGAGGGACAGGGCGCTTCGGGCTCTGTCAGCATCGTGAGTGAGGGGTTCCATCCCGGGTGGGCGATGCGTTTCTAGCTGTGTCCATGGTGTTTCCAGCCAGGCACACAGGCAGGCAGGCAGGTGATTCATCATATTTTCACGCTGCTACATGTGCATCTTGGACGCTGCATGGTCACGTAGTGGGTCGGGGGAAGCAGTCATCCGTACGAAGCAACGGGTGTGGCGCGTGTGGAATCGCCTGCCTGGGTGCCCTGGAGGAAGTGGATGCTTGTCATCGCAGTATTGCATTCGACTTGTGCAATCCGCCGCTGAGAGTGACACATCTGGGGGCGGACAGGCACTTTTGGTATAGAGCACTATCTGGCTAATACCCACCGCCTATCTGGGAGGCACCGCTGTTCACGTCAGACGGCCATGGTGCCGATGGACGACGAACCTTGGCCCGCTATAGTAACTCTTCCTTCCAATATAGACCTGGTCATTAGGGTGTAAGAAAGCTGTGCAAGGTGTTCCAAGGGAATTTTCGTGTATGTTTGCGGATTCACGGCAAAAAGCAACCCTCGTTTCTGATATGCCAAGGCCTGTTGCTCTGTTGCCTAGCCCGCACCACCTTACTTACACACGTGCTGCAAGCAAGGTTAATCACACCAGATGCGACTAGAGTTTGGCCAGGGATCTACACGAGGCGTTGGCTGCCTATTCGAACTCCATCTCCCTCGTCAAGCGAAAATCAAAAGCTTCTAGAAGGTCTTGAGAGGATCTAGGGGAGCAGGAGGATCTGCCTGAACCCAAATTTAGGGGCACCGGAGAGCAGGATTCTATTCTACTACTGTAGTACCTACTGGCAACCCCGTGCGTTCATCTCCGTAGGATCGCGGATAGTATCCACACCTGTGGCACAGCCCGAGGAAGCAATGATGCCAACGCCGAAGGATCGCCTGGCTGCAATGCTTCTTGTGTTCATGCTGCTTGCTGTGCTGTGCTGTGCTGCCTGGCGCGCTGAAAGTCGCCCGCGATCCTGCCGAGCTTTGGTGGGCAGGTGTCGCCGCTATCGCCAACCCGCCGCATCCGGCGCCAAACCTGGCCGAATCATGTTGCGAATCCAGGAGGAGTCCGATGTTGGTCTACATGCTTTGTTTGGAATATGTCATCAATATCGAGGCAGGTGTGAGTGGCCGGTGGAGATGTGTGTTCCCAAAACATTATGGACGAAGCTTTGGTCTCGCCGAGTGAGAGGGGCTACCACAGTTTGTACTGTCTTGTGGTTCACATCTCGTGTGCAACGGAGCTGACGATAATTCGTCACTAAGTTCGTTGGTTCCGGTCTACTGCAATACTGTCGGCGACCACGGGCACTGTTACAGAAGACTCCACAAACTTGTGTGAATTGAACGACCTTGTTCATAATGCAACGGGGAAACGCACTGCATCGTCAGTCAGGTGCATGATGATGTTGATGGCAGTGCTTGCTCGAAAAGTTATTTTGCGTATTTAGCTCACGGCGACGGCGAGAGCGATATGGGCCGCCGTCATGGCAAAGACCGCGCGAGCCCTTCGGCAACTGGTCGCAAGTGTCGCGTCCCCTAGCCATAACCCAAGTCGAACGAGGCGTGTGACCCGGAACCGACCCAGGACCATCTGCGTTCTAGACAGCACCATTCACGATAGTTCACACCTTCGTAAGAATGTCTCGGACTTTCCTGGCCCTTTCTCCAATGACATGCGTGATAAAGTGGTTTGACCATCAACCCCGCTATGGCTGGCTGTGCTGCACTTACTCATGCTGACCTGGTTGAGCTCGGCTGCCTCATTGGATGGGGGCTGGGTTTGGGGACGGGCTTGGCGGGCTAGAAAGGGGAATGTGTAAGCAATTCGTTCCGGGAACACTGGGTGAGTTCCATGATCAGCTCTCGTGACTGCTCTTCGGGGAGGCTTTTGCATTACACTGCTCGCTAGTGCTGTCTACTAAAGGGATTCTTCTCTGGAATCTTAGGGCCCCCGACTACTGAGCTTTTCGCTGCTGAAGGCCTCGGTTGGCGTTCAGTAATGGCGTTCAGCGCTGTGAAGCCTATGAGGTCTAACCGCCGGTCGAGCGCAGTGACTCAGTAAGGTAACTCTTCTGCGGCCGCAATACTGGCGCGTGCACTCTCACTAGCGCCGGGGACGGTTGTATACTAGAAACCCGCGCGGCAACAAGTTTGATGGACCGGATGCTCTCGTCAACCCGTGAGTGTCACAGAGGGACGAGTCAATCTTCCCCGTGATGTCGATGACCACCGAGGCTGGCCGTCTGGGTCATGTTTGCTGGCAGAAAATTCCTACCAAGCTCGTGAACGGTAGTTGTCATGCCACAATCATACCGAACCGCCTCGACACTGTCTGACAAGCATGCCACCATCTCAACTACTTGCGTCAGGCAGAATGAATGAGCCATAGTGCCTTTATGCCTAGACGCCGGTGCTTGTCACGCTCCTTGACGCCAACACCCAAGGCTTACTTCCAGCAGACACTCCGGCTTCGCTAGGGTCAGCCTGTGTTTGACAAGGCGTGATAGCTGAACCTCCCGTTGTATCGAATTCAACATGAGATGAGGGCGGCGTTGAGTCATAGTCGTGGGGACAGGCAAGATTTTGGGCAGTGATCATTAGAGGCCGGGTGTTGATTGGCTGTCATTTGATTAGCTTGCACAGGTTAGCGCATATTGGTCATAGCCACGGCTGCAACCCTGAAGGCCAGCCTGCCCGCGATATGAGCCTGCCTGGGGGACCGATGAGAGTCCGCCTTGGTACAGTTGCTTGCAATATGCCCTGTTTTAGAGGATGTCGACTTCAACTGTGATCGCCGTGGCTGATACGCGGGGTTGCAGAAGGCTGCTTAGATGCTTATTGCTCGTCTTGGGGGCCTAAGACAAGCGCCTTGCCGAGACAAAAGGTGCGATACTCTATCTGGCAGCACTGCTCAACACCTTCAATAATAACCCGATATGGGTTACTCTGCATAAAGGTGGGATCATGGTAGAATGATGGTTAAATCAAGATAACTAGCCATTTAGTCGAGTACCTCTCCTTCACACACATATATGCGTATGTACATACCCAGAGGCTGGTTGCCGCGGCGGACATGTTCATCGGTCTATAGCCTGCATGCAGAGTACCATAGCAACGCAGTTTCACAATCACTTAGTTGCCATGAACGAGGCACGAAACCTCCACAGCACCCAGAAGCAATGGGATATTTGGCTGTCATCTTAATGGTTCTGTAGAGTGAGAGTACAGTAACTTGAGGAGAGGCGACCGGGCAGGTCAGTGGCTAGCACCATTAGCCAAACGCCTAACACCAAAGCGCGAGGCAATTCGTCACGCAACTGCAATACTATGTATGATCCGTCTCATGGAGGCAAGAAGATGGTCTCGCTGGAAATGATGAGTTGCAAGATCGCTTCATTCGTCGGCCCGGGAAGGGTGAAAGGGACGAATGGCGCTGGAAGGGTTTGCCGGCTTCTGAGGCAGTACGGCGACCGGTAGGGTCGGTACGTGCAGTTCTGGTATCGCTAACGACAAGGCTATCAGAAGGCTACGGCGAATGAGAGCGGTACCCAGCCGGGGATCGAGTGGGCTCTAGGAAGCAGAGCCAGTGGGAATGGCAGTGTTTCTCTGCAAACCACCCGAAGTCTTTGCTGTTGTTGTACAAGCTACTCGATCGTGATGCGGTGAGCAAGGTCGCATCACTCACTCTGTCCCTCGACTTTTCGCACATCTCGATTCCGAACGGCCAAATTCTATGCTCCATCGGGACTCGTGCAGTTTGCGCTTTGAATAGCATATGGGGGAGTGATACCTACTTGGGCGCACTCAATCAATCAATGCGTCCTCCAGGGGCTTATCACAGCATGATCGACTTTTGGTACAGTGTCATATCCAAATATATCGTTCGCAGACTGCGCAAATTGCCGTGCGTTTGCGGTCCTTGCCAGAATAGTACCCCTAAAACACGCAATGCCTACGACTACTAGATTTAGCAACGGGCAGCTTAAGCCATGAAACAACCCCATCACTTCCGAGTCGCGGAAGCTGCGCAGCTATTACGTTAGCCAGAAGGATTGGATCTACGCTTTTTTGCTCTCCTTGATGCAATAGCACGACTTCTGGCATGCTGCTTTCTATGATTTGCCGAAAAGAGATTGCGCTTTAACTAATGGCGAAGTAAGTGTATTGCGTCTGCTTGCTTCCGTGGCGTGGCCAGAACGATAAGCTGCTGTGTAAGTAATGTACAGTACACTCCCAACGACAAGCTGACGCAATGCTGGGCGCATTCGTAAATAGTGGGTTACTCCGCGGACGGTTGTGGAGATGGGACCCATAGCGTACTTTTGGTCCAATTGCCTCGTTGGCTGGGGCTGTGTGCGTTGCCGATTAGGGACGCGCAGTACAATCCCGTAGCTATGGCTGTTCATCTCCACGATTGGGGCGTAGATGGTGATTGCGACACGCAGTGCTTGACCCTTCACCCTGAACAATGCATCCAGGAGATACTCTCAACAACGCATGGGCTGCGGACGTAGAGGGCGAGACATTGGGCAGTGTTCATCAACAAACTCAGCATGGCCAAATCGTGCAGGCCTGCAGACAGGCCTGCCGAAATCCCGTAAGACGAGGAGCCCTCAGCATGGTAGTGTAATGGCAGGCAATGCAACTCAACAGACCCAGACAAGGCGTTCGGGGATAGCCTCACAGTTTGCCGTTGGACAACACGAGAATACTGCTGGCTTGGCACGGCTGATTAGAAACGATCGAGACGGACGAGCAGATCGAAGCACAGAAAATTCGCCATCTGGATGCGTCCAGACCACCCAGCTCAAAGCCAACTTGGCCGTGGCGCTGGCGCCGGTCAGTAGATGTGGTTGGTGGTGTGGCCAAAAGATGAGAACAGTCATCCAATCCCTCCGCCTGTTCCTTTCCCTGTGCTGTGGCGACACAACAGGACCGGCACATCTTGGGGGGCATTTGACAGCTGGCAAATTAATTAGATCACGGCTCATGAGAGTTGAATTTGGCAATACGACTTTTGGCGCGCGCAGAGGACGGGTAAGTAGTAACTACCCGTGGACCTGTCGTATCGTATAGCGACAGACGGACTCTCTGAATCAGCTTTTGCTTTCTTGCACGTACCCGCCTGCCTGCCTGATTGCTGATGATTTGATTACTGCTGCTGCTGCTTCCTTCTTCTTCTGCTTCTTCTTCTTCACCGCAAATAAAAGGGTGCAGAAACGATGACTCTTTTCGCTCACTTTCTGCAACCCCCCCAGTGCCAGTCAAAGTGTACCGATTCTGCCAGCCATTCCCCCATTCTGCGCTTGTGGTCGCAATGGCCGCTGGGTAGTGCAGCATTCTGCATGGCACTAGGCCACATTCTGGCAGCACGCTGGCAAGGGTGATTGCGCGGTGGCAGTGGGACCCTCCCTTGAAGATGACACAGTTGGCTCGCGGCAGCCAGTGGCAGCGAGACCACGACGCGGCCACCAGGCCCAACTCGGCGCTGCCCATGCACGGTGATTCGTACCTTTGGGGGAAGTGGCTCTAGAGACGCCCCAGCCCCGTGCTTAGGGGTCGACTCCCTGGGCGCCCACCCACCTGGCCGTGGCGGCGGCCAATCAAGGTTCCGGCCACGCTGGACAGCCTGCTGGCCGCACGCCCCCCCGAGTCTTGCACAGCGGCCCAACCCCGTTTTTGCGCGCTCTGTGGTAGGCTGGGACCTGTGTCCCCCTGGTCGTCGCTAACGTGTGGCTACTCCAAGCCAAGTCCTGCTGCTCTGGCTTCGCTGTCTGTCGTCCCTCAGATCTCGCGCCCAGCCCAGCAAATCCCATCGATGCCCCCCCCATCCTGCCCATCGACGGTCCCATCGTTGCCGGAAAGTGTCTGCTATTCAAAACTCGTTTGTACCCCAGCCGTGTCGCCCCCCCGTTTCTCCTCTCTATCGAACAAAGCCGCCGCGATGTTCGATTTCAAGATCTAGAGTGCAGACGGCGACTTGTCCAAAGTCTGCTTCACTAGAGTGCGACGTACAGTATTCTGGCTTTGCTTGATCTTTTCTTCCCCGGAACCGTCTCTCTTCGTCCACAACAGCGTCTCCTTCGCCTAGTGTGTTTGCTGCACTGTTAGTTGGAGGTTCCTCCTCTCCGTGTCAGCTACTACCACAGCCTGTGCTCTTTTGGTCTACGGTGGCATTCACTTGTTCTCTTGCGACAAAGACACAGCGCCGCTGTCGACTCATCCGCCCTCCTTTCGAGCACCAACACGAACAGCCGCTGGCTCTCCGTGTTACTCAAAGGACCACCACGTCTTCCCGTTCCCGGCCAAGCCTTCGAGAGTCTACGCCGCCCGTTTCTACCTAGAACCTCTTCTAATTATCAGTCATTCCGCTTCTCCGTCCTTTGTTCACTTGCCACAGCTTGAAACTCGACTCCGCAGGCTTCCACGGCGTGTGACAGTCATTTCCTGTGGACACCTGGTAGGCACCTGGTCTGGTCTTCTTCCCCCCGGTCCCCGGTCTCTCCGTCTCTCTTCTCTGGCTCTCCGTTCTCGCCTCCCTCCAGCCAAGACCGCCTGGCAACCTGGACCTGGCCCCCCTGGCCCCATTAAACCTCAGCCCAAGCCCAGCGGGATTTGTCGGTTAGGTAGCCTTCGCCACCCAGCGAAGAGTCATAGTCATCCACAGGACAGCTAGAGGCCACCCTGCCACACCATACTCACACGACTTCGATTTCGGACCTTGCCTGGCGTTGCCCCCCTACGTACAGGCCACCACGCGACGACTCACACCCAGGCCCATCTCCGCTCAGTCATTCGCCTCATCGCCGGCTCTGTTATAAGAGTCCTCCTCCGGTCCCTCCCCCGACCACCTAGCCGGCTTATATGCTTGCACAGGCAGCATAGTGGTTGCAGTCTTCCCGTACCTTGCATGACCTCACCCTAGACGCTGCTGCCCTTCACCCCAGTGCGCCGACTCTCCGACTCCGCCAACCACTACCACTACCACGAGATATCGCGACTCCGCAACCACTTGCACGGCCACTTGCACCTCACCCGTGACGCACATGGTTTGGTAGAGTATAGCTCGATGCCCATCTAGCTGCCTCTCCACTCCAGTCACTCCTCCCATGTTTCTCTAATTGGAACATACCACCACATCATGATTCTTGCGAACTCTCCACTCACCACTCCAGTCGCCCGTCTTGCTTCGTCCTCCGGTCTGATCGTTCGTGAAAAGTCGGTTTTCGCATAAAACCTGCTTGCCTCTTCGACTCTTGTTTCAGTTTTGCAAAAGCCCTGCGCGCCTTTGCGAAGCTCTCCTCGACGATTAGAATTCACGACCTGCTCAACGTTCACGATCTACCGGTAGACTCTGCTTGACGGCGACTGGAGGTAATTCTTATTGGGATATACCCTCCGAAACCTACTCCAAGATGATGTGCAGCGATAATGACTCGCTGGCCTTCATCAAGTCACAATACAATGGTCCCTACAACTCCTCATTAGCCTCCTCGGCATCATCCTCATCCGCCTCGGTTTGGTCTGATGCCTCTTCGCAACATTCCGACGATACCTCTATTTCCGCCTTCACTACCGACTCGTCGGATCCATGCGGCGCCACTTCCTTCCGCTCACAGCGATCCGAGGTTTGCGATCAGTCGACCTCGGCCACCTCGTGGGCAAAGCAAGCGCCTCAGCTCTCGGTCGAGGTTCCACGGGAACTTCGACAAAACCCAAGACGCACGTCGTCTAGTGTGACTGCCAGGACTGGTTGCCCACCTGCCTTGACGCGCCAAAGTGACCGCAAGGTCAACTTTGTCGACAACCTCGTCGGTAAGCTTTGACAGATGTATCCTTTGCCATGGGGCACGCGCTCAACCTCACCTTTAGATTCGTCAACACAGATCGTGGAAGCGATTTGGCCTCTCTCGTCGGTGGTTTACCGTGTCGAACTTGGCAACAAGGCTGTGCTTCCGCTGCGCACTTTCATCCAGGAAACGCTGCGTCGCTCCCGCACGAGCTACTCCACCCTGCAAGTTGCACTCTATTATCTTATACTAATTAAGCCTCATGTTCCCAAGCATGACTTTACTATGGAACAGCCTGACGAAATCCATGCCAGCAGAGTGCTGCAGTGTGGGCGTCGTATGTTCCTGGCTGCTTTGATCTTGGCATCCAAGTACCTGCAGGATCGCAACTACTCTGCACGGGCTTGGAGCAAGATTTCCGGACTCGCTACGCAAGAAATCAACCAGAACGAAATGGCTTTTCTGCTGGCAGTCAACTGGAAGTTACATATCACAGACGAAGTCTTTCGTCGTTGGGCAGACATCGTTCTGAAGTATACGCCTTCTCAGCCTCCGTCTCCGGGAGCCGCTTGCACCGCGGCCAATGAGCGTGAGATCCAAGATTGGAAGAATCTTATCCTAAAGTTGAATCCGGAATTGGACAACGTGGAAGATTTGATTCCTACGAGCCCTTCGTCGAAGGCACTCCTGAAAGATTTCACTCCAATCTCGCCTCGCTCGCTATTGGCCACGTCAAAGGAGCGCCCTTGCGCCTTTGGATATGAATCTAATGAGGCAACCCCAACTCCCAAGAGCTACAACACGCCCACCATCATGGAGCCTTCCCCGGCCACTGTATATACTCCCGGCCGACTGGCCCCAGCTCTTGGGCTTCTACCGACACCTCGCCTTACTCCGCAGACACCGGGCTTCAGCACTCCTGCCGCGAATGCTGCGTCTTGTCTGCTCAGTGGCAAGGGCTCGATGGGTTTTGCTATGGCCCAGGCCTCGCATGTCAATGCCGCTCAGAACTTGGATCGGTGGCCCGGTTCCTTGTCTTCCTCACCGCTGAGCTACTACCAGCCAGCGCGTCGCTCGTCACTCGCCAATTCTGTTTCTACTGCGTCTTCCCCAGAGTCGATGATTTCGGACACCTCCCGCACATCACGCTCATCCTCAATCTCATCTGCTTCGTCGCTGGTCAGCGCGCCGTCAACCAAATTGGATGTACAGGCGCGATGCCGCTACGCGAAGCTTTGCAGTGAGAGGTATAGCTTGAGACCAGCCATCGCCTCTGTTCCAGAAGACTACGAAGAGAATTGCCTCACATCCTCGCCCGAGTCCTACACCGGCCCGGTGGGTAAGGACTTGATGGAGATGTCATTGGACACTCCTCTGGACTGCAGAGGACGTGAGAACGACGACGCTGCCGATGCTGCGCGTGCTCTACAGGAACTGCACAACTACCACGAAACTCAAACGAGCCGGACTAGCTCCAAGAGGAGCCGTCCAGTCTCGATGAACAATTCTCTGCAGGAGAACGTTCGAGACTTGCTCAGCAGCCACTACGCCGCCAGCGGTGAGTGGTCTAGCAAGCGTGTCTGCTACTCAAACGACGCCTCCACTGCGTATACTATTCCGTCCTTGCACCCAGCCATGGGAGGCTCTGGCGGACCTGGCATGTGGGAGGGCGTTCTCAACTAAGTGTTGGGCATGCCATCCTTGCTTGACCAACAACTACATTAAATCCCCATGTGTCGATAATTAAATATTTTCTTTTGTCACGAGCGGAAGATGGTGTGGGGTATGATACCACCTTGGAAAGTCTAGTTAATAGAGTGCCAGGGATCGGGCGAAAAGCGTGTTCTCTCGCATTTCCAGGATCTGCATTGGGTTGGCGGTTAGGGGATGACAAAGACAAGTGTACGATGAGTCAGCAAAGCCATAGTGATATTCGGAATCCGGTGTTTTGGGCCAACGTCAAGTTGTGAGACGGGGCGATATATTTGGACACCTGGTCGCAACAAAGGTGACGTACTCCGGACTCGAGGCGATCATCGGCCATGCGCGGTCTTCTGGGGGCAACATTATGCATCAACACGGAGTTTCTGCTTTCCAGCGAACAACGCTGTGCATGAGTTCAATCGTCGAGTCCATCGTGGGAACACGCTGACGGCGACTTGTCAAAGGCACAAAAGCACATGGTTTTTTACCTATCTGACCTGAAAAGGTGTTGCGCTACTTAGATCGAGGAAAGCTGAGCATGTCATGCTTGAGACCAGAAACACAACCTCGCAGATAGTACTTAATCTGAAAAAAACGGGCTTTGAGCTGGGAAGCCAGTATTCCATCACCACAACTGATCTTTGATAAGTCAGCCCTGAGTCGATGTGGCTAATGTTTTGCTTTTGTTGGCAGTGTTCGAGAAGTCGCATGGAATGCCGTCGCATCTCGAAACAACCCCGATCTGAAACGTGCTTTTCCCCCGAAGACGGTCACGTCGCCACAGGCGCCCAGTCCTCGGGTCGAATTTTCGCTTCGTTTGGCGGACAGCGGCCGGCTCGGTTGCCCCAGCACCCTAATTTGGCGACGGCCGGATGACTCACGACGGGTGGATTTGGAGGAGCTGTGACATCCAGACACCAGGACGCTCACTCACCCCCTTCGTCCCCTGTTCCCCACTCTATAGTGAGCAGGGGCTAATTATAGCCGCTTTAGGCATGTAGGTACGCTCAGGGTCGACCTGTTCACCGGATGAGCCAAGTCTGCAGTGAACTTTCACGATGATACATGCCCGCGACCCCGTCCGTTCGGATTTGGTGCCCCTAGCATCAAACTCCTCCAGGACCACACCAGTGATGTCGTCAAGGACCTTGTGAGTGTGTTGGTGAGAGGAGTGAGTCGAGTGGGTCTAGGCAGGACTGGCTGACGACAAGTGTCACGATGTTTGTTCCCTCGGCCGGCCGGATGCTTACAACCCAGCCCACACACGCTCAGAAGGAGGAAAAGGGCCGGAGCAAATCATCCTGGCGGTGGCGAGGGCTTTCTCCTGGAGAATCCCTTTCCCTCCCGCTCCTGCCTGATCGCTGTCTGTTACAGCAGGCGAAGGCCTGGAGTCAAGCTTCGTTTGACTGCTCGCTGGATGGGTATATGATGCATGTAAGTGCAAGGTGCACTTTCATTATATTATCTACGTTGCGACTTATGTATGCATATTTCCGCGACTGGCAGTTCATGGGAGATCGGGTCGGCTATTCAGACATACATAGTACTGCGGCCTGTAAGCTGCTGAGAAAATGTGTGCGAGAAGCAAACGATATGTTCCGAGCTGGCCCTCTCCAAGTGTCATGATAGACCTCTGTTATTGTCGGAAAGGTACCAATGTAAGATGCCATATATGTGTTTACTCTGTCTGCGTCTCTGTCTTTCATGTCCTTCCATTGTTCTTGATAATCCCCGATACAATACCGATCCGTGGCATTGGGCACCACTTGTGCCCGCTCGCATGATAGGTAGATATAACACCATACAAGGGAACTCCAAAACCCTCACCGGTACCTTTGGGGATTTCGTGAGCAATGAGTGGTCCTTCTCCTCGGACGCCAGCGGCGTCTTCTTACGAAAGTGCTCAGTATTTCACCGTTCTCTGACACCACTCGTAATTCTCTGGCTGTGCCTCAGGAACTCGGAACAGCCGCACAGGTGTCGATTGACTCATCATGATTCACTCACCCGTCCTACCCGCCCCGGGCTGCAGTCATCCGGACACCCCCCGAAAAGAACCACATCAATAGGCCAGGTACGCGCCCTGCCGCACACGCGGTTGCAAGCTGGCCGTGTTACTCATGACGGCGAAGTCTGAGGTGCAGAGGGGATCATGCACGCTGCCGTTCTGGCCGCTCCGGCGAGATGGATTCGGTATGGCGCCGCCTAGCCGCGCCTGACGACAGACGTTGGTGTGAGGTTCAAGCAGAGCAATGCTGAAGTCCATCTTCCCAACCATACATGGCTGGAGGTTGCTGGTGGAGACGATATCATCGGATACGTCGGACCAAAGAAGAGGAATGGGACCTTTTGGCCAAATCCAACGGTGGTCACTGCTGCAGGCCAAGAAATCTGCTCTAGGTTAGGTTATCAGGGTTTCTGCATATGGTGGTCTCCTGCTGAACTTTGTCTCAAGTGAGCGTGCGTGAGCCATATGGCCAACTGAATCAAGAATGTACAGAGCATATCGAGGTGTTCAGACCGTCCAGCATCTTGCTTCGGGCTGAGCAGTCTCGACGGATAGCATGTTACTAGAGCTGTGCCAAGCTCTGGATTCACGCCCTGCAGGTAAGTATGCGCGACATCCTTGGCTGTCTTGGCTGTTTGTCATACCGGCTGGGTTTCCATTCGGCCCCCAACCCCATGATGGCCCGTCTAGATTATTACTCCATGCTTCCAAGGCGAACGGGCACAATACCCCGCCGAGGGAGTGGTTTGTCCACTATAAACTCATCAACTTGTATGGTTAACCTTCTACACTTATGCCCGAATTCCGTCCCTTCAGACCCTACATCGAAAGTGGCACGAGCATGAGGAACACATTGTGTTGCAGTGCTTATCAGATCGGCTCTCTTGTCTTACAAGGATCAGAGGTAGTCGGGTATATGTTCCTTCAGCCACAGATGATATTTCAAATAACCACTGACGGTAACTGACCATCGAAGACTGGTTCTCGCATCCAGCCAGGATAACCATAAGTGGCTTCCCACGATGGTGAAACACTTATCATTATACTTTCTTCCGTCATGAAAGATTTTGGTTCCGTAGCGGAGAAAATAGTCCAGAAGCAAGACTAGCTAGATAGCCACCATACGGTAAAAACAGAACGCCAATTATCCGTACCCTGACACTCACGATCTCTTCATCGGCGCTGCATTACACACGAACCTATCATAAGCACTGGCAGTGGGATTGGCGTCGAAAATTTGACCATGCTGCTGGCTCATGCCTTGAGTCTCTTACTTCGGGTCCATTAGCGAGCGACGATATCGCCCTTACCCGTTGAAAAAATACGTTTATGAGAGACATGTGCTTTCTTCGGTTCATCTATGGGGCAGAATTACAAAAGTGGCATCCGAACGAACCTCCAAGATGCTAATCACCAGAGCGTACGTGATCAATACCTGAAAACAACGTGTTGCATCGAAAATCCGCAAGATGGAGTAGCCACGCGTCACAAAATGCTCTCATCCATAGCCAGTCATAAACCACTTGATGCTGACGTGCAGAAATGAGCACATAGTTATCATCAACCTGCAGCCTGACATCGATGAGGTATCGCACCAGAGAAAGCGTGGACAGATTAGCTGTCCGACTACCAGGCTGAGTTTTCGCCACCGCCGAAGCCGCCGCCGCCGCCCCAGGTGTCGTTACCAGAGGCACCAGCAGAAGGATTGGCACCAGCTCCACCCCATTCACCAGAATCGTCAGCGACAGCGGGCTTGGAGTCACCACCAGTGTTCCAGCCACCACCATCAGTGGCCAAGTCTCCTCCCCAGCCACCGGCGCCGCCAGCATCGCCAGCCTCGCTCTCCTCGTCGGAGCCAGGCTCAAACTTCAAGTGCTCACGGTCTTCACCCTCAGGAACAAACTTCTGCAAGAAGTCCGGGATATCTTGGTTTGTTTCAAGCAGCGTCTTGGTGAGAACCTCCGCGATAGCCTCGTCATGTTCGTTGTAGAACGAAAAGGCTTTACCGCGGTGACCAATGCGAGCAGTTCGACCTAGCATGGTTAGTATCACAGCGGCACGTGTAGTGAAACAAATACTTACCAATGCGATGAGTGTATTCGGTGATGCCACCGTGGTCCATTCTGGGAAGGTCATAGTTGATGACATGCTTCACATTCTTGACATCAATTCCACGAGCAGAAACGCCCGTGGTGATCAAAATAGGGGTGGTGCCACTGCGGAAAGCGCGCATCGAATCCTCGCGCTCTCGCTGAGTTCGGTCAGAATGCATGGAGGTGCAGGGCAGGTCCTTGTTGAACAAGAAGTCATCCAACTCGTCAGCGACTCGCTTGTTGTTGACGAAGATGATGCTGCGGCCCGGTTCAAGGTCGTACAGGAGGTCTAGAAGAGCAGTCTTCTTCATGAAAGGGTCAACCCAAATGACTTTCTGCTCGATGTTGACATGGGTGCTGCCAATGCGGCCAACACGAATGCGGACATGGGTGTTCGCGAGGTGGTCTTTCGCAAGCTTGCGGACTTGTGTAGGGAATGTGGCTGAGAAGAGCATATACTTGATATTGCCCTCTTCCTGCTCTGTGTCATATGTTAGATAATACTCCTAGCCGGAAAGAAACAGGACCTACCACCACCGGATAGGATCTTGTTGAACTCCTCTTCCCAGTCGGAGTGAAGCATCTCATCAGCCTCGTCGATGACCATGTACCTGACACGTCTCAGGCTGAGGACGTGGGGTCGTTCCATCATGTCGATAAGGCGACCAGGCGTAGCAACTAGGACGTCGCAACCTTTCTGGAGCTGGCCGATCTGCTCTCTGATGGGACTACCACCGTAGATAACAGTAGGTCGCAACATGGTTCTGTAGCAGAACTTGCGCGCCTCGTTGAAGATCTGAACTGCTAGCTCTCGAGCAGGACAGACAATGACCACCAAGGGCTCAGCAGTCACCGGGGGTGCTGCGCCGCTCTCAACGGCAACGGGGTTCGGTCGAGGGGCGGCCAATTTCTTCGCTTTGCCCATCAGCTGGTTCAAGATGGGAATGAGGTAGGCAGCCGTCTTGCCCGAGCCTGGAACGGTCTAATTAGTTCTGGTCGACAACACTGCAGAAAACTTGTGAGTAAATCTTACCGGTCTGAGCGATGGCGATAATGTCATGGCCCATCTTGACGGCAGGAATGCAGTATCGCTGGATGGGGGTCGGAGTTTGGTATCCGCAGAGTTGGACATTGCGCAGCATGATTGGGTGGAGACCGGCTGTATCAAATGAGTTGATTGGGTTGATGCGTGTGAGTCCCTCCTGCAAGACATCAATGATTGAGATCCTAAGTGTTAACGATCAGGTGTGGCAAACAATGAGAGGAAATATAACATACTTCGTGAAGTCGATACCGGTGGGATCACGCTCATCCTCGTTGCCGAAGAGGATGGTCTCTAGCTGAGTGTGGACAGGACCAACATCGCCCTCTTCGCCGTCATAGTGATACACCTGGGCATTGCTCTCCCAGTCAACGGTAGTGACGGTAACATCAGGAGCACCAGCGCCGTCATCGTTGTAATTGGCATAATTGTAGGCGGTCTTCTTGACCCAATCACTCTTAGGAGCTTCTCTGTGCTCCCAAGGCAGCGGGGGAGGAGCGGGCTTCTCCTCAGAAGCGCCCAAACCGTCACCGTTGTCACCACTGCGAGTGTCTGCGCCATTGCCCCAGCCTGCAGCAGCAGGCTGCTCGGGGGCAGTATCATTACCCCAGCCAGACATTGTGTTGGCTTTCGATCGAGTCAACAGTTCGTGGACAGACTAGATGGATCTGTAGAGAAGAGATAATCAATCAGCCGAACACACATAAGTATGAGAGAGGAATTGAAACACCTCGATGGGATTTCGATGGGCTACCAGACACTGATAGACGAGGAAGGTGCAGAATAATGGCCGACAATGACCAAAGTGGAAAGCCGTGTAGTAGCAGTTTATTGGGGAGGAGCCTCGTGCAGAACCGTCTTTTGGGCGCATAGAAATCTAGATATGGAGGAAAGGAGGGGACTTAAGACCGAGACGATGGAGACCGAACGTATGAACTTACTGTTTCTGCCGGAGAGTGTGTCGGCGTTGCAGCGGAATGCGGACAAGGAAGTCCTGATATGAAGTTAGTGGGTTACCAAGGGAGAGACCTGCTTCAGAAACGAAAGCCGCTTGATGAGTGTATGGGTGGTTGGGTTGTACACCACAGTGAAAGGTCGTATTTGAAAAGGGAAGGCAATATTGATCCCCGAGACACGCTCGCGTAAGACTCTTGGGCTCGAGGCCGCAAGATTTCGCCGGCGGCAAGGGACAACGGGGTCGCTCAGAGGGACAAAAAATATTGCTATCCGATGGGAGAAGGGAGTGGATTCAGGGCACAGTGTTGCGGAAGGATCAGAGAAGGATGCTTGTTGTTGATATGAAAGGACTGGGCCCGACCAGAAGGCTGGGTATGCAAATCAAAGGCAGTTAGGGAGACGATGGACAAATATTTCAAGGCAACAAACGGACCTGAGGGAAAAGCTGCCTGATGGTGAAGATGACAGACCTCCAGATGCCTCAGCATGAGCCGCCGTTTGATGTGGCGATGCAAGCGAGACGTGCGTGTAGATGAACGATGGACAAGGAAGAAGAAGATGATGGTAATGACGCGAGAATCAATCAAACGATATTAGCATCGATGCTTACGTACCTTTGCGCGTTGAGAACAGGATATCGAGACCGTGGCCGAGCTCGATGCCCTCGAAGATGTCAGATTGCTCCCGGGATCGAGAAATCTGATGGGTGTTGTGGAAGGGAAGAGGAGATGGTGAAGAACGCCAGAGAAGAAGTGGCCTTTTGAGGTAGATGGAGGATTGTGGGAAAACTCCAAATCAGCCGTAGGCAACCAAGTGAAAGTTGATCTTGTAGAATGGTGCGGAATTTTCTCGAGGCCTTAGACCCGCGTGGATTGTTTTGGATTGTTTTGATAGTGACACTCGGCGACAACTATATCGGGGAAGGCACCATCGTGGGGGGCGACCTGGTCAGATTCTGTCGGGGAAGTCACACCTCACCAAATCTTTTTTTTTTTTTTTTAAAAAGATTCATGCAGATGATTCCCAAACGGGTTTCAACGAGCCCTTCAGACCACTGTACGCAGACTAAGGACTGTTTCCAGGGCCTTGGTGGCTCTATGCCAAAGCGACCAACGGCTACAAAGAGAATCTCGCAGCGGTAATCCCCCTGCTTGTTCTAGTCGTTTGCGTCGTGGGAAGTTTTCACAACGCTAAGATCAAGGCAAACCATGGGCTGATGAAAGAGACCAAACACCTCGTAAATGATAATCCTGCGATCCCAACATGTTACGAAGGTCCAGGCTTGCCATTCGTCGATGAAGACAAATGTACTGTCCTGTGATTTGCACCGAATCTTCCTATGGTACTAGATCACTGCTACTGTACTCGGCGTCTGGCTGAAACCAACCGCTACACTTTTCGAATACGGGAGGACACCATAATCTCGGGCGCGGCTCCGACACGTAGCCAGCCTTGAGACTCTCAATAATCTATCAGCATTCAGAGAGAGGAAATTCCGCCGAGGGAATATATCAGTAAATCAAGACTGTTTGCTCTATCAGGACTGCACAATACCTCCACGGTATCAATGAGGCTCTTTAGTGAGAAAGGCTATGGACTGTGTGGCGGACCGGCAGAGTGGGCATGCTGGAACTCTCACCAAGTCACGTTTCCCATCTCAAGACTTAGGTTTAAGGGTCGGATTTCAGAGTCTGCCATCCTAAAACCATCCGGATGGAATAGACTCGAAGTCATCATCGTACGTACTGAGAGTGTGGGATCCAGATCAGAGCACTAGTTAATCACCTCGCGAGCCAAACAGTGAAATCCATCCCTCGCCGTATGCCAATCACTTGATACAAGCTCTTCAGAGTTGTAGAACACCAAGAAAGCCGAAGATAGATACGAAGACCTGTCGCTCGTGAATGAGCTTGCTCGAGGCGTTGGTTGCAAGGGGAAAGAAGGGGCCCAAAGAGTTTGTTGATCTCGCTGATGAAGATCCTTGAATCTGCAACTCACGAGGAGAGGGTGAACCCAGCAAGCGCGTAGCTTTGACCCATTAAGCCAAGTTAGCCGTTGGGCAATTGGGACTGGGTGCCGTGGAATTCTGCCGACTCACTGTTGCTCTAGAGGTCATACACCGGGGCAACCATTGGATTGCACTCCGCTACTAGACTCGCATGTCATTCCCTTGAGGGCCGGATGCCCTCAGCCAGTTCACTCCCATTTGACTTTGAAAAATCCCCCAGCGTAAAATACTCCGATATTGGTGGGCAGTGGCAAGCATTTGTCTTGCATAAATAGGTTTGTTCCATAGATTTGACCATCATATTGAAACCTTACATGATATACCCGCCCCAGAGCCCTTCCTCCGAGTCATATCGTTTCGTGTCCTCATAATCGCCCATGCCGTCCCTCAGCACCTTGTCTAGCTGGGCAGCCGAACGCCCCGCCATGCCACCCTCTTTCTTCGCATCGTCCACGCCTCTCCGGATCGCCTCGGCGAACCTCCTACTGAAAACGGCCTGTCTGTCTTCCCGATCCCGGTACATTCTCCCGTCCTCGTCTCGCGGTGGGGCAAACAAGCCTAAGTAGCCGTAAGGGTCAGGGGTCGTCGGCAACTGAGTGAAGTTGCCAACCCATTGGGCAGCGCTCCAAGGGGTAGGGTCTGGTTTCCTGAAACCGTGCTCCAAAAAACTGGCAAGCACAGCCATTTGCCGTGGATATGAGGCGCCGTACTTCTTTGCGCCAAATGTTGTGCGAGGAGCGGACGTCCAACCGCCCTTTCCAGGGGTTGGTGCAACGGTCTTAACAGTCCAGCCCAAGATGGAGGTGAAGTCCTTCAGTGGCTTGACCCAGCACCCGGCGCTTTCCACGACCTCGTCTCCGGCAACGTCCAGGATCCACTCCATGTAGTTGAGCCCGTCGTCCTTGATCTCCTGTGAGATATGCGTCATAGAACCTCTGATGTATCGCATAATCTGTTCCACGTGTGGTGGGACTTCAGGAGCGGGAATTGCCTTGAGCAGCTTCAGCAACTGTGATCGGACTGGTCCTGACGAATCGGTCATGAGAACCAGGACCTTGCTGAGCAAGGTCGGTGTCCCGACGGGATTATATGATGTGGATAGTTGGCCGGCAAGGTAAGCCAGCGCATCTCGTCGCTGGGTGTCCGATCTGGACAACACCAGTGACAGATGGTGTTTGAAGCGGTCGTCCAAATCCGGTGCATCTTCATTCAGTTGCTTTTGCAAGACGATGGCTAATGGCTGGTCAGTACACACCCTTCATGAGAGGAAGACGCAAATTCAAGACCCGAGTCATTCAAAAGGGCTTCTTCAGGACTCAAGGAAAGCTGCGCTCACCTTTGGACTTGAAGCTGGTATCGGTAAAGTTGTCGGGCTTCGCCTTGGCCTTCCCGACCTTCAACTTGGGCTTCTGGAAGTCCTTCTTCTTCTCCTTCTTTTTCTTGGTGCTGGAACCCATCTTGGCTCGATCATTGGGGCAGGTAAAACTGCTGTGACCGGCACGAGCTGCTCAAGAGAGTCCAGTTGCTGCAGAAAATGTCGACCAGCCTGCGACCTGGACGTCGCAAAGTTGCTCTGCCGCCCTCAGAAAAATCCTTATCGCCGCAAGCTCCGGGTGCTTATCTTAGCGCCCGGCCGCCATAGTCGAACTAGGGCCAGTTGACGCTGGTCCCCCGGAATGGGGCTCAAGCTCCCCTGGAAGTCAACATTGTGCCCCGCGAAACGGAGACATCAGGCCTCCGGCTGTTGTCAACATTCCAGCACCACCACCACCACCCATCGTCACTGCACCCAAAGCATAAGAGTTTTGGACCCTTCAAGATGGCCGACAAGACCATAGTAAGCGCGAGTATCTGATCATTAACGAAAGGGTCGCTAATCTAAGTCAACAAACAGCCATCGAACGGCACCGACCCCATGGACGAGGCCCTGCACCGCCTCTCCAGGAAGCCCGGCGTCAAGGCCTGGATCATGCTCGACCGCTCGACCGGCGCCGTACTCAAATCCAACGGCCAGATATCTTCCATTCGACCTGCGAAATCCGCAAACAGCGACACGGCGCTTCCCACTCCCACGGGGGGCTCCTTCTCTACCGACGTCACCGCCAACACCGACAACGAGTCGCAGGCGGCGCAGGAGCTCGGCAGTATGGTCTGGGGGTTCATGAGCACGGCTGGGAGTCTGGTACAAGAGATAGACACAGAGGTGAGTGATGGCGCAGGATCCTGCTTACTTTCAAAAGTATCTAACGAAAGGGCACCTAGGATGAGCTCAAGCTATTGCGCTTGCGGACGAAGAAGCAGGAACTGGTCATTGTACCTGAGCCAAAGTACATTCTGGTTGTTGTTCACGATACGCCCCCAGCATGAATACATGTTTTCAATGACAGATAGTTGCCATGCGTGGTTGAGGACATACTGGCTTCGGCCACCATCCTAGAATCCCTACAGGAGAAGAGCGCTATGGGGTTCTGAGGGGGCTTGGACGCCACGGAGGACGCTGCGTCCTTCTGTACGACGGGTCCATGCAGGTGGCATTCTATTGGAGTTCGGTGTTTGGACTGGTAAATGATACCCTGAATTTACATGTAATGTAGGCAAATGGTAATACGTACCCATGTAGTCTTCTGGAGTGCATTCAACATCGGGATTGCTAGCCAGAAACACGTCTTCTCTCTAGGCTGAGTGACACCATACTCCACATCTTATGCTGGCGTTCGTTTAAGGAAGGTTGTTTACTTCGTTAAACTTCAAACATGCGAATAGAATGGAAGCGAGATTGGATTCCCGACAGTTTAATACCTATCCAGACTGTCCACATTGAGTAAGAAACTCGGCATGCGCAGTGTGGTAAAACTTTCTCGCGATTTAACCCGTTCAACCGTTTGATGCAAGGCATGTTAAGAACCCTCCGTTCGAGCAGATGCTGGCCCAGACGGTGCGGAAACACCATAATGATTGTCAATCCGCCGCTGTCAATTGGATTAAGTTGTTGAAGAACTGAGATAGGAGTATTCCGAGCGACTTCTCGTGAACACCCTGGTCAGCATAGATGAGGGACGGCACGGTAGGCACAAGTTCTGTTTTATGCAAAGTTGACGTTTTGTACACCCGAGATTTCGAGGGCTGAGTAGGGATTCAGCCGGTCCACGGATAGATGAAGCAGAGATAACCGAGAGAACGGAAACCTCAGTTCTGGGTCCAGGGTCACATTGGGGTTATATGAAAGAACTACACGTAGTATTTTGTGATGTCCTAGTCCACATTGGAATGGGTATATCTGTAGACTTTCTATTTGCTATAAATTTGGGCGAAGATCGCGTAAGTACGTAGCCATGTGCTCTCGGAACAAGTGCAGGATTATGAGATGCTTCAAAGCGGTCTCACATGCTGCTTGTGCTTGCATGTGAATGCGCATGAGTCTCTTGCGTAGGATACAGAATTGAAAAGTACTTGGTAGAGACTACCAACGACCATACACGGAATTCAGTACATACCGTAGTGTTGGACTTGGATGAGCGCCAAGGAAACCTGAGGTCATGGATTTCGCGGCTAATGCAGGCATCGCAGTCGCGATGCCAGGAAAAACCGGTTCTTTGGGCCAAGTGTTCATGCTTTCGGGTGTGGGACGCGCTGCTGGGAAATGCACCACATCGAGCGACACGCGTTGGAACGGCCGCTAATGGTAGTCGGCCTCAAGCGATGGGTGTGGCCGGCCTGGTCTGCTATCGCGAAATGTCGACTCAATTTACGGTCCTTCGATTCTGCTCTCCTCTTCCTTGAAGAACTTACCCACTTCAGGTGTGCGACTGCAGAACGTCGGTATACATGACTGGCACCGGATTCTAGCCTGTCCATGGATTGGGCTGGCGATTTTAATACCCAAGCCGTTGTAATTGCCGGGTTCGAGGACTACTTACCGAGCCTAGAAAACGACGCCATTTACGGTCCCGTTCATATCTAGGTGCCGGAGGTTATTTGAAACACACCAAGGACCATGTCTGCTGCAGCGATTGTGGGTGGTTCCGAGGCTGTATATAATCCCACGCCTAGGAGACTACACCTTGCAAGGCAGCCCTCTCCGTGGCAAGCGTGGTGCCGCCCAACTTGCTTGACCTGCAGCTTTTGGTGCGAACAACGCAGACCAGTCATATGCTGCTTGACCTTGCTGATTAGGCGGATGAAGGACGGCTGACAACGATGCCAGCTTGGTAAACCTGCTTTTTTCCGTCGCAGTTGGCTTGCTCTGGAACGGCGCCATTACTTGCAGCTGATGCCCTTCCAATACAATCCATTTCCAGCGACTTATCGACTTGATGAACGAGACTGCCTCAGCCCTTGTATCTCTTGGAACTATTGTGTCGGCCCAAAGCCCCGTCCTTTGAGGCTGGTATTTTAGTCAAGCTTGATTCCGTCCAAACTTGCCGATGAGTGATGATCGTCATTCAAACTTCAGTCTCCGGTCCTTCGTCCATGTTTTACGGTCAACTAGGCTACTCGTCGAGTAATTGAGTTCTTCCGGATGCAGCTGCAGGAGTAGTGCAGTCTTGATCTGCGTGGTAAAGAAATGGGGAGGGACGCCAGCATGCAGTCCCTATCAGCACTGAAGCGTTCAGCTCGAGAGTTTCTTGATGAGGCGAAAGAGAGAACGTCGTCCCCAAAGACCGGCAAGAACGACGCGCAACTTGAGAGCCGGCAATCGAAGCGCGAGCTCCTGAAGAGCTTGATTCGACGAGCGAGAGATGCTCAGCAGAGGGGAGGAGTGACGAATAACACGGTAAGTAAAGCTCAGTGGGCGCCATTTGTTAAAGGCAGCTGCCTGTCATCTGTACGCTGAGACCTTGCAGCTGGTCCGATGCCCCGATGCCCCGGTGCCCCAACTCAAGTGAGGGGACACCGTCTCATGACCTCGAACGATTCGTTGCAGAACTTCTCAATTGTTGGTCGTCTACGGACTGTACCTGCAGTCTCTTTATTTGTGCATTGAGAGAATTTCCCCTGTCTCGGCACATGTGTTGAACGTCCCGTCCCGGGAGCCATGGACAGAGGGGTCCATACTGACAGCTTCACCGGCAGATACCCACTCCTCGGCGAGATTCAGAAACAGTTGACTCCCTGAGGCCCACCATCAATTCTAACAAGCCTCTGCCTTCTCCGCCTCTTCCGGGGACGGTAGACAAAGTCGATGGACAGCCTAGGAAACCAGTGTTGAAGTTGGACCGCATCATGGCAAGTTTGAGTGAAGCCGAGATTGAGAAGTTGTTCTCGGGAGCTCCGCAGTACTTTGCCCGCTCGCTTGGACACGGTACCGGGGCTCCACACCCGTCCGTCGCCTTCCCCTGGGATGAGGACTTGCGCATCCGGGACTTGACGGATCATACCCAGATTGAAGATGACGCTTGGGGCTGCGTTACTACAGCTCCAAGGCTCATCCAGCGTGATCCCTTGTCAGCCAGCACGCCGTCCAGCCGGAAGGGCCCTCATTTCAATGTCAAGGCCATGGAGCGGCCGAACATGCTCAGCATGCAAGGTCTAGAGAAGGGAACGATGGGCTACCAAGCGGCACTTGAGATTTCCGTGGCAGATGCTCTCCAAGAAGAGCAGTATGGCTTTGATAGTCTGGGATCGAAATCTCATGTTGTCATAGAGCAGCGCCAAAAGCTCATCACGTCCAAGGACGGGCTGCGGCAACTAGATGACGGAGCGATTATGGAGCAACTCCTGGTCTGTGAGGGTCGGTATCAGGCTGGTTGCAGCAAGAAGCAACTGAACACTCATGAACTTCATAACGAACTGTTCCAGAAAGTGTTGCACCCTCCGACCAGGATAATTGATCGCAATGACCCGTATAGTCTGCCTGTACAGATTTATGCATTGGTCAAGGTATTGGCGGCACCAAATGCCTGGGTCGATTTCTCAAGAGTGGAATGGAGGATTCGGCTAGGCCAGATTCTGTGGGGGTTTCCCCTGGACGACGAAGTCGAAGACGGCTCATCAATTAACGAAGGGATCGACGACTATGACCGAAGTGAAGAGAGATATTGGCTACTTCTGCAGATCCTGCTATCTTGCGAGCTTCTTATACGACTTGATGCCATCACTGACGGAGACGAGTTTGGCGCTGCAAATCTTCGAGCATCCGAGATACATAGGTTTGAGAAGGAAGCAAATCTGTCGGTACGGTGGTCACTCCTGCTCGCCCGTTCGTGGCTTGAGAACATCGTGATCAACAAGACCGAGGCTCCCTCTTCAGGGACATCCACGCCAAAGGGTTGGCTCACGTCCTTGGCGAGCAAAATGACTCTAAAGCATGATCACATGCATGGATCTCACCATGTCGACCACGCGCACCATCTACATCATGGACACTCAGAGTACCAATACGCAATACAGGGGAGATATGTCGAGAGGCAGGTTTTTGGATTGACTCAATTTGCTCGAAAGCTGCGTTGGCCTGAGATTGAATCTTACATCACTCGTGTATCGATCAACGCCCCAACCATTGCGCAGGCTACGCCCATCAACACCCCGTTACTGACAAGCGATACTCGGCGATCTTCATACTTTGGTGGAGACAGGAAGCCCGCCGAGCTACAAAGAAAAGCATCGAGAAGACGCAAGATCGATGCCGCATTGCACCCTTCCGGCTGGTTATCTAAGTCCTACGTTTCTGGTTTGGTTTTGCCTGGGGAAGGGCTATCCCACTTTCTAATGTCTACTCTGCTCGAAAACGACCAAGAGGCTATGGCAAAACTTGGCCCTATGGCAAACCTCTGCGGCGGTTTCGTTTTCAGTGGGAAGAGCTTCTGGAGTACTGCATGTATTGTAGGGCGAGTGCTGGCCGCTGGTCGGGGTTCTGCAGAGTGTATGGGTTGGATATCTGCCGACGTTATTCCCAAGGCGTTAGAGGATGGATGGGTCAATATCGACGTCGCTGAGATCGCAGGTACGTATCGAGCCGTCCGAAAACTGTCATCTGCTAATCATATCAAGATGATGTAGCACAAACTGGCAAGAAGGCCCGTTTGTGGGGGAAGACAATCATCGAGCGCGAGTCAGATGTGTTGGGTGATGCTGATTCTGCGAATGTGCTCCCGGCCGACTTCATTATTCCTCATGAGAATAACCACTCCGAGCCACCGCCATCCAACATCAGGATTGACCTCAATTCCTTAAACCTTCTTCCCATTGCCCACAGCGCCGTGTCCACGCCGGCTTTAGAGAGGGACTTTACTCCTTTCTCGGAACACAGCAATGCAACTGTCATCGAAACCTATTCTCCATCCATGGCCTTCACGATGACACATGATGGGGTTGAGCAGGATCAAACCTTCAATGTGTCCTTGGCTCAAGACGTTTACTTCGTCACTGCACATCCGTGTGCTCCTTCTAGCTATGTTAAATATTTCAAGTCTCCAACGAGCCCTACCATTCAACAAATTGATGTCGCAGGGAATGACTGGATGGGAAAGTCATCCAGTGCAGCCCACATCACAGGTGCGTTTTTGCGTGTTGTCGAGCGCGACCCAACTAACTGGATCAGGACACCCACTGCACAAATACTACACGTACAAGACAGTACATCTGGCCAACCTTCTCAAAAGGCCAGATGCCTCACTTGAAGAGCTTCTTGGAAAGAGTCCGTCAACTTCAACAAATAACAATGGGTCGTCGTCGTCGATCTCGAAGACCGCTCGTGTACTTGTCATAGACTGTATCACGGGCTTTGCACCACCACGGTCACCTGAGATGGCTTCCCTTTCTCGAATGAGCTCGATTTCATCCTCCTTTGGGCTGGAACCAACCGCAGTCCAACTACAGCTCCCCACTCCACCAAGGGACTCAGGAGAGCGACCTAATACCAGCACCTCGGTTGGCAGCAAAATTTCAAGAATCGACCCGCCAAGTCCTGATTCTAAGATGAGACTACCAACTCGAAGAAGGCAGTTTGGATCGGACCTGGAGATACTTGTCCGTGCCATTTGTGCTGAGAGGGGCTGGAACGCATTGATCAGTCGCCGTAGGCGAGGTTGTCTGGCTTGTGCGATTCGCGAGGCCGGCGCCCTTGGGTGGAGGGTCATTATTCGTGTGGAATAGTGTGTCGCGACTTGGCCAAAGATTCCATACTTGATGTGATAATACTTTCGATTTGCTATGTTGGGTTGCATACACAAAATGGTCGGAGTTAGCCTGAATTTGCCAGCATGGATTTACAATAGGGAACACAGCCCAAGGGAAAGCGAATACTTAAAAAACTTTTATAGTACGGCATAGCGCGGAAATCGGATAGCGATACGAGCTTGCTTTGATCAAGATAACAAAACCCCCCTCTTACAGCACAATTATGGGAAATATTCATGGCGCAGACCAGCTGCTCAGCTCGGCCTAGACAGTAAACTAGTGAGAACCCCAAGATGCAGTGTACAAGGTCCGGCAGAAAGGATTGGTCCAATCTCTACAGATCGATTGTGTTCTACGAGAACGCTTCGCAACGCCGTGGAGGATGGCTAGTGGCTCAGCATTTTGACTGTCCAGACCGGTTGACCTACGTACTTTCGGTGTAGATTTTTTCGAGTAGCCTGCTGAAGGTAAGACTGACAAATACTCTGCAGACGCAGAACCAGCATCAGTCACAGGCTCCTAGAACATTGGCCTAACACCGAAAGTTCGTCGTACAAGCCCTCCCAAGTAAACCAATAAGCTCACTGAGCAATGTTGGCGGGGAGAGGCAACCAATATTTCAAGGTACCAGAGACATATCGGATCTCCCTTGCATCTGCATTGAGAGGCTGGCGAATGATGGCCTACAATTGCAGTTGTTTCGTCATCCACGTATGCAAGAGGAGATGCGGGCTTCGTTTTCTTCTCGATGATTCGCGCCCTACATGCAGTCACAATTATGGTTCGCTTGACAGGCAATGTTGCGTTCGAGATGCCTCTGCAGGCTGTTCTTGGGGTCGCTGCGGAGAGACGATCTTACAACGATCCGAAAAGGCTGCCGTATCGGGGTCAGCGTCGTGTTTCGGGAAATGACGTATACCTGTCTTATAGAGCAGAGCAAATAATCAAAGCACCAATGTGCATCACATATGTTCCATCGATCTACACAATTGTGGGTTCCCCTATAGCAAGCTCCACTTATTCAATAGCTCTTCCGTAAATTCGTCCATGGCATTCGGTTTCTCGGTCGGCGACTGCATCGCCATCGGCAAATTGGTTGCAAGCACCATTTCTTGTCTACACGAAGTAGGCGGTTCCCGGTCCGATTTTCAGCTCCTGACCTGCGAGCTAGAATGCCTCGAGCAAGCTCTCCATCGGCTGGAAACCATGGAGGCAAGCCAGCGATCACCACAGCTGGACTCCATCAGGTGTGCCGCCTTGAGCTGCCGGCGTCCGCTTGAGACCTTCTTGCAGAAGCTCCAGAAGTACCAGAGGTCCCTCGGCCAGTCTTCGAAACTGGAGGATATCCGGAGCGCAGGCAGGAAGGTGCAATTCGCGCTCTGGGAAAAGGACGAGGTCATGAAGTTCAGGAGCTATCTCAGCGTGCACATTGGGACGATCAACGTAATGCTGGCTGAGCACGGGTTTGAGAAGATGGACTTCATCGCCAACGAAACCGCGGCCACCCGGGACATGATTAAGGAAAGTCTTGATGAAGCAAGGCATACCTCTTCACGGCTTCACCAGAGCCTACTCTCTCAAATTGATTGCATCGAAAATGCTAGTTCTGTCCTAGGGCGACTTCTCGGCGTACTCAGCCACGACATTCGGTCTTCCTTGGCTTCTATTGCGACAACAGTTGCTAAGATATGGTAAGACTCAACGGCTTCCGGTAAACCTAGACTAACAAGGGCCCAGCACATACTCGCAGCAGATGTACAACTTGCTTCAGGAGATACGTGCGAACGTGCTCATAGCGCCGGATACAAAATGGTCCTTCTTTCAAGCACCGGCTATGCTGGAAGACGCACTGGGTCGCAAGTTACCAGTTCCCTCGGAGTACGATCTCGACATCTTGAGAGCCATCATATCGACCCGATTCCTCCGCGGGCCCGGGTCCGTCGAAGTGTCGAACGGAGATTACGAGCTCTTTTACGCTGAGGGCTCAGAAAAGACCCTGTCTTGCGGAACTGCTCTGCGGCCCGGCAGCTCGATAACCATGGTCGTGGTGATTCCGCAGACGCTCAGCTTTGCCACGGCTGCAACACGGTGCCCGATGCCGCAATGTGCTAGCGAGCGGGCAGACCCAGAGCCCCGTGGAGGCTATGTGTGGTAAGTATAGGACACTCTGCAGTTCTCCATTACTGACAAGAGCTCAGCTGGACATGTGGAACGTGGTTCAATCAAACAAGCAAGAGGCGGCAGTCGCCTGTCGAGTTGGGCATGGTATGCAACAGGAATATTGCCGAGGAGCTGAACGACCCTCAACAGGTCGGGCCATTGCTACTGAAGCCGCGGGTACCCGAGTGGCCAACCACCAAGACGATCTCGACCTCGTTCAAGAACGTCCGCTATTCCCACGACCTGAGCGCCCCTTGGGCCTGGGTGAACTCTAAGCGGTCGGCAGCGCAGCCTGGGGCCATTACGATGGAGAATAAAGATCCCCGACTGAGACCTGCTCTGATCTACTTGGATTCGGTGAAACTGTCTCTGATTGACGAACCCCTGACGTACCGCCAGGTAGTCGATCTGCTGAGCCTGTTCAATGCAGGCAAGCTGTCGCCACATGACCTCATTGAACGTATGGACGTGCTGCTGTGCGAGTATCCGTCGCTGACAAGAGGCTTCGTGAAATTGCTCCTAATCGAATGCGGAGCTAGTTATACGCACCCTGCCCCGAACATCGGCGAGCTGGGGCCGGACGTAGTCCGGGGACATCTGGAAGACGTGGTCGAAGACATGGAGAACGGTGTCATCGACCGGCTCGAGACCTTGCAACAACTGGAGTCGACGTTGACCGACGAGCAGTCCACCATACCCAGCCCAGAAGCCCATCCTTCTTCAGACGAAGACGATCAGGACTGTATAGCTTACAGAAACCTGATGCGCGCGGCATTCGGGGACTCATGGCCAACCTGTCACCAAGCTGTGGACATACTCAGGGACTACCAGAACGGGGTTGCGAGCCGCCATGACGCGTTCACGCGAGCGGAGGTTCTGATCAGCCAGCACCCGGCTTTCCTGAAAAAGTTTGGCCAGTTCTATCTCCCACCCGCCTTGGAGAGCTGGCCAGCTGAGGAGATCAAGCATGAGAGTCGCTGAAGGGGTAATTCAAAGTCGCTTGTATATATCTATGATCGCTATATTTACCAATGCGTAATGCAACGTTCGATCCCGTTCAGAGCTTCCAGTACTGATCAAGGGTCAGAGGGCAACAATTTCGGTCCCGGGGGCCTTCTTGGACAGGACCTGAGGCCATATTCTTGGGTATGTGCCCAGCAATGTGATCTTCTTTACTTTGGCCTTGGGAATTTTGACAAGGGTGTCCGGGAACCACTGATCTAACGCATATTCCTTCGACGCTCTGGGCAAGTCCAGACTATTCCGCGCATCTAGCACCAGCGCATGGAAGAAGTCACGGATCTTCTCCATGGCTGTGTAGTCGTCTTTCTGCCTCAACTCGGAATTCCAGTCAACGGTTATCTCCTCCAAAACCTTTGTTTCGTGCAGCATCTTGGAGAGGAACTGTATCCAGTGGGGATAGTTCTTCCTTCTGGGACGGCGCTTGCGACGGGGCGGGTACTGAGTTTCAGGCGTGCCCATCAGGGTCACGATGGTGAGCTTCCGCAGCTCCTTCAACCGTAAGGGCCCATACACGTGCAGCCCAATCGCATCGACTCCAGCACCGTAGTGGGTGGTGAACACGGCTGTAGCATCATTGAGCATCAACGGCCTCATCTCGCGGTAGGCGCTTTTGCAGGTTATCGCGAGTGCCGGGAGCTTGCCAGAGTGATGGCGCAACTGGTGTTTGAGCTCCTGTTTGGCATAACCCCATGTTGGAATTGACTTTAGGTCCACGGGCAGATACAGTTTGTAGATTATCTGCCGCAGCTCAGAGGGGAGACCTAGGAGATGGGCCGGCGGGTACTGTGGAGCCATGCTGGGAAGGTATGATGGTTTCGTAGAGGTTCGTGCGCCCAAATTCTGCTCTGGAACTGGATGTTGAGGGAGGAGAAAATGCTGCTGAATATAGAACGTGAATGATGCAATCTGCTCTGGGACTTCGTGTTGGGCAATGGGTGAGTGTAGCGAAATAAGTAAACCTTAGTGGAGATGTAGCTGTTGACCCTTGGGACAGGCCACGATGCATGGATCGTGATGGCCTCCGAGCACATATGAAGTCAAGCAGGAAGACAGGCATGTAGAGCTGCCCCTTATTCGTTGACTTCGATATGCACGGGAAGCTGCTGCCAGAAGTGAATCGGCTAACGGGATATCAGTGCAGTCTTCCCTTCCCGAGACTTTGCGGGCTACCTCTCTTCTCGCAAATATCATAATGTCTTAGCCCCTCGTGTCCGATGTTGAGTAACGCTGCACCATCATTGATGCAACAACCGCATACTTCTGGTAGACATCGGCGCTGCATGCATTCCGCAGAGACTTCTCTCGCTTGTGAAGTCGTGAAAGCTCTGACTTGGCAGCATGCTCCGGCCAGTGATTGCCGCCCAGCATGAATAGTAGGCGTATGACTGGCAGGTTAAGGTTGCCGCTCGGGGGTTCCGTCTCGCTGGCCATAGCATTCTGATACCCCTCAAGCGTGGTTTCCCAGGTTTGGTCGGGCGATAAACGCGCGCCGGCACGCACAAGCCAGAAGAGCTTCTGCACGGCAGCCTCGTCCCACGGGCCCGTCAAGAGGCCATCTGGAATTTGCGTGTCGCGATGAACCTCAACCCAGCTTGTCTCATCGTTCACAGGTGGAAGCTCGGCGCCTATCTTTGAGCAGAAGGCATCATAGTCGTGTTGGAAATACTCCCTGGCCGACCTATAATTGTCCACGCCTCCACTGTCGTCCTCAATTTTGTGTTCTGTGTCTGGATCACCCCAGAGTTTCCGTTGCTGAAAGAATCGGCTCCTTGCGTATCTCTGGATCCACGAATCCATACAGTCCAAGATGAAGGAGATGCCGACCCAGGAATACTGCAGTAGTGCCGACTAAGAGATTGTAAGCGAGGCGCTCTTGTTACCATTGCGGACCGTGCTCACCTGAAAGTCTGGATTTCCTCCAAAGCGTGCGACATCGTCTTGCCAGCCATGGTAGCTCCTAAGAACAGTGTGACTGTCCCTGAAGACACCGAACCAGACTTCCCACGTGGGAGCGAATGCTCGAAGAAAAGTTTCGCGCCGAGTCGGTTCCCCTGACAGAAGATGGCCTACACGAGGACCTGATCGCGGAAAATTGACGTTCTCGCTCGCCCAGAAGATGCGTTCCATGATCTCGAGGGGCAGCTCCTTCTCCAGATAGGAAGCTTTCGGCTTGACGACCTTGCGGTTTTTGGTCTTCTTTTCCTTCACTTTGTCTTTACGAGGCGCCACGTTGAAGACCAGCGGTGGCTCGCCCTTCCGCCGGCGCTTGCCAGGTATTCTGATAGGCGTCAGCTCCATGATGATAGTCCTCCTCGCACCCCTCTGCCAGGATGAATCATCTTCAAAATCCCAAGCGCATGGCAAACAGTCGAACTGCAGCAATACTGAGCATCGGCGGTATCCTGCTCACTACATGGCGGTCGTGTTGAAGTATCGCCCAAGGGGGAGCAGGCAAGGTTACTATCGAGCGAACGCAGATTCTGTGGATCTGCAATTGGCAGAACAGACCCACAATCCACCGGACCATTCAACAGAGACCTTTTACACCATGCGTACACGTACGGAGTTTGTATCGTATGTGATGCAGACAGACAAGAAGGCCGGACATCAGAGCGCCCTCATCATCTGATCATCCATGTACAGCACTCTCATGACCCTCACAGGACTGTGTCATTAGCCTACGTGAGATGTGCAAGTACATAGTATACCGCCGTGCAGCTGCTAGGATGACCTGTCGCGCGCGAGACATGATTGGTCCAGGCCGGGGAGGCCTCGAGCCTGCCAGCCAAAAAGCTTAGCGCGAACCGCTAGATTAGCTGCACCTGAGCTGGAAATTTTTGGAGACAGGGGACCGTGTGACGACATGCGCTCTACTCCGTCCTCCCCGTCGACTACAACATGGTTGCCGATGTGAAGCCACGATACCGAATTAGCTGATGCACCGAAGCCGTGGCCCAACAGTCTTTGATCCATGATCAAGATGGCCTCCGCACGCCCGCCCGTGCCCTCCCTGGGGCTCCTCCGCTTCCTGCGCTCCCAGTCCGAGAACATGAGCTTCTTCAGCCCAAACCACGTACAGCCGCCGTGCCGAGCCCTTTGCGCTGCCAAAAGACAACTACCCATCGCCTCTTGTAGGCGCACTCCCGGCCATGGCACTCAGCTGCAGTCTGGCATGATCGACTTCGGGTCCTTCTTTTCGAAACGCCCCTCGGGTTCCGCCAGGTCTCTGCGGAGCAAGCAACTAGCCTCCATTCCCTCGGCCCTCGGCGCTCGATGCGCATCTACCGACTCGCCATGCACGCCTACGTGGCAGGAGAGGCTCTGGGGCGCGCGGCCCAGGAAGGGGCCCAAGGAGCTGAAGCCAGATGATCTTCCCGAGTCCGACGAAGATCACGACAACAACTCCATGTTCAACACCAGGAGGCAGCGGGCCCAGCAGGCTGCGCTGGAACCCCGGCTGCGCTGCACCGAGGTCGACGAGAGCGGCAACGCTGTCCTGGTAGACGGCGAGTTCAAGAAGACTGAGCTCATTGCCAGGGTAAGAGCAACTACACACAGAATTGTCTAACAGCCAGCTAACTTTGCCCCAGTTTGGACTGTTGCCTCGAGACTTGCGCAAGATCGATTCGTCCAATCTTCCACACATCCTCGTTCGCGAGAGAGCTATCCTGCTGAACCTGCTCCACCTGAGGGTCCTCATAAACCACCACCGGGTTCTCCTCTTCGACGTCTACGGCTCGCGGAGTTCGCACGCGCAATCGTCCTTCATGTACGAGCTGCAACACAAGCTGAAGCAAAAGATTCCTGCGGCAAACGGGGGTCTCCCCTACGAGTTCCGTGCCCTTGAAGTCGTCCTCCAGTCGGTGACACAAGAGCTCGAAGCTGATTTCGAAACTGTCCGCGCACCAGTCCTTCGCATCCTGAGCGAGCTGGAGGACGACATCGACCGGCACAAGCTGCGAGTCCTGCTCGTCTTGTTCAAGAGAGTTAGCACCTTTGAGCAGAAGGCCAGGCTGGTGCGCGATGCCATTGAAGACCTGCTCGAGGCCGACGATGACTTGGCTGCCATGTACCTGACCGAGAAAACCCACGATCTTCACCGTGCCCTGGACGACCATACCGAGGTTGAGTTGCTCCTGGAATCCTACCAAAAGTTCTGCGACGAAATCGTCGAGGAAGCCGGCAACTTATTGTCCGGTATTCGAAGTACCGAGGAAATGTAAGTTGACATTCTATCTGCCTGTATATCATGGGATATCCCGAACTAATACCCGTCCTAGCATTCGCGCGATCCTGGACGCGAATCGAAACGCGCTTATGCTGCTTGATTTAAAGTTTAGTGTCGGAACACTGGGCCTGGCCATGGGGACATTCATTGCTGGTCTTTACGGAATGAACTTGGAGAATTTCATCGAGGAGACGAACTGGGGCATGGGCGCTGTCACTGGCGTTTCAATCATCATGTCCATCTGGGTCTGCCTCTACGGCCTGAAGAAGCTGCACAGAGTCCAGCGGGTCAAGATGCAGGGCACTGACCGCCGCAGTCTGGAGTCGGGATATCACTGGTTCCAGGACGAGGGCCACGCCGGCCTGCTCGACCCGCGGAACCGGGAGCAACTGCGACGCATCAATATGATGAAGGCGAACCAGGTCGCGCCCAAGAAGAGTCGGTGGTGGTGGCCCTGAGTGCCGAGGGGCATTGACAATATAATAGCATGGTTCTCGGCGTTTTGGTTTGGGCTTTCCCGAGCGCTTTGATATACGGCGGTGTACCCTGTAGATTTCTGGTGGTTTGTCGGAATTGTTCTCACCTCCTCTGTAGGTTATTGTGTCAGAATATACCCCATCATATAGACGTGTACTTCACTCAATCGAGCACAGATGACATCCAATGCCAGCGGTGAACATCCAGCATGTCGTTGGATTGGGGGCGTATGGCAGAAAACAGCCAACATGCTGAGGACAAAGACGTGAGCCAACACCTTTCCTGTTTGCTCCGAATTGAAAAAGCCCCAGCGCACACAAGACAAAGAACTGGTTGGGGAAACATGACACTCGTTCCGTGCCATGAATCTCAAGTCCGTCAGATGATCACATACCTTTGGCACATTCTGGGATTCAATGAGGAGCAGCACAGTCCTGCGTAACACCGCTCCACCGTGAATCCAATAATCTGCACTTATTCCGGCCAATTCCAACGTATTGATATGATCACCTGCCCAAATACTCTCGGGGCCGGTCTGAGAGGGCGTTCAAGACTGGGGTCCAACACGTTCCGGCGTGGTTGGTAAAATCCTTTTGGACTATAAAGAGGGCGTCGTCGATTGTAGTATGTTTCATACAACACTCTTACTCAGTAGTTGTGATTACTCAACCCAGACTTGCCTTCTATTGAACATTTCTAGAACGATGGGTAACGTGCAAAGCGCTGGAGAGCGCACCGGGCGGTGAGCAATTTCTCAAATCCGGTATCCTACTTACCAATCGCATAAAACAGGAAAGGAAGCTCAGAGAAACCTCAGAAGCATCTGCTACCAGAGTGAGCTACTTGTCGACGCCAGTAGTTTCGAAGCTGACCGTAGAGATTAGAGATACAGGTAGTAAGAAACGCGCAAAAGAAACCACATCGTCGGCACCGCGGTATTTGGCCCAGCAGCTCCGGCCAGGTCTTAGCTAACTCTATGAAACAGGAATAATAACTGCACAAAAATACAGGAGATATTGCAGCCGAAGTACGTAACTTCCTAGTACTACTCTGCTTATGATTAACGGGCGAATAGTGATGGGATGCCGGGTATTACTGTTGTAGGTGATTATTGAAGCGAACGCTGCAAGCCATACGTGGCTAATCTTTAAACAGACGAGAGCAGATTGATTATGAGAATTCGCTTGTATTTGGTCCGCCATGGGTTAAGATATGGTCGACAACATCTAGGCATATACAGCAGCCATTCCGAGAGGTTCGCGAGGTCTAGGGAGGTTAGGAGACAGTGAGATATCTTTGCTCTGGAAGCGCCATGTTCAGACTGTTGTCCCAGGATTCTGCTAAATTGAAAAGTTGATGGTGGCTATTAGCTAGCAATAAGTTTCTGGCTTGAGAGGTTTCAAGTGACCATGTTGAAATATCATCAAGCTTGATCATCGGTTCACCACGAGACTACGTCTTCTTTGACGATAAATCTCCTGATTATCCCGCGCATAACTACACAACGTCTATGACAAGATTGCATATCATATCCAGAGGCACGATCAAGGTCAAAAAATGATCATTGCATATTTGCGTCATGAGAATCTCGGACCGACCCATTTTATTGCCGAAACTCCGTATACACTTGTGCGGGCACTACGGCCGACTTGCTGGGATCTGAAGCCACGACAGGGGGGGTCGTGGGCGCGCCAGATCATATCATGCAGGCATGTATGCATGCCCGAAAAGAACGCAACTTACGCGGATCAAAGCAAGCCCCTCACTAGTACGTGGCACAGGAGATGTGCGCTTACCAAAGAATATACTGGTCAAGGAACCCCCTCGTGCAACTGAGGATTATAGCAAATAGCCCAACGTTATATAACCCCCCTTCCAAACCGCCACCATGAGTGCCCCGACCACCAAATCGGATGTACGCGAAGATGATGGCGATTCTCCCGGCCAATGGGATCTGGATATGTCGGAACTAGACGATAGCGATAAGCCCGAGGAGGAAGATATCGAGGCTAACCCTTCTTCAGGCCAGTCAGTCTACGATACGGATTCAGTGGTGGCCGAGTCGGGCATCTCATATCATGGCTACAAGCCGGGGAAATATTACCTCCCAAATGATGCAGTGCGTTGAATCCTACCAAATCCCCAATAGTCGCCCCATTGGTCTGACCAGGATATAGGCAGAACAAGATCGCTTAGACATCATGCACGTGAGCTTTCGGCTGCTCCTGGGAGGAAAGCTTGCCCTGGCTCCGTTCCAAGAACCGCCGCGGTACGTTCTCGATGTGGGAACGGGCACTGGCATCGTGAGTGAATCGAGGTCGTTTCATCCACACCTCTGAGCAGGAGAATACATGCCAAGAGCACACGCTCAGATGGCACCGGCCCTGCATGCTGGCCAACGAGACATCTACTGACTGCCAGTATTACAGTGGGCAATCCAGTTTGGTATGTATTGGAAAACCGAATTCCGCTCCGGGACAAAGACGTTGAGACAAACTGACACCTCTCTCCTTGGTACCCAGCCGAGGAGCATCTCGACTCGCAGGTCATCGGCACGGACCTCAGCGCCATCCAGCCGCGCCTGACCATCTCCAACTGCAGCTTCCAGCGGGACGACGCCGAGGAGGAGATCTGGCTGTTCCCCGTGCCCCAGAACCGCTTCGACTACGTGCACCTGCGCTTCATGGTCACCTGCTTCGACGAGCCCCGCCGCGTCATGGCCAACGCCTTCGAGCACCTCAACCCGGGCGGCTGGATCGAGTTCCAGGACTCCATCATGCCCATCCTGGACTTTAATGGTAAAGCGGAAGGTGAGTTTCTTTGCGGGGGGCGTTGGAGCTGGGGGCTTTGCTGTGAAATTGGGTAATTTCTCAACGACGGCCTGTGGTTATCTAGGAACTGCGATAGAGAGGTGGAATCAGTACGCATACAGCGGAGGCGCCGCCCTGAATCGAGACTTCAAGAAGCCGAGCCGGTACAAAGAATGGCTGGAAGAAACAGGGTGTAAGTCATGCCGCCGTCTTTCCGAACAGCACGACTTGTGTCAAGGGCACCCCGTCGTACGACTCGAACAAAAGATTACTTACACCGTTTCGCTTTTCCGATTTAGTCGTCGACGTCAAGGAGCACAAGATCGAGTGGCCCATGGCCCCCTGGCCCGCCGACGCCCGGCGCAAGAAGGCCGGCTGGTTCCTACTGCGCAGCCTGATGAACGGGTTCCGCGGCCTGAGCTGGGCGTTCCTTAGGGCTGCGGGCCTCAGCGCCGACGAGGTCGAGACCCTGGTCGCCGAGTGCAAGAAGGACCTGTTGAATCGCAAGTACGCATGGTACTTTGGCGTGTAAGTCCCGAGGCGAGGTGATAGGAGAGATGGTTTCACGGCTCGTCACTCATGCTTGTGTTTCCAGATACATTGTGTACGGAAGAAAACCTGCGGAGGGCGAGACTGGGCAGAGCCCTGCCAGTTCCTCAGCCTCCACGCCCAGCTAAGGAAAGCAGAAGGCGGCACAACCTGGAGGACTGTATGAGAAGGCCTATTCGAAGAGGAGTCGCCACGATGATCTCTCCTCCAATACCTGGACCCATCATCCTATTGTTCCTCATTTACTTGGTCAAAGATGGCAATCTTGCCAGTGGGATAGACATGCGGGAGACAGCGGTTGTGATGCCGAGTTCATCCTGTTTCAAGATGCCGATATAGTCACATCCAAGGCTCCGATATCTTCACCCTATCATACCTTTAGTATTTAACGCTTAAGCTAAACTCGAGGCAGTCGATAGGGTATGAGATCCAGCAAGTGTCGACTCCTCATGCGTGAGAAACAACAGGTGGCCGGGTTCCATGTGCTGATCGTCGACGCCTTGCGTGCAGTTGGTCCAGTCCATTTCTGGACCCCACCAATCTACCCCAACGCGGGTTTGGCCTCCTGCTTCACATTCTTGCACAGCAATTTTAGCCCACGCCGAAGGGCCCGGAGACACATTGTCCCCAGAGCCAGCCTTGCCAGCCTGCGGCAATGTCGTAACAGTATGATTTGTCTGCACAAAAAGACCATGTCCATTCCTCAATAACGCGAGACACGATGAATGCGACCAAGAAGGCCCGCGACGGACAGTCTACTCATTCGGTTCTCCACAAGTGCTAGTATAGCCATCAGCCCAGTCTAGCCACCAGCCCAGGCTGTATTACACCCGGACCAGAGCACCCATCAACTCTGCAACATATCACTTATGTAGTTTCGCAGAAAAGAACAAAAGATATGGTGGCACAAAAGCCCTCCAATGTATTCCATGAACTCCTGACGAGCCCGACAGGGTTTTTGCTATCCAGCCGGACCTGCCCACGATGGTATATCTAATGCGGTATCAATATCGCTAACAAAATGGTGATGGTAATGACCAATAAAACAAAACCAGAAAGAAAGATTCGAGACTCGAAAGGGGGACAAAGCGAATTACAGACGCCGTGCTCTGCATAGGTAGTGGTGGTGGTGGTGGCAGTAATAGGCCTGGGGCGCCATCCCTTGACAGCTGCGGACGTGTAGTGCAGTATAGTAGACGGGGTATCCCTCTTTATTCCACTATTCCTTCTTCTATACGGCATCGTCGCCTCGTCTTGGTTCACCCGCCGGCGCTCCGCCCCGGGACTCGGGGTCCGTATCTCTGCCCGTCGTTTGCCGGTCGCTCTCTCCCGGCCGCGCACCACCCTCCTCTTCATCCCTGAACCTTGGGAGGCGGCCCCAGCTCCAATTCCGAGTCCCCCTGGGTGTGGAGCCCTCGATGGCGCTGGTACTATCGCCGCGTTCCCGGCCTTTGAACCACCTCATCTTCCAGATGCCGCCCGTGGCATCTTCACCGCTAGTGCTTCTGCGGCGGCCCGGCTGCTTTCTGGCCTGGAACCCGGGGAACCCAGTAGACTTCCTTCTCCGCCGGAACGATCTCCTCTGGGATGTCTCGTTCGCGGATGATGGGCCTGCGGTGGAGACGGAGCCGACCGAGGTGTTGGAGGGATGCCTCCGAGACCCGCTCAGTAGTGCGGTCGTCTCACTTGCACCGGCCGGGAGGGTAAGAGACCGGCGGGGATTCATCGTCGGACTCGGCATCTCCTGGTCCTCAAGCTCGTCCCATATCTCGGCCCGCTCGTGCCAGCGTTTCGAAGGCTTTCGGCCAGGAGCCAAGGGCGTTGTTTCCGGGGATTCGGGAGCAAAAGTGTTGTATGTTGGTGGCACGGCGGCCTCGTCGTCTGAGATGGTGTCGGAATCGATGAGCGATTCTTCCTCGCCTTCCGTGTCCTCCACCAATCCGAGTCCCGGCGTGAGGCTTGACTGCCCGACGGCCGGCGGGTGCTGCTCATCACTCAGGCGCCACGACAAGGCCAAAACGCCCGAGAGCAGGATGACGGTACCAAGCGCAATGAGACCGCCGTGTAAGGCGGATATTAAATTGGTTTGGTTGAAATATATGAGTCCATCCAAGATCGCAATGATGTTGTAAATGCAGAAAACAAGGGGATACAGGACTGAAGTTGATACAAGCTTTAAACCCCTGTGGAGGTAGTACAGCTGGCTGAGAGCCAGAGTGACCAGGCCCAGCACTATCATCCACGACTGCCAGTGGACGAACTGGTTGTCCTTGTCGGCGATGGTCCTCAGGACCAGCTCCACGGCCGACTTGGCGAACAGCAGGGAGTGGGCAGACAGGACGCCGCTTATGAATCCGTACGCCAACCCCCGGATGAAGCGGAACCGGGCGTTCTGCGTCAGGTTGCTGAAACGGCTGACCAGTTCCGTGACGATGGCGACTCCAATGACAAGCACGGCCTGCAGGACCATCCAGAGAATGAACTGCCAGCGGCCCATGAGGTCCAACAGCTCGCGCAGGCTGTGGGCGGGCGAGGGGATGGCGCCAAAGATGCCTATCAGCACGGCGCCGCCGCTGACGAGCAGCGTGCCCCAGAGGCTCCATCGCGTGAAGGGCTCGCTGAGGATCAGGGTGGCGCAGAGCGAGTTGAAGACCAGGCCGGCCGCCTGCAGGGTCGACAGGACGGGCAGGGGCAGGGTCGATATCTGCACGGTGCTGCCGAGTATGTTGGCTATGACGAACATGCCCATGCCCAGCTGCCAGCGGCGCCTGCGGTGGGGTGGGCGGCGGACATCGTGCGGGCCCTTCTCGTCCTCGAGGATGTGCGATTTGCGCTGCAGGGTGAGCCCGAGGGACTGGACGCTCGTAGATACCAGGCCGACGAGGACACCGATCTGTTCACGACGGGGTCTGTTAGAAGGTGCTCTGTGGCCGCGAGGGTTTGGTTGAGGCATACCGCAATGCTGCCGCCCGGAGAGAGACCGCCCAGCGATCCCATTGCGACTGGATCTTATGGGGCGGAGCTCATCCAGCGAAGGGAGTCGCCGATGAAGTGCAAGACGGGCTGCGCATCGAGGCCGCTCGTCAGATGCGGTTGTCTACGGCCTTGGAGATATCGTGGCTGTCTCGTCCTCGGTAGCTCTGGAGGTCCGGGTCTGGACGGGCGTCGTTCGCGCCGGGTGTATCTCGAGCGGTGTGCTACAGCAGCTCCCTATGTACTTGGCGCCTCGGGTTTGGTGCGAGGGATATAGCTGAGGATGTCTGCGGGATGGTATAAGGCGTCTCTGTCGTCGGTCGTGGTCGTCGTGGTCGTCGGTCGCATGTACAGGTCTCGTAACTAGTCAGGAGATGCGGTGCAGAGTGTCGTCGAGGCATCAAGTGATGGGCGGCGGATGATTGGGGTGTGCGCTCAATGACGCTGTAGCCGACCGGGGGGTCCTGGGACGTCTGGCCGAAAGAGGCGATGGCGGGTTGGGTGGGCGCTCGATGGGGGAACTGGGCGTGGACGGGGGCCGGACAAGTACCTAAAAGTCAACTAAACGCTGCAGAATGACTGGAGGCTACCTAGGTAGGTCTGTTTCCTCCCAACAAAGCTGCCAGAGGACCGAGATATGAAGCACTCGTTCCAGCGATTCATCGTCTCTTATCACCGTCGAGGAGCATGGCTAATAAAGAGTGGCAAGGTGGACTTGATGCGCATTTCCGTCCACAAGGCCCGGGGCATCAAATTGAAACAACCTGTCACGGCCGCGCATTGAAGCACGCATCACAAGTCACTGCCGGTCGCTGCAGGGACCACTGGCTACTCCTAGTCTACCCTCATGTCGTCCTGGACCAGCAGCATGAGATGCCCGTGGACCTGTAGCATTCCTCGGCCCGCTGCTCTGCTGGGGCGCTGTCCAGTCAGCGTTGTGGGACGGGGGCAGAGCGGACCAGTCGCTCCAGCGGTACCTTGGGATTTCCGCGGTGGGTTCCTCAGGGAACGTCCGCTATGACCTACACCTCAAGGTACAGAAACAGTGCTGTAGGTAAGTTGCCTGAAGCCATTAGTGGCACACATGCACCTTGAGGGGAAAATCGTGGCGCAGCTGGGGGGTCGGTGGTTGTTGTGGATGTGGCTCAAAGTCGGGGGCCCAAAGTCGGGGGCCACTGGGCTGCCAGGCTGCTCAGGTGCCCAGGTAGTGCTGCAGAACGTCGTCAGTGTTGTCAGTCGTGTATGCTGGGCTGGACGGGAGCTGTCCAAGTACGTACGGAGGGGGACCCACCAAGCCGACGACCTAAGCACCCCATACAACCATACAGCCATACAACCATACAACCATACACCCGACCGACGTCCTAGATACCCTTTCGTCACATCGAACCCGGAGCTGCGCGAGAGCTTCATACTGGCCTCCTCTTCTTCTACTGTCATCCTCTGTCCCTTTTCCAGCTCTACGACTGCTGCTCTGCCTGCTTAGACGCCCTCCCGCTCGCCGACACTCCTCCCTCCCCGATTAATAGCTCGACCTCTCTCTATCCCTCCCCGTGTCTCCCCATCGTCATCACAACACCGCCAACATGTCGCAAGTCCACGCCATGTCGGACGCTCAGGTGAGTGACCACGCCATACGCATACGGCCTGCACACGCAGCCGCCTGCCCCCAGCAGCAGCCGAGAAGCTAACCGAGACCCGCCCGCCCGGCGGTGGTTCACAGGTCGACCAGGAGCTGAAGAAGATGACGGCCTTCATCAAGCAGGAGGCGCTGGAGAAGGCGCGCGAGATCGAGCTCAAGGCCAACGAGGAGTTCAGCATCGAGAAGTCCAAGCTGGTGCGCGAGGAGACGGACGCCATCGACGCCGCCTACGCCAAGAAGTTCAAGCAGGCCTCCATGACGCAGCAGATCACGCGCTCCACCGTCGCCAACAAGACCCGCCTCAAGGTCCTGGGCGCCCGCCAGGAGCTGCTCGACGACATCTTCGAGGCCGCCGGCAAGAAGCTGCCCGGCGGCGCCGGCGACGACAAGAAGCACCAGGCCGTCCTCAAGAACCTGCTGCTCGAGGGCCTCTACGCCCTCGCCGAGCCCGAGGTCCAGGCCCGCGCCCGCGCCAAGGACTACGGCGTCCTGCGCAAGGCCGCCCAGGCCGCCGAGAAGGAGTACAAGGAGAAGACGGGCAAGGACACCAAGGTCGTCATCGACGAGGACAACGCCCTGCCCGAGGGAAGGTGAGTTTATTTCGCACCAGAGGACTGGCCATCAGAGAGCCAACACGGGCGTGCTAATGCCTATATACAGCGCAGGAGGTATCTTCATTGTCGGAGGCCAGGGCAAGATCGACATCAACAACACATTCGAGGAGCGCCTCAACCTGCTACAGTCGTCCGCCCTGCCCGCCGTGCGGAAGGCCCTCTTCGGAGAGAACCCCAACCGCAAGTTCCACGACTAAGGGACCGGTGGACATACACAGACAGACGGTCGTGTGTTGCGTTTTGGCCCTGTCTACGGTTCAGAGACCTGGCCTCGGGCCAGCGCTGCAGACTCGACGCTACGCGATACCGCGCAGTCGACACATTGGATTTGGTTGTTTTCATGTTTAGCATTTGTTGGGTTCTGGGGCTCCTGACTTTTCCTGGGCACGCTAGTTTAGATAGAAGAAGCTGTATCATACAGAGGGGTTTGCGTTTCCATGACGGGCAGAAGAAAGGGGTTGGTATCATCAAATCAAGTACATCATCCCATCGTAACTGCTTCCAATGCCGCGAGTTCCATTGCTAAATGGACCTGAAGGCCGACTTATGGACATTATTGCCCCATCGCCTGTGTGCTCCACGGCAGGACATATCCTCAGGCGGCGCCCTCGTTATCGTCAGCTTCATCCTTCTTTACGCCGCCACCCTTCGACGCCGCGCTCCACTTCTTCATGAAATCCCGCTGCCGCGGCAGATGCGCGTCCTCCTTCTCCCTCCCGTAGATGGCCTCGTCGAAGATGCTGCTCTTGGGCGGCGGCCGGCTGCGCACCGTGAACGCCAGCCGCTTCATCATGCCGTCGAGCGACGCCTTGGCCACCTTGCTGGACACGAGGCTGTTGTCGGCGATCTTGTCGTGCAGCGCCTTGAGGTGGGCGCGCAGCCGGTCGACGTCGGCGTCGAACAGGGCCGCCGCCTCGGCCTCCGACCGCGGCGACGGCGTCGTGGCCGTGCTCGCCGCCGTCGTGGTTGACGTGGACGAGGCCGGGGTTGGCAGCGCCGGTGCGAGCCTGGGCTGAGGCGTGGGGGCCGGCAGAGGCGTCGTCGACAGGTAGGCCCGGCCGAACTGCGAGCCGCGGTCCAGCACCATGTCGAACAGCGAGAGGAGCGCGTTGAGCTCGTCAAAGTCGGTCGAGTGTCTTACGCGGAAATTCTTGGCCCCGAGGCGGGCGAAGAGGTCCTGCATGGTGACGGACTCGTCGGGATGTATGGCGCCCAGGCCCGGGTCGTCGAAGAGGGCTACTGTCGCCAGCCTACGCTGCAAGTCAGCCAGTCGAGGCGTAGAGGTCGGCAGCATCACGGTGGCAATGTGGCGTTGCGTCACTTGGTCTACACCTTGATGGAGATAATTGCATATCTTCTTGCACTGCATGGTGTTAGCGTGTGCTGTTTATGAGAAACGTGGAAATGGCTTACACATGTATCCCACTGGTCCTCTGGAGCAGGTAGAGCCGACTCTAGAGCGACCATGGCTTTGGCGTATTCGGCACGAACGCCCGGCGCCCTGTCGACCACAGGGTCGAGGCTTAAGCGTAAAAGCAGTTGCACTGCGCTCGTTGCATTTTTTGATGTCAGATTGGGCGCCATCTCCGCCAGTAGTTGCAAGAAATGACGAAGAGGAGACCAGTCTCTCCTCGAATAGGGGTCCTGCAGCCCAGGCGATAGCTCGAACTTCTGCTTCGAGGTTTCATGCTTCTGGCCCCCTATCTTCTCCAGCATCTTATAGAGCTGCCTCTCGTCAACCAGACGCCGTGTGTCATCACAACACAGCGCGGCCGACCTGATATACTGGTTCCGCAGCTGAAGGTTCTCCTCGATACATATCTCGTCGAGGATCCACCGGTAGATTTCGTCTGGCAGCTCCTTCCCTTTTGCAGCCACAGCGCTGACCATCCCGCGTATGAACATCTGGTCTCGGGTCTTGCTATCCTGCAACAAGGTCCACGGTTTGACCTTGGCTGCCTTTTTGGGGAACGGCCGCCTGGGACCAGCGCCTGCGGCGGCTGCTTCATCCTCCAGAGCGAAGAAATAGCAGCGCGGTCTAGACTCGTCGCCTACTGTGCGGTCAATAGCCCTGGCCAGCTTGTCGCCCTTCTCCCCATCCTCGCCGCCAAAAACGTCCCTGGCTTTGTCGGCCATATCACGCCCAGCTTCGAGCTCCTCTTGGTCCGCCTTCACCCTGAGCTCGTCAGCTCGTCGAGCACTCTGCTCGGTAGCATCGTCCTGTCTCGCATGCTTGATGAGAGACTTGAGGTCGAACTTGTGAGTAGGCTGCTGCTGCAGCGTCAGAGGAGACCGGTGAAAGCTGTTGGGTGCAATCCTCTTGGCCTTGGGAGTAGTCGTCAACGCCGTAGGCCTCTGGTATGTGGCCGGGCCAGATCTACGTCCCAGGAGCTCCCCGAGCGACTCGAGAGAACTATCCGAGTCATCGTCTTCGTCGTCTGAGCCCCTGATCTCGTCATCCCTTGTCAGAGGTGTCTTGACGGGCTGCTTCTGTGGTGTGAAAGGCGACGACGGGAGATCTATCGACAGCTGTGACGAAGGTGTAGGTGTTGGCTGATGGGCCCGCTCGGCCGCCGGCGGGGAGGCAGGCAATACGCTGCTAGCAGACGATGCCTTCGGGGGAGGAGCCCTGGACGGCGCTCCCTTGGCGAAGAACCCTCTGATGTCTCCATTTTTAGACATCTTTGCAGCTGTGACCGGATCCTCGTGCCACCATCTCTGTGGAAGACGGCTACCAGCACAGTATGCCAGTCCTGGCAAAGGATGTGGAACAAACGCGATGCGACTGTCTACCCGCGACTTTTCGTGTCACGAAAATCACATGACATCTCATAGGCAGCATGTAGTCAGTTAAAGTGCAGTCTGGTAGTTGCGCAGCTGGCATCTATTGAACGGCGGGTCTTTCCCGGCTGGCAGCCAAGTCGCATTAGAAGTTGGCATTCCTCCAACTTTTCGTCTCCAAGATCTCAATGGGGCTCTCCATCTTGGTGATGCTTGGCGGGGTCAGACCCCCATCTAAGCCCCTCCGGGCCCCCATTCATCATTATCCCCCGGATGCCCTGATCCATCGATGAATACTCCGTACTCTGTCAAGGGGCTGCAGAGAACTCGTCTCCGTCCGTTTTATGCACCTCAGAAGCTGCAGTGTGCACTCCGTCCCCCCCTTTTGGAGAGAGTTTTGATGTCTTAGTCCAATTGGATGCCATGGCAGAATGCGTTTCTTCGCTCTTTGGGGAACATTTCATCCCATCAGGGGTTCCCCATCGCAACCCTCCAGATCGCGCGCCGATCAATGAGTGTGTGCGGATTAGTCGGTGGATGTATATTCGTCGCCCAGACACGTCAGTCAAGGGGCAGCAATTTACACATCGAGCAGCCGTGACAGGGTCTATCAACATGCTGCACGCACGCCGCGGGTCTCCAGCTTCTAGTCTCGTCGTATACGTAATATCGCACTCGCGGCACTCAATGCCCTCGATGGAACCCTCTTTCCATGAATAGCAATACACCGGAGCCAGGTTCCCATCGGACTGGTCTGCGCGGGTGGAAATCAGACGGTGAAGGTCTGGCCAAGAGTTCCAGTTGCCAGTTCCATGGGCTGGGCACAGCTTTGACGAACGGATTCATGCATGAAACAACCCAATCTGGCTCGCCCGGATGAGACTCTGGCATGGTTCGCAGCACGGATCGCCTGGGTGCGCTTCCTGGCTGCCGTGAGCCCCTGTTTCCCAGATCAGCAGAGGGAGATGCCGCTTCCGGATTTGGGGATAAAAAATTATAGCATCACTGCATATAAGGCCATGTCCACGCGAACGCGTTATCCATAAGATTTTCACGATGCGCTCTTTGCGCTTCATCCGTGCAGCTTGTGATACCGCTCTGCAATACTGTCTCCGTAAGCAGGTTAGTGACCCAGAATAGCGGCCGCTAGACGTTGGTGGCATCGGCGTCTTAGCCATGGCCTAATCTCAAGCCATCGCCTGGCTCCAAGCTGCTTCAGGTGCGACTCGTAAAAAAGGGACCAACTGCCATCCAAAACGTCTCGATATCACGTCCAACCGTGAGCTGGTAACCCAAAAACGGTCAGTCATGCGGTGGAAACAAGCTGGCATGCATATAGAAACTCTAGATAATCCTGTAGGAATATGCTGGCGGATTCCTGTGTACCTGTCTATCTGGCTTCTCATTTGACTCAGCAGCTCTCAGGGGAGCGAGAAGAGCTTCTCGTCACAACGTTGCGCTGTTAAACTCAAAACCTGCAGCTCGGTCTTAATAGGAACCCGAGAGATGGGCAGCATAGCGCCTCCACATGGACTCCATATCTCGAGGCGGTCGACTAAAATTGTGAAGACGCCGACTGGTTTGACACCTTGGCCGACTGGAAACGAGCTTGCCCCGACTGGACGAGCACCGTGCGAGCTGCTGATTCAGGGTGGAGGATTGTGTTACTTGCAGGTGGCTCCAACAGATCTTATCACCACAGCCCCTCGGGCCTTGCAAGACGGGCAAGTGATTGACAAGCGCAGTCCTATTCTTTCCTCATCTTCAGTAAGCACTCAATTATAGAAATCCGCCGGCCGCGCTGAGGACAGTTGGCAGTGCACGAGGCTGTGGCTTATGTTTCCCAATCCTTGGTGCATAGTCAAAGTCGTAGTAAAGAGAGACTGCCGACACAATAGAGTTGATCCGCAAGCCTGAGTCCGAAGCTGACATGGAAGGCGGCGGGCACCACTCGAGCAACCCCTACCGACCTTCCTGGTCTGCAGACGGGGCCCTACGGACGATCGCGGTAGCGACGGCACCCCGACCGACTGGTTCGTTACCTGGTAACCTGACCTGGCTTCCTGGCAAGCTGGTTGGCCAATCTGGGACGTGACGACAAGGGCGAATAGCGAATGGCGAGAAGCCAGGCCGATGAAGTCACCAGCTGACGATGTGTGCAGTATATTAACCTGAATGGTCAATGCTAGACACTCCATTGAATCCAACGTCAGCCCTGTCCCTACTCCGGTGGTACTACCTATGTAATCAGCTACAATCGAATGAGCCTGTGAGCCCGGCACATGGGATTCGTCGAAATGCGTGCATTGCCTGTATGGCCTGCATTGATTGAATGAGATTTGCCCTCGTAACGGCCCTAGCCGCAAAGAAAAAAGCTGAAAGGCAAGCAATGGCCGCCATCCCTCCGTTGCCGCACGCCTTACTCGGTAGCTCCTCGTGGTGACGGAGGGGTGGATCACTGGAACAAGGAGCTCCCTCGTGGCATTCCAGGTGTCTTGGAGCAAGAAATCTCATCTCCAATGTGGCGTCGACATGTTGCCTGAGCGAAATTGACTTGATCGAGGCTGTCCTCCCGGAACATGACTTCGATCACTACTACTACTACTACTACTACTACTACAGTGCGGCACTGCATGTGCAGTGAGTGGGTGGAGGGATTCTGTGCTTGCCAAGCGGCAGGTTACCATCCCGCCGCCAGATCAGGCCAAGCAGCAATGCAGGTGGGCGGGCTGTTACACGGAGCCCTTTCTGTCGTTAGATTGCGCCCAGGCGCAGCTCTGGTCCAGTCATACCAAGGTGGCTTCGGAGTTGGGCTGCGGACTGCATTGTTGGCTTACCAATCTGCTGCTGGCCAATACATAGTACCTAGGTTGGCGAAGGAAGGATCCTTACAATGAAACCCGCGCCGCGCCGCAGTAATAACAACGCTTGTGCCTTGGGTGGCCCACGAAGTACAGTAATGCATTCGGTAACGGCGGGCTGGCCTTTGATCGTTTACCAGGCTGACAAAGCCAGCTCGGCCGGCCGCGGAACTGAGGCATGAGTGAATGATTCAGTGAGCGTGACAAAGAGTCGGATACAAGTCAGGAGGAGAGGGATGGTCCGTAGGGGCTGCATCCGCGCACGGGAATAAAGTTGGATAGATGGGTGAGGCGCGCGCAGGAGACGGGCGGTCGGGTCCACGGGCGCCACGGGTCGAGTTGCAAACGCGAAGGCCAGGACAGCGTTTCCAGCACAGTGTTAGGTAACATATGTAGGCTTATACCAGAGATTGTGCACGAGAAACCGAAGCCCGAGGCGCACACACACCCACACATAGTTACACACACAAGACTTGGCCACCGCCAACTTGGAGCGCGTGGAGAGCATGTGGATTGTGGATGGGAAGCCAAAGCCAAGAAAGGGCAAAGCAAAGAGAGACCTGCGGCTGCGACCTGTGGTCTCGTAGTCTCGTAACGCAACCTGCTACGTACTGTGCTGTAGGGGGGGGTACCTAGGCTAGGTAACTACTGTGGTAGGCAGGTAGGGGGGAGGGGAGAGGCTAAGGTGGGTAACTCGGTAGGGAGAGGGTGGCCCAAGGGCCCCAAGGGGGGAGAAAGAAGAGAACCTTGGAAGGCCACCGAGACCAACAAGGCCAAGCCCAGCGTCTCCCATCTCACTAAATGGTGCATACAGTACTATGGTACGCTAGGTCCCGCTTGCTGCGTTATCCCCGGCCCATCCGATATTAGCGATCCAGCAACCCTCGAACTTTCCAATAAGCAGCCCGCCGACCCTTTTCCTTTTCGGTCTCGCTGTCATCAACCACGCCGTCACGGCAGAAAAAGTAGCCACCCACGCTGTCCGAGTGCCAGTCTCATCGACGACAACCCCCGCGGACCGACGGCAGCCAGACATATAGCCAGAGCGACGGGATCCAGAACATCGCGTCACCTCCCGGCCGGCCATCTTTTTGCACGCCAGTGCAGCCCGGCGACAACGACCCGCCTCGCACTTCCACCACCACCCGCCGCGAGGGAGCGAGAGCATTGGCCATCGGACACAGGAGGACGCACCGCCAGCGCTGGACGACGAGCAATCGCGCGCGGCCATCCGGGCCACTCTGGCGGAACCAGCGGGTTGAACGGGCCCTGCCCCGTAACTCGGATCTAGCAGAATGGCCAAGGGCGACGGCACCAACGGCCATGCCACGGACAAGCCGCCGAAGCGGTCGAGATGGGCCACGCGCAAGCTGACCATGAAGAGCAGCGGCCGCAAGAGGGTCTCCATAATAGACAGGATACACAAGAGGACGGACTCGACCGAGAAGAAGAGGCAGTCGGGCGGGTCCACTTCACTGCGTCAGGAGGGCGATGGCGAGGGCGAGGGCGGCGACAACGATTCCTTCAACCAGAACCAGGACGGCGCTCAAGATGACACCAACAGCACCGCGTCGAGCTCCGACAGCGAGGGCCGGACCTTGTTCTTCAACCTGCCCTTGCCCGACGAGTTCAAGGACGAAGAAGGCCATCCGCGACAACAGTATACGCGCAACAAGATCCGAACGGCCAAATATACGCCTCTGTCCTTCGTACCCAAGAACTTGTGGTTCCAATTCCACAATGTTGCCAACATTTTCTTCTTGTTCCTGGTTATCCTAGTGGTGAGTAAACTCTCGAAGCCGTCTTTGGCAGGCACACGCATTCACATATCGATTTGTGTCGTGCATCGACATGCGACTCTCCCTACCCTTTCCCGCTCAGATTCCACTTTTTTTCATAGGCATTTTATAACACTCGAGTATAGATTTTCCCCATTTTTGGCGGTTCGAACCCGGGGTTGAACGCGGTGCCCCTGATCTTTATCATCACAGTCACCTCCATAAAGGACGCCATAGAAGATTACAGGAGAACAATCCTTGATATCGAGCTGAATAACGCACCTGTGCATCGCCTGGTGGGTTGGAATAATGTCAACGTCGAAGAAGACAACGTTTCCACCTGGCGCAGGATCAAGAAGGGCAGTTCCAAGTTTTTCGGTGCCATCTGGCACGCTATTGAGAGCCTGTGGAAGAAGAACCCGAATAAGAGCGTCATGGAGAGCATCGCCGACCCGCGCCCTTCCATCGAGACGCACGCGACGCAGCGAGAGTCGATCATCTCTCCACGGTCAGATCGGGCATCTTTCGTATCCGCCCAGGAAGAGATTCTGATGACCCCTCTGGCATCTCCCCTTCCCCACCAGGAGTCCCTGCAGGTCCCCGGAGGTGCTGGACAGCGACCGGATACTCGCCTGTCCTACAGCGCGGACCAAGCTGAGACTCTCGAACGCGTTAAGGGAGATCTGATCAACCACAACGCGCCGACGAATGGCGGAGGCCGTTTCCACAAGGACGCTTGGAAGAACGTTCAGGTCGGGGACTTTGTCCGTCTTTACAACGATGACGAGCTGCCCGCCGATATCATTGTTCTATCGACTTCTGACAATGACGGAGCATGCTACGTCGAAACCAAGAACTTGGACGGTGAAACCAACCTGAAGGTGCGCCAGGCCCTGCGATGTGGCCGAACTCTGAAGCACGCCAGAGACTGCGAGAGGGCCCAGTTCTCGATCGAGAGCGAGGCACCTCAGCCGAATCTCTACAAGTACAACGGTGCCATTAACTGGACCCAAAACGTCGGCGGTGCCAACAGGGAGATGTCCGAACCCATCTCGATTGACAACGTGCTCCTCCGTGGATGCAACCTGCGCAACACTGACTGGGTCCTGGGCATCGTGGTTTTCACCGGACACGACACCAAGATTATGATGAACGCCGGAGTGACCCCCAGCAAGCGCCCGCGCATTGCCAGGGAACTGAACTTCAACGTCATCTGCAACTTTGGTATCCTGTTGGTCATGTGTCTTGTCTCGGCTATTGTCAACGGAATTGCATGGGGCAAGACTGATGCCTCTCAATACTATTTCGACTTTGGCTCGATCGGCGGTACGGCCGGGTTGACTGGTTTCATCACCTTCTGGGCCGCCGTCATTGTCTTCCAGAACTTGGTCCCTATCTCCCTCTATATTTCGCTGGAAATTGTGCGGACGCTGCAAGCCATTTTCATCTATAGCGATGTAGAGATGTACTACGAGCGAATCGACCACCCTTGCGTTCCCAAGTCGTGGAACATCTCGGATGATGTTGGCCAGATTGAATACATCTTTTCTGACAAGACGGGTACCTTGACGCAGAACGTCATGGAGTTCAAGAAGGCCACCATCAACGGACAGCCATACGGAGAAGCATACACTGAAGCACAGGCTGGTATGCAAAAACGTATGGGCATCGATGTGGTTGCTGAGGGAGCAAAGGCCAGGAAAGAGATCGCCGAAGGAAAGATCCGCGCCATTGAAGGTCTCCGCCGCATGCATGACAACCCGTTCTTGCATGAGGATGATCTGACGTTCATTGCACCTGACTTCGTTGAAGATCTGGCAAACGAAGGCCAGTTTGGAGAGGAGCAGGCTAAAGCTAACGAGCATTTCATGCTTGCTCTCGCCCTCTGCCACACTGTTATCTCCGAGTTCGTGCCAGGCGACCCCCCGAAGATGATCTTTAAGGCACAATCACCCGATGAAGCCGCCCTCGTCGCCACGGCCCGTGATATGGGCTTCACTGCGCTCGGTACTACAAACGATGGCGTCAAAGTTAATGTCATGGGCAAGGAGGTCTATTACCCTATGCTCAACACGATCGAGTTCAACTCGAGCCGTAAGAGGATGAGCGCCATCGTCAAATTTCCTGACGGTACCATCAGGCTTCTCTGCAAGGGTGCTGACAGCGTCATCTACTCTCGGTTAAAACGAGGAGAGCAAAAAGAACTTCGCAAGACTACCGCCGAGCACCTCGAGATGTTCGCTCGAGAGGGTCTTCGAACGCTCTGTATTGCAGAGCGAATCCTTTCCGAGTCAGAGTATATCGAGTGGCGCAAGGAACACGACAAGGCCGCGACGGCTCTTCAAGATCGAGAAGAGAAGCTGGAGGAAGTGGCCGACAAGATTGAGCGAGAGTTGACTCTGCTCGGAGGTACTGCCATCGAGGACCGACTGCAAGACGGTGTTCCGGACACTATCGCTCTCCTGGGTCAAGCTGGTATCAAGCTCTGGGTCCTGACTGGTGACAAGGTAGAAACCGCGATCAACATCGGATTCTCCTGTAACCTCCTGAACAACGACATGGAGCTGATCCACTTGAAAGTTGACGAAGATGAGTCGGGTGCTACGCCAGACGAGGAGTTTTTGGCAACCGTCGAGAAGGAGTTGGACAAACAGTTGCACATTTTCGGACTCAGCGGCAGCGATGAAGATCTGGCGGTGGCGAGGAAGAACCATGAGGCACCGGCACCGACCCACGCCATCATCATCGACGGATTTACGCTCCAATGGGTGCTCCACGAGGGCCTGATGCAAAAGTTCCTGCTCCTCTGCAAACAATGCAAGTCAGTTCTGTGCTGCCGAGTCAGCCCGGCCCAGAAAGCTGCCGTCGTGGCAATGGTCAAGACTGGCCTTGATGTCATGACCCTTTCTATCGGCGACGGTGCCAACGACGTGGCCATGATCCAAGAGGCCGACGTTGGCGTCGGTATTGCCGGAGAAGAAGGTCGCCAGGCCGTCATGTCCTCGGATTACGCCATAGGACAGTTCCGATTCCTGCAACGCTTGGTACTCGTTCATGGACGCTGGTCGTACAGACGTTTGGCCGAGACCATTTCCAACTTCTTTTACAAGAACATGATCTGGACGTGGTCCATCTTCTGGTACCAGTGCTTCTGCGACTTCGATATCACCTATCTGATGGAGTACACATACATTCTAATGTTTAACCTCTTCTTTACCTCGGTCCCTGTCATCCTGATGGGCGTTCTCGATCAAGACGTTTCGGATGCAGTTTCCTTGGCCGTACCGGAGCTGTATCGTCGCGGTATCGAGCGTCTGGAGTGGACGCAGAAGAAGTTCTGGTAAGTCTTGTCTAACCCCTCAGCGAGTGATCGCACATAACTGACAAATATCTCAGGCTCTACATGCTGGATGGTATTTACCAAAGTGTCATGGTTTTCTTCATTCCCTACCTCACGTATATCAATGCGGGTTTCGTCACCGGAAATGGACTCGACGTTGAGGACCGTATCCGTCTCGGCTGTTACGTCGCACATCCCGCCGTGCTCACGATCAACTTGTACATCCTCATCAACACCTATCGGTGGGATTGGATTATGCTGCTTGTGGTCGTGCTCAGCGATCTGTTCATATTCTTCTGGACTGGCCTCTACTCATCGATTGTCTCCTCAGGCGTCTTCTATGGTGCCGCCAACCAGATCTACTCCCAGGCGTCATTCTGGGCCGTTTTCGTCGTCACCCCCGTCATCTGCATAGCCCCCCGTTACGCGATCAAGGCTATTCAGAAGGTGTATTTCCCTTACGACGTCGATATCATCCGCGAGCAAGTGACGTTGGGCGCATTCAAGCATCTCGATGAGGTAGACACTGCAGATGAATCGGTCAAGACCGATTCTTCTACATCAACATCGTCCGCAACGTCCAAGTCCAACGTCAAGCGCCACCAGCAGTACCCGAGTGTTGATGAGGATCGACGGCCTATATATCCGCCGACGCTCCACTCAACCACAACACACAACGCCCGCAGCCAGAACGGCAGCGACGGCACAAATTACACGAGACACGAGGCGTCGACGGAGATCACGGTGCGGCCATCCCTGGACCGCGTCCGGCCGTCGTATGATCGTATGCGGGCATCGATGGACCGGATGCGACCTAGCTACGAGCAAAGCAATGACTTGACTTCGGCCGCGATGTTGAATCGCTACGAGTCGACGCGGTCGGGACCCCCACCCGCGGAACCTGCGGAAACCGAGGGAGGAGCAGGCCTAGTCAGCCGGATCAGGAGACGGACGCGTGGCAAATCGTTCAAGTCGCCATTCGCATTCCACCACAAGGACAATCATATCCACGAGAATGAATAGAATTCATATTCTTCTTCGGTCAACCATGTTGTCTAGAGTCCTGTCGACCGTCTCGGCGTCTTGGTGGTCTTTCTCCAACCTGTCATGTCAAAGCGAGCCAAACCGCAAGGCATGTCACAGCCCAAGCTAAAAGCCATGCAACCAAGTCCGCGAACAAGTCCAGCAGACGGAGCCAGTTGAACTCCAACATCGATACGACCTGTTCTACCTATACCCCCGCCTCTAATTTTCATTTGCATTCAGCTTTACATACGCCTCGTGTAAGATACCAATTTTCCCTTAGACCGACTGTCGGAATCCTCCTTTTTGGATCTGGATGCCCAACCATCTGGCATCATCTGATGCAACACCCGATTTTTTTTAAACGTCATAAACACCTACGACTCATACACCGCCCCCCTTTTTTTGCACAGCCTTGGAATCGGCGTTCAGGAGCATTGGGAAGGCAGCGAGGAGATGCACTGTATGAGACGATTGAGTAATGCGATCCAAAGACGGATCTTTGTCCCTTTTTCCCCTCCCTTTTCCTTGTTACATTGTGTTATTCATGTATTCCGAGTCGTTCCTTGCCTCAACCGGGCAATGGGACATCTTCCTGGCGTTTTCGCGAAAAGGATGGGGGAACTCTGGCCTGGATTCGGTTGGAACAGCATGCCGCGGGGGGAAAGAAAGGAAGAGCAGAGCCTGAGGGCGGGGTGGTTACTCTGGAGTGAGGGCAAAACATGCTCTATCCTCTGTATATAGACGAGTAGGAGGGAGAAGAAAGGAATCAATATTACTTAATCGAAATCACGAACCTGGTTCTCAATGATGCCGACCATACTACGACCCAGTGCAAGCAGAGCTGTCTCAAGCAACGGATCTCATAAACTGACGTACAAACTTGCACAGGGCAACGTCTTGTTCAATTTTAAGCCTTTTGCGTTGCGAAGTCGGGCCAGAAAAGGGGGCAAGGTTATTCGTCAGGTCTGCTGAGAGACGCGGGCAGGGATGTCGGAGCTCAAGGCCGACCCACATAATTTCACCTAGGACCCTGAAGGCGCATCCCGCCGGCCCAGCTTTTTGGGACAGGAACGTACGACAACCTCACGTCGGCGAAGCAATGCGCTGAGCCATTGAGTGCTACCACGACCAGGTAAAGCTCCGTGGCGGATATAGTTGTCGGGCTGTTCGCTCTGATCAATCCGAGAGAGCCCAGTCAGGAGTGAAAGATCCAGCGGGCCGGCTCAATCGTAACCTCCGCTGCTACCACCATCGCATACCGCAGCATGGCCTTCGAAGACCTCGAGAGCTGGCTCAGCCAGTTCCAGGTCCTTTTGCAGGACTTTCCGTACGTTTCACCGAATAGCTCGGCTCTGTAGGTGTTCAGAGAAAGACTGACCTTGTGATAGCTTACAAGACTTCTGGCAATTCGTCACCCCTGCCATCTGGTCCGTCGCCGCCGTTCTCGCTCTCTACATCCTCCTGCAGTTCCAGTCTGAGGAGCCGCCTCGACGGTACACGGTTCCCGCGCCCAAGCTGCCCGAAGGCGAGCCGCAGATCCTCGAACACCCGACCATCAAGGTCCCCGGCAGCACCGCCATCCAGTGCTACGCGCCGGCGACGGGCCAGCTGCTGGGGCTGGTCAACCCGTCCACGCCCGCCGGCCTCGACCGCGCCATCGCGTCCGCCGCCGCCGCCCAGCAGGCATGGCGGGAGACGACGTTCCGCCAGCGCCGCGCCGTGCTGCGCACGCTCCTGCAGCACGTCCTGGACAACCAGGAGCAGATCTGCCGCGTCAGCAGCCTCGACTCGGGCAAGACCATGCTGGACGCCCAGCTGGGCGAGATCCTCGTCACCACCGAGAAGCTGCAGTGGACCCTCAAGCACGGCGAGAAGGCCCTGCGGCCCGAGCGGCGGCCCACCAACATGCTGATGACCTACAAGAAGAACAGGGTCGTCTATGAGCCCCTCGGCGTCGTCTCGGCCCTCGTCAGCTGGAACTACCCCTTCCACAACCTGATCGGCCCCATCATCAGCGCCATCTTCGCCGGGAACGGTATCATTGTCAAGGTTAGCGAGCAGACGTGCTGGAGCGCCGCCTACTACACCAGCATAGCCCGCGGCGCTCTCGTGGCGCACGGCCATGACCCTGCCTTGATCCAGAGCGCCGTCTGCTGGCCTCAGACGGCGAACCACCTGACGAGCCATCCCGGCATCAGCCATGTTACCTTCATTGGCAGTCGGCCTGTGTGCCACCATGTCGCCGCCAGCGCTGCCAAGAGCCTTACACCCGTTGTTGCGGAATTGGGTGGAAAGGACGCTGCCGTCATCTGCGATTCTGCCAAGGGCGACTTGAAGCGTATCGCCGACATCATGATGCGCGGCTCTTTCCAGGCCGCAGGGCAGAACTGTATCGGAATTGAGCGCATCATCTGCGCCCCCGGTGTGTACGATAAACTCGTTGACATGTTGGCCCCCCGCGTCAAGGCTTTGAGACTGGGGCTGGACAAGGATGTTGGAGCAATGGTTTCGGATAACTCATTTGCACGCCTCGAGGAACTGGTTCAAAGTGCTGTCGATTCTGGTGCGAGACTCCTAGCCGGTGGCAAGAGATACCGACACCCGAATCACCCGTCGGGCTTCTACTTCACGCCGACTCTGCTTGTGGACGTGACGCCGGACATGGCCATCGCTCGGGAGGAGTGCTTCGGGCCGATCATGACCGTGATGCGCGCGCCCTCGGGCTCCGCCGAGGACCTGCTCGCGCTCGCCAACGCGCCCGAGTTCGGGCTCGGGTCGAGCGTGTACGGCCGGGACGCGGACCCGGTCCTGCGGGCCGTGGTCAAGGGCATCCGCGCCGGCGGCGTGGCCGTCAACGACTTCGCCGTCTTCTACGCCGTGCAGCTGCCCTTCGGCGGCGTCGGCGGCTCGGGCTACGGCCGCTTCGCCGGCGAGGAGGGCCTCCGCGGCCTGTGCAACCTGAAGAGCGTCTGCGAGGACCGCATGGCCTGGCTCGGCATCCGCACCGCCATCCCGCCCCCCGCTCGCTACCCCGTGCGCGACCAGGACGGCGCCTGGCGCTTCGCCCGCGGCGTCGTCAGGCTCGGGTACAGTCTTGGGCTCGGCGGCATGCTGGGGGGTCTGGTGGATGTGGTGAGGAATGGTTAGATGTGTGGTGGGTCTTGAGCACGGCTGTGGTCATGGCAAATAAATGTAGAGGAAGCTGTATATGTATCACGCAGAGCTCAAACTAGATAGACTGCGCTGTATTGTATATCCGAAATCATAATGTAATGTCTACCAATGAGCAAGCAAGTAAAGTAAGTGATTTTAATCATGCCGTTACATACGCTAGATCTGGTTGATTATACTGACATACACTAACTCGTAGTCTTTGGCATGTCCCCCAAGAGATCCTTGGGATATATCTCTCCTAACGGGAAGTCTTTACTCACTTAAGCCAAAGGTGGCACTGCATGGTGTGCTCCGTTCTGGCTGTCATCCGCGTAAGGCATTGCTTGATGAATTAAAACCAGCCCATTGGGTTTCATCGCCCATACATCAAACCCTGGACAAAACGGCAAGTACTTCATATTCTTCACCTTGACATCTTTCTTCGTTTTCTGTTCTCAATCTTTCCACTGGATTCTCAGCCTCTCTTGGGGTACACGTCTACTATGTATTCTAGCACTGCTATCCGCAGCCGAAGCTTGGATGACGAATCGTCGGCGTTCTTCGGGGAAGTGAGATTGCAAAACGGGCCGGATTTGGTTACACCACAGCTCCCGCGGGGGTTAAAGTTGCAGTGAACGGCGACATATGTCAGGTGCGCAGCCCGACCGTGGTTTGTTGGTCACCCAGAGCCTTACGAACATTAGGTGAAGGCTGGGCGCGGTGTTGAAGGAATGCGAGCCGACATGTCCTTATGGGGTTGGAAATTAGTGTGCAGATCTGGGCAGTCATCGGGACGCATTTTCGTGCAGGTGATCGAACGAATCATGGTGTCTGAATTCTGCCGAATATGGAAAGTGGCTTTTCGCGCTCTATTCTGCGCTTCATACCTTCCAATCAGCGATATCCTGCAAGGGCAGCATGTCTGTCACAAGTCGGATGATAGAGAATTGTATGTAGAGCTTCTCACTCCTGGTCTTCTGGGCTGGATTGCATCATCTTGACCAAAGAAATGCGAGACGATGGAGCCAGGTACGACATCAAGACATGTAATGTTGAAACCTCAATTGGAATTTTGCTGATCATTCGCGTAAGAACTTCATATAGCAAATGCACGCAAAGGCTTCCGTGCGACGACAGATCCCGTTACTTTCTTGCTGAATCGATACCGATGACATGATTCCCATGCAATAAGATGTGAAGGTCGTCGATCCTCCAGTAAGCATTGTAGAACTAATATAAGCAACCGAATAAAGCCATGCGCCGGTATTCGGCGGTATAGTGTGATGTCTAACTCCTATTGAAGCATACAATCTGACGGAGTTGCACCATCGACTCCGTGATTGTAGTCACAAATTTTGTCTGGATGGATTCCTTCCCGAAAGTTCTGTACTTAAGCCTCCTACGTTGCGTAACATGCATGCTTGTTATATCGGGCAGCGCAGGTCTGTTGTTCGAGCCCACGGTACCACAAGCTCTGCTTGGAGAGATACGCGTTTCCCCAGGACTGTTGAAGACTCCGGGTGGCACAAGTCTCCTCAGAAGCAGGCAGCTGTCATCAGACTCAAAGGCGAACCTGCCTGTCCATGCGCCGATCGAATTTGGGAAGACGATATGTCGATATGGTACGGCGCAGAAATCCTGTGTGAGAGTTCGACGTTACCACAGCTTGTCATGCCATTCTATAACATAGAATCCTGTAGAAGAGATGAACTCTATCGTATTCAACATACAAATTGGTCAGGTGGACATCGTGAACACGGCCGGCCCCGCCAAAGCCTGGGGTCGTAGAAACTCCGGGGAAACCGCCAAATCTTCGGCAAGCTAACGGGTTATACTCGGGCGAGGAGGCAGCTCTGATTGGTGGGCAAGGCTGTTTTGGGTAAAGATGCCATGTGAGGATGCGCTACGGTGGATCACCCAGTCCGCTAGCCACATGCATGTTACGTCGGGCCTCCACCACGGTTCAGCGGACAGGGCGGATGGGGGGTTGTTTGAAGATGCGGCCGGGCCTGGCGACTCCAGGGGCGCTCGGATTAAGATGAGCATAAGTATCGCTCGTTCTCCTCGCTGTGGAAAGTCGGTCCTCTCGAGTCACTCCTTTTTCAATCCAAAGCCGCAATCATGACTATGAAGACGGATATTGAAGCAGTGCTCAAGTCTTTGACGTTAGAAGAGAAGGTGAGTCCGACCTCCTTTGTCTGAAGCTCGCAGACAAGGCCCTCTTATTATGAGGCACGAGATCTTGAATTAACCATCGACCAGATCTCTCTCCTCGCAGGTCAGAACTTCTGGGAGACTGTGCCCATTCCTGGCAAAGTACCCCATATCAAGGTATGTTTCCATACCGTTGTCAAGTTCGCAACGCTAATCGGATCCTAGACATCGGATGGACCTAATGGTGCACGAGGCGCTGACTTCACCGGTGGCACGAGGGCTGCTTGTTTCCCCGCTGCAAGCAATGTTGCCGCCACCTTTGACTTAGATATTGCCAACCGCATCGGTCAGGCACTTGCCGAAGAGACACAAACCAAAGGAGCTCGCTGTCTGTTGGCACCTACCACTTGTATCCACCGCCACCCACTGGGTGGCCGCAACTTTGAAAGCTTTAGCGAGGATCCCCTGCTGGCAGGAAAGCTTGCGTCTCAGGTGATTCAGGGTGTCCAGTCGAAAGGTATTGCTGCCACCATCAAGCACTTTGCTGGGAATGAGCAGGAGACGGAGCGAATGTCTGTCGATGAGACCATCAGCGAAAGAGCTCTCCGTGAAATCTACCTGCGTCCATTCGAGATTGCCATCAAGGAGGCGAAACCGTGGGCTGTCATGACTGCGTATAACCAAATCAACGGCGAGCACTGCGATTCCAACTCTTTTCTATTCAAGGTGTTGAGGGAAGACTGGGGCTGGAAGGGTCTTGCCATGAGTGATTGGGGTGGCACTAACTCGACTGCTGAAGCATTGAACGCAGGACTAGACTTGGAAATGCCCGGCCCCACGCTGAAGAGGAAAGTCCCTGACGTTCTGGCTGCTATCAAGGCTGGCAAGCTGTCTGAGAGCACCATCAATGACAGAGCCCGTACAGTGCTTGAGTTTATCGACAAGCTGAAGGCCTTTGAAGACCCCACAATCCCCCCTGAGCAGGCTATCAACAAGCCTGAACACCAGAAGCTCATTCGTGAGGCTGGCGCCAGGGGTTGCGTGCTGCTCAAGAACGAGAAGCAAGTCCTTCCTTTGACCAAAGACAAGGCCAAGGGAAAAAAGATTGCGCTTGTTGGCCTGGCCAAAATGCCCCTCGCGCATGGAGGCGGAAGCGCTAGCCTGAATGCACACTACAAGATTTCACCATGGGATGCCATGCAGGAGGCTCTAGGCGATTCTGCAGAACTCGTCTATGCTAAGGGTGCCCATACTCAACGCATACTGGCGCCTATCGGGGAGGATAAGAACGCCGGGTCTGTCGTCGGCCTGGACGGCAAGCCAGGCTTCACCTTGAATCTGTACGACAACGAGACAAAGGAGCTGAAAGAGACGATCAACAGCCACCCGTGTTCGTCTCTGTCGCCTGTGATGGAGTCAGCAGTCATGAAGATTGCCGAGTTCATTGGCGATTTCACCCCCTCCGAGACCGGCTCTCACTATATGGGATGCACTGGTCTTTCGATGACACAGGTTTATATCAATGACCAGCTCGTCTACGATCAGAAGAAGCCCGCCCCTGATGCCATGGGATTCTTATTCGGAGCCATCTCCGAAGAAGAGTTCACTCATCCGTTTACTGCTGGCACCACCTACCGCATCAAAGTCCGCAGCTTGCCGCCTGTCAACATTCCCGGTCTGGAGATCCTGAATGGCCACACGGGAGTCCGTCTTGGTCTCCAGCTTGCTTCTGAGCATGATGCTGATCTACAGGGTGAGGCTGCTGCGCTCGCCAAGGATGCCGATTACGCTATTGTTTTCACAGGCAACGATCCTCAGTGGGAGACGGAAGGCCAAGACCAGGCCTCTTTCAACTTACCGAGAAAGGGCAGCCAAGATGCTCTGGTCAGTGCCGTCGCTGCTGCAAACCCCAACACCATCGTCGTGAACTCGACTGGTGTGGCTATCGCCCTGCCCTGGCTGGATCAGGTCGCAGGCTTGCTGCATGCCGGCTTCGCTGGGCAGGAATGTGGTAACTCCATCGCCGATGTCCTCACCGGCGCCGTGAACCCTGAAGGCCGTCTACCAATGACTTTCCCTAAAGCCCTCGAGGATGCACCCGCCCATGGCAATTTCCCGGGCGAGTACGTAAACGGAAAGCTCAAGGTAGAATACAAGGAGGGGGTCTTCGTCGGCTACCGTCATTACGACAGAGTCGGCCGCGGGAAGGTCAACTTCCCCTTCGGCTACGGCTTGTCGTACTCCTCTTTCGAGACTGGCAACCTGCGGGTATCGAAGAGCTCAGAGACTGATTATACTGTCAGCGTTGACGTTTCCAATGCTGAAGGCGCTTACGGTGGTACCTTGGTACAAGTGTATGCCGGCAAGTCAGAGACTAGCCCAGAGCACCCGGTCAAGAGCCTTGTCGCCTTCCAGAAGGTTAGACTGCAGCCCAGTGAGAAACAGTCCCTGAGTCTCTCGTTTGCTACGAGGGATCTTGGGTTCTTCGACGAGGCGAAGGGCCAGTGGGTTGTCCCTGCTGGGCAGTACGATATCTCTCTCGGGAAGTCGGCCATGGATTTGTTACAGACTGTGAGAATCACGGTGGATAAAGAAGTCACATTTGCTCCGTAATTATACCACTATTTTTAACTAGAAGTTTTCAATCGAGATTAAATACCCTGTACTATCCATACCCCGAAACTCCACACCACGGCAGTTCCTTTAGTTGTGTGACGCTGACGAGTTCCAAACTATAGCATTAAATAGACAAGCCAACGATTAACTACAACTCCTATATTCAGGCTAGAAGATTATCAGAGATATCAAGCTAATCATTTATCACGCTAGTATGTTAAAATTTGTGTGGATAGCGGCGCAACTGAATGCCTTTGTGTTGCATTCTTTGTCTTGCTGATGAATGCGGCAGCTGGTGGGCTTTCAATGATATTGCTGGCCCCGCGCACGAATCACAGTTGAAGTCGTATCTACCGAGTAAGGGTTAAGAGGAACGCTTAGCTTTGTCCCTGACTGCCGGGTTTTGGCCGCGTTCCGCATTTGGTCATACTTTGTCTCATCGGCCCCCCATTGATCAAGGGTATATGGACGCTGGGAGGTCAAATTCGGCTTTCAGAGTCGTCAATCTGAATTGGATCCAGGGCATTGGTACCAGAATTGAACAGTATTGATCGCTTGCGCGAAACTGGACTTACAATGTCAGGTCCGATAGACAACCCATATTCGCAAATTGGCGTTTTCCTCCCGTGGGCCTCGACCGAGACGCAATGGGCAGTCAACGAGAAGGTTTACGACTATGGCTTCATGCTCGTAAAGATTATCAAATATGGTATATACATAGTACAATCGTTGTACGACGGCCAACTCTATGTGAATAAGCTGGTACAACGTGGCTCGGGCGAGATGCACAATGGTGGGGACTTCCACAACGAGGGCCATCCTCCAGATATCCGGAATTCTACATGGCCACGGAATCGTAGAGCTGGTGTATCGCAAGCTGGATATCTTGGGCACGAGCGACATTTCGTGCACTTAGACATCTGGCAGCAACTGGACGATGACACTTATTCAATGTATTTTCAGTACGTTTGCTCCTTTCAAGCTCCGATCCGACTTAGTTATTGCAACTGACTGTTCAAGGCATTGCAACGGTGGCGACCTGGGAAGCGTAATCGACCAGCATGCTTACCATGGTGTTCGCATACCGGAACATTTCATATGGCATGTAGCTGCCGAATTGGGCGAGGCGCTCGCCTATATGTACTTCGGTCGGCGCAAAGGGGTTCATGGCGCACGCGGCAACCGTCCAAACTGGACTCGCATATACCACAGAGATATTGCCCCGAATAATGTTATGGTCCACTACCCAGACTCAAAGACCCGGGTTAGCAAGTGGAAGGGTCGTTTGACTGATGCTTTCCCACAAATTGTGCTCATTGATTTTGGCGATTCGACGCAAGAGGGTGATGACATTGCGACAATTCGTAATGGCATTTGGGCTGCCAGAGACGAGCTAGAGGTTCCTACTCCGTATGAAGACGTCTATCCCTACAGCCAAGTACTGCGGAAATTATGTATGGCTCATGGTGAGTTCTCGCACCGGCACATATGTTGCGCCTTTCGTTATTTTGTGCCAAACCAGAGCACGATTAGCCACTGAGAGTGGCGTGACAGATTGCGCTGACATTCCAACTACCTAAACAGTATCTCGAGACGCCTATAATGAACACGATCAACCTGAGAACCTGAGGCTAGCAGCTGTGAATGGTATGGGGGATGGCACTCCTTATTCTGACCTCCTGATCAATACGCTGCAACGCTTTGAATATGCAAACCAGGAAAATGATTGGGTCGATTTCAGCCAGGAGCTGCGTGATGGAGTGCCAAGCATTGACTGGGTTTGCGACACACTGGTCCCCTTGGCCCGACGAGAGGTCGCAAGATGGAAGCTCATGAACCCAGAGACTCCGGGCGAAACCCTTGCAGAGAGTCTGGACATGTCATGGACAAAGCCAAAAGTTCTGATGCCTTTCACGTGCGACCATAGGACGAATGAAGGCATTGACAACTTCAACTCGCTAGCCAGTCTCGCCGTCTGGGAACATCTCCGGCCAAAACATGAACTCCGGAGGGCCGAGATAGGAGCCGTAACGGAACTGAATGCCTGGGGCCCGACAGCTGCAACAGCCATTCTGGGTACGCCCGTGGAAGCCATGGATTCGTTTGATTATCGGAAGCTGAATGTATCATCCCGCCCAAGACGTGATTTCGAAAGAAAAGCTACCGAGCTGATCTATGTTCTACAAGGGTTGTCGGCCCACGAAGCTCAACGACTCAATGGCGACGACCCTCCATCTGATGATGACGAAGGGCCCGATCATGGTCGGAGGTTTGAGGATCCCCCTCTCAATTATGATCCCAGGAGGAACACCGAAAAGCATCGACTGTTAAGGCACTTCAATATGGCTGTCGCTAAACTCGGCAAGGCTGCTTCCGACTACGACAGGAAACGGCAAAACATCAGGGCGATGGCTCGCGGCCAGCACAACCAGCTGCCGGATGATAAGAGGGATGATCCTGTGAATGCACTTGACTCGACCGATGACGGGCATAGTATAGCAGAAATCGTCGACGCTCTGTACCCTGACGAAGACCCACCAAGAGACGATCCTTTCGACGACCCTCGTGAGACTTGGCCTTATGTGCCCATGGAAGGGGACGATGGAGATGATAATGGAGGCGACGACGGAGGGGACGATGGAGAGGACGATGGAGAGGATGATGGAGGGGATGATGGAGGGGGTCATGGAGGGGGTCATGGAGGGCACGGTGAAGGTGATGCATCTAATGATACAATGGATGTAGATCAGGATGACGGCTAGGTTTGGACTATATCACGGGGCATGGCCAATGTCTCCGTTTTCTCATATTCCACAGAAGTATGGCAGTTATTTGGGGACAACATCCTACAGTTGAATATATTGGATTCAGACCTAGCGTCAAGCCAGCCATTTGAGAATATAGTCGCCCCTTTCATTCACCACCCCAAGTGTCATACGGATCCACCTTGTGTTCAAACTCGATCCATTCTTTGATTCTCCGAGGCTTGGCATGAGACCGGAACACCATTTTGACCGATGAAAACACCGGCCAAGCCTCACTGTTTCGACATACGGCTGTTGTGTCGCGAGTACACACTCCCATCGCATCGGGCAGCGTCTGCTGCCTGAGCGGATGGCAGCGCATACGACGAACCAACCCTCGTAGTCTCCAAGAGATGCGCTTCCCAAGTCGAACCACGGTCTGTTCCATAGCTTTATCTGTTTTATTTCCGTACTTTTCATGAAGCAGGTCCATGTAGCTCGCTTGTTGTGTGAAGCGTGAGGGCAGCAACCCCCGGAAGATTGACCCATCCGCTGCCGAAAATTCGCAACGCCGATTGCCCTAGTTTGCTTGTCAATCCCTGAGGAAATGCAAGTGGGTTCCAATCTCTCACATATTCGATGCTGTCCCAAAACATTTCCAGTATTACGGTCTGCCTGTATACTTCTGTGGCCGCATGGAATTGGTAATACAACAACCCGATGTCAGCGTGGTGCAGTATCGCATCCATGCTGATTAGAAACTGAAAGTCATCCTTCACATGCGGCCCTTCGTCTTGCCCAGGATCCCGGCCCTTGACTAACACACATAGGCGGAAATTGACAAGGTGAAGTATATGCGCGAGCTCCTGTTCCACTCGTGAGATTCCACAAGCCAGTAAGCCCGTCGGAACGCCTCGAACGCACCTGCTGCGGGTCTAGGGCGTACCACCGTCTGTACCACTCAATCGTTTTCTCGCGGCTGAACTCAGGGGACATTAATGCCGAGTAGCGTCTCATTGAATGGCGCGTTGCATTCTCTGCTGGGACCACATGTGAGTAGACTACGTCCGAGAAAGTTGGCGGGAAGATTATCGTCGCGACACAGAGCTGCAGAAGCAGCAAGAGGAGGCAAGTTGAACTGTTTGCCGTGGGCTTCATCTTGTGCAAGACTTATCACATAGTCATCAAGGAAAGTTGGAAGGGGAATGTGCCCGGAATCTGGTCCAGCGATATCTAGGTATTGAAGGATCGCACGTCTGAGCTTGTGGCTGTGCAACAGATGCCTACTTCTGTGCCGTATGTGCAACTTGAAAGCAACACATGTGGCCTCTGTTGGAAGGGGCTGAAGGAGCCGAGTGGAATGACGAATCAATCAGAGACATTCTCAAATGTGCTTTGAATCACATTGTGTACACCAGTAGGTGATGATAGAGAGTGAATAAATTTTGCTTTCGGGCGAATGAGTAAACTTTCTACTGCTTGCTCTTTTACATCAATACGCTTTGGTCAGATCGGAATAGCTTGCATCTCAGAAACTTGGCGATTGAACGATTGACCGAACCTTAATGTATAATGAACTATAAACCGGCCTCGTATGCATCCACCCTCGTATATGCTAGCCTGAACATGCCTCGAGTCTCCGCGACTCGCCCCGTTATTGAGCGAACACTTCATTTACACCAGGCCTTCCTCAGTAACCTCTCCAGAAACCCTGCCCTCAACCTCTTCGACTTATCTCCAACCTTCTTAAGGTAATCGACCTCCTTCGCGTCCCAGCTCTTTCTATGGTCTTCTGAGTCCAACTTGCCCTTCCTATACATATCGTAGCTACCGGCTCTTTTCCGGCGCGGTGTGCCTCTGGCGTAAGGGAGAACGGGTCAGCAAAACAGATCTGCACTTGTCTTCAGGCTGTAACAGATGGACAACGACAAAGTGGAGATGACCAAAAGATAACCTACACGCCGCTCTCATAGCTCAACGTCCTAGAATTCGAAGGCCGCTGGGCGTCCATGCTGGTGCCCCGGACCCGGTCGACGACGCGCTCCTTGCGCCGGCGGAACTCGTCGGCGCAGTCGGAGCAAAGTGGCCGGCGCCCTTCGACGTCGGGACACACGCAGAGGCAGTTCTGGCACTGGGTCAGCCGGAAGTGCTGGCTGGTCTGAGGTGTTGCCATAGCTCGACTGGGTCGTCCGGCTTGTGTCGTGCGAGGCTACATGTTTGGCAGAAATGATGACTTCCAGCCCACCCCTGGCGCGGCTATCCTTCCGAAATAGCATTTTCATTATCATGTGGCTCCCTTGTTACAAGGCTCGTTGGGCTCTTTGAGTTCCCCATGTCGAGGATACAAAGAGCGATGAGTGGTACTACACAATGCGGACGTCGTTGCTGCATACCGAGCTCGAGTGCTTATATTTTAGGAGTGGTTCTAGGCTGGGTTCAAAATCACAGGTAAAACCACATCTTAGCAGCTTGTGGCGCATGCTAGCACGGTAGACAATTGTGATAATAGACTGGATGAGGGTGGCCAGAGACTGGTGCCTTTAATTTACCCAATGAGTTCTTGTAGTCCTAGTCTACTTCTTCTTGCCCCTGCCACCGCCCCCCTTTCCTTTGGTCTTGTTCCCTCCACCGCTGCCACCCGCAGCACCACCTCCCATCATGACCCTCAGCTGCTTGACGGGGACTACGTTGTTGATCTCCTCGGGCTTCAGTGCCTTGATCAGCTCCACCTCTCGCGGCCACATTCGGTCCTTCTGCTGGCTCTGCTCGTCCATGACCCCCTTTTTCGTCGAGGCGTACTTCCACGCCTCCAAAATCTCCTTGACCGCCTTGCCCTTCTTTTGGGAGCCTGGCTGCAACTTCACTTTGTACTTCAGTTTGCCTATGGCACTGTAAGGCCCGCAAACCACGATGGCCTCCAATATCTCGTCCCCAACCATTGGCGTGCCGACCAGGCTATCCAACGGCGTCGTTTTCTCAGCTTCGTCGGCATCGAGCATGTCGACACCTTCCTCGAGCATCATCTTGCGAACTTCTTCGTGCTCGGCTGTTTCACGTTGCTGCTTCTGGTGCTGGGCTTTGCGTCGTTCCTTCGCAGCTGCCTGGGCAGCTTCACGCTCAGCTTTCGCCTTCGCTTCTGCTTCCGCCTTCTTCTGGCCTGCAGTTGCACCGATTAAGGCTTCGATAGCAGCTCGGTCATCGTCATCCTGGTCACGGTATTTGGCAGCTATCTTCTTTGCCTTGCCCCTCTGACCACGCTTTGGCTGTTGTTTCTTCTGGCCTTGGGGCTGGGGAGTGGATTTTCCAGAAGCTGCAGCCGAGGAAGACGATGCATCGGCTTTCGCCTTACCGGCCGCAGCTTCTTCGTCATCTTCTTCGTCGGAATCTTCCGGGCCTGCATCGTCGTTGCCATTGCCGGATTCGTTTGTCGAAGTGGTGTCAGCTGGAGCGGAGTCGTCCACGGAAAGCTTGCCAACTTTCTCTGTTGCTGCAGCAGCTGCTTCTTCTTCTTCCTCCTCCTCCTTACCATCCAAGTCTTGGTCGTCTTGTGACGCCGATTGCAATGGATTTGCCCTCCGTTGATGGTCCTTATCTTGCTCATCAGCAATGTCTTCTTCCCCGTCAGAATCGTGGCCAGCATCGCTACCATCGTCCTCATGAGCACGCTCAGTGGCCTCTCCCAATTCGCCGGCTGACAGTGGTGCAGGTTCTCCTGACTCCAGATTCAGTCTGTGCTTCACGTGCTTGGCTTTGCTCTCTTCGCTGATCTTGAACATGATACCAAATCCGAGGATGAGCTGCGCTGGGGGAAGGAAATTCTTCTTGCCGCGGATCATGAAACTTCCTGTCGGCAGGAACTCTCCGGTCGGTGCTGATTTGGACACTTGATCTGCATCTACCCAGTACGCGGACATGCCAGCTTTTGAGTCCCAGGCGGACGATGCGCATACAGACAGATGACCTGCTTGTGACAACGTGGACGGTGGAATCGGCGCATCTGGTGTTTGAGGGTTGTTCTTGATGATGACACTGGGTGCCCCATGAAGATCGGCGTGTACGTAGATGTCGCCCTTTTTCAGGTATCGCCGGTAGAGTATTTCGTTCTGCGAAGCATCCTTGCCACCGAGTACGAGGTATCCGTCTGACGAGATGAACCAGACAAACTTCTCGAACCACATCTGCCTCCTGACGGGTTGTAGAAGTGGCTTCTCCTGTTTTAGTCCTTTCTTGAGCTCGACTGCTATCTTCTCAGCGGCGCTTTTCAAGGCGACCTCAGCCTGTGCTGCCGTCTTCTGCTCCTTGACTGCAGCCGTTTTCCTCTCTCCGTAATATTGCCTCGCGTTGGCCCATGGCGAGATCCCGAGGTCTATGTCAACTTTCAATCTCTTGTCAGTCGTGTTTTGTTTCGAAAGCACCGACTCTGCTGCGTCGTCATCAGACTCGGACTCGTCGGTTTCGTAGGCTTCGTCCTCATCCTCATCAGCCTCGGCCTCTCCCAAGAGAAGGGTGATGGTGTTCTCTGACAGCTTCATAGGTGATGCAATGATGGCAGCGACGGGGTTGTTGCGCCGACGCTCCCTGTCGATGAGCTTGCTGATGTCGACCCAATCCATGCCCTGGGCCAACAGGCCGTTGACCGCATCCATAGCCTCCTCAACTCGCTCGACATTTGCTTCTATGGCACCTGCCTTCCTCATGTTCAGGAGCTGGGTTTCTTGCAAGCCTTCTATCCTCTTGGCTTGGTCTGCCTTGGCAGCCTCGAGTTTCCGTTTTGCGGCTGCTTCCCTCTCCGACAGCTTCGACTCCAGCTTCTGCCCCTCAATCGAGGAGAAGAACTCGTCCACCATCTTGTTGTAATTGTCAAAGTCCAGGATGGAGTAGTCCTTATCTTCCTTGAATTGCAGAGGTACGAAGGGGTGGAAATCCTCGTACAACACTCCGCGATGCTGGCCCTGGCCTTCCTCTTTCTCTGCGTTCTCGCCAGAGGCGTTGGGCCTCTTCTTGGCGAAAATGTAACCTCTGCATGTTTCTGAGCTAGTGGCGTCTCCAACAATCTTGCGTGCCTCCTCAAGAGCGCGCAACAGGTGATCGAGCGAGTCCTCATTCTCTAGCACGGCTGCGGGCTGTGACGTGGAGTCGAATCCGGTGGTCTTCATGGCGTGGTCGACGAGTATCGGGGGTAGCTCGGTGATGGTGGTTGCCAGTCCCTTTCTCAGCTCGTCGCCCGGCTTCTTCTTGATCTTCTTGCCGGCGGCTGCGGCGGACGCACTTCTCTCAACAACAGTCTTCAGCGCAGCGCGCACCCTCTCCTTTGTGAGGTCTGGTACTCCGCCATAGTTCTGCCTGTTCTCCAGAGAATAAGTCAAGCCGGGCCGTTGCGGCTCCTGGCCCTCTCCCTCGGGCACATTGCGGAGCAGAGTCAGAATCTTGAGCTCATTGTCGGTCAAGATGACGTTGCCGCTGGCGAAGAACTCGAGATATAGTCTGTACTGGCCATCGCTGAACTGGAACTCGATGATACGGTCGGTCCCGATCTGCGACACGGCAGTCAAGCGCCTCGTCTTCAGGACCTTGCGCAGCTTCTGGACGAAGACGGAAGGGGCGGCAGCAGTGGTTCGAGCAAAGTCGGTCAGATGGCAGCGGAAGCCGGAGTCGATCAGCAGCTGCTTCTTGTTGTCGGGCTTGGCGAACTTGAAGAGGAGGATCTTGGAGGAGAGGTCGTAGATGTTGGATACGCGCAACGAAACGAGGCTGGCCGAGAGCTCGTGGGCGATGACCTGGTGGCTGTCAGCTGTTTGGACCGGGAGCAAGCCAAAGTTCCCCGCCTCCTGCATGTGCCACTACTGACTGACCTTGACATCCAGAGAGGAAAATCGTTGTTTCATCCTGACGGTCGCCTGTTGCCGAGCTGGAGACTTGGGTCGGGTTCCAACAGCAGACAGCAAAGCGGCAGGCCAGAGGTATCCAAGGGCGCAAAGGTTGTTTGGTTGGCCGGTGCCTACCCACAAATTTCCGTGTGTCGCGATTTGAGGCACCCCGCCATCCACCGGAAGCTGACGACGTCATCTTGGTAAGCCACTAGGTTAGCAAAACGACGACAGTCGGCCCTGTTACTCATTCACACAGCACTATGTACAGTGACAAACTGACTTGTGTCGGTGCCGAGGCGTCAAGGCTTGAGAATAATGCGAAAGCCAACGTCTCAAATCCGTGTGAGACACGGGGAGCAATATTACCACGTGTGCTACCCGGCGGCCAAGGAAAAACAATCTGGTGCTCCAAAGCAAACTATGTTGAGCCGCTGGATTGAATATCCCATCTTGCGAGCATGAATTGGAACGTATTTTTGCAATTGCGGATCTTGTTCCGGTGTCCAAACTTCAAAGTTGTCAATTCTAAGAGGTCGGAATATAGTCGTGAACGGAGTTCCTCACAATACTCGCACCCCAGTCACATCCATTTACTACACAACTTGGCCCTGCAGTCGATGAGCAGAACATGCCCCCTATACTATGATCCAAAATAAGCTCCAACAGTTTTGATTCAAGGGCGCTCTGTTAATCTCCGCCCAAGACAGCTGGGCGCTCCAGCAGAGCATCTGAACTTATCACCACATCCGAATGCTGCCTAGAAGATCAGGTCATCAACTCTAGAAATCATGCGAAGTTGTTTCTAGTTATGTTTGCAGTCTGTGGCTTGCAATAGATGTAGGTGGCTGTTAACCATACAAGTATATATAGCAGACGTAGATTGAGGAGCTGCCATGCTATCAAAAATGATTTGTAGCCACTCCTTGCGACAGTTCTCCTCTCTCGTTTCCCTACACACAGCACATGAACATGCATTTGCCTAGAGACCTATATCTGGTGGGGCTGTGGGCTATATCTGCGGTGGCAAAACCCAACGATATTCGCAACTATCATGCGTGCCACCCCGATGCATGTCTACGTGATGTAAGCTAGGAAATAATCACTTCATAGACGAAAGGACTTTCAGTTGCTAATGCACAGGCATCAAGGTCCGACCAAATGCCCAGCAGCCCAGTGCTTCCAAACGGCTGGCTGATTGTTCCTCTTTTCTCTCCTGGACCGTGACTCCATGTCCGGCGTAAGTTTGTATACCAATGAGTGCAATGTACCGGCAACCTGCTACTATACTAATCGCACCCTCTAGCACTTCTACCGCGACCATTACTACAGTTGTGAATGCACCAGGTGTAACAGTCACTGACGTACAGGCCGTCAGCGTGACTTCGACACGGACATATTTCAGTGTGAACACCGTTGCACGGACATCCACGGTCTTCAATACTTCTACCAAATCCGACGTCACGACAACAATTAAGTCCGCGTCCACAGTAACCTTCACTTCGACACTGACCCAGATAGCCACTGTTTCACTCTCCAGCGATGTATCCTCCACTGGACCGCCACCCAGTGCATTACTCAGTCCCTTGAGTCTCAAAAGAGGCATCGCAGCTTCCCGGCCCGTTACTTGTCCAGCTACCTCTTCGGCTAGCTCTGTGCCGCCATATGCTTCTGCCTGCCATGGCCCTCTACAGTACTCGAGTGCGTGTATCTGTGCCGGGGCGGTAGGAAAGGCAACGACGCTCCCAACGCCTACAACCACGAAAACCTTGATCCGCACCAGCACCCTCGCAACGACAACTCGCGTTCGTGCCACCACGACAGTGACTTCCCTGGTGACCACGACAGTACAGAGCAGCCTCGAGCTCAACCCGGTTGTCACGATCACCATTACTGTCACCAGCACTACAATGGCTACCGTAACGTCCTTGGAGCCTCCATCCACTGTGGTTCAGACAGTCGAAGCGACGACGACATCAACGCGCAGTCGCGAGTTCATCTGCTTCGTCAACAGCCAGCTTGTTGCCTATATGCCGGTGAACGGGACTGTTAGTCTGTACGTGCCAGGTCCGTTCGACACGGTCTTCTCCTTGGTGGATAATAGATACCTTTATAGTGTCTTTGGCGGCGGGTATCTCAGCGTCCCAGGTGAGTGCTCATTGACCTCATTGGTCGTCCTCTCTACTGCTGTATACCCGGGCGCTTATTAACCCACTAATCTCTGGAAAGGCAACGGCGACGACCGCATTGTGATTGGGGGAGACTCTGCCCCTGAATCCAACAGGCTCTCCTGTGTGCTGGAAAACGATCCTCCATCGGGAAGGATGTTCTGCTCGTCAACCAACAACACGCGAAATGTATTCACGAAATGCCCGTATAATAACAACCTTTCACTCCTGCACCTGTCGTCGACGGTAGAACCCGGCTGCGAGCCTGTCACCTGGCAATGCTCGTCCATATAATAGGTGGAGCCCTCGGCAACCTTGCAACCTTGCAACCCAGTCCACAAAATTTGTGTGACAGCCATTTCCGTTGTCTTTGTTCACTGCGAAGGATGAAGGGGGGTTTCTGGATCGTGACGTGTCGTGCCATATCCCATAACGCAGTCACGTGTTACCTCAGCGCAAACCACAGGCCAGGGAACGTGTCTACCGTAAACGAGGTTCCGTCGAAGGAACTGAAATACACCTCTTATGCCAGCCTAAGAGTGGAACAGAGTCTCCAGCCAGAGTCATAATCATACGGCCAGGCTGTTGTGCTTACCACTCTACTGTGCCAATACCGAAGCCCGTGTACTGCACTAGCATCTTAATCCATGCCAATTGTCTGATCTCTCGAAATGGGTGCGATATGCTGCAGGTGTCGCAGCTCTTGTCGCGGGGACAGTCCTGCTTGCTCATTGTTATAGCTATACACGGCCCAGGATTCAATCAGCCTTACGGCAAGTATTCTGCCGTAGCAGCTGCATATACTGTGTCTCCGGATTATATAGAGAGAATGGTAGGTCTAGCTTGAGATCAGAAAGATCAAGTGGGATATTGCAATTGCAGACACTCGCGAGTCACCTCGTCGGTCCCCGTACCGTAATCCTCTTGGCCCAATCTTGTCGTCGACAAGATAGCGAGCAACGAGTTTTGCGGGCTAATTGTAAGTTATACCAGAGTGTCCCGAGCATAGTGGTTCTGATTGAAAACTCCCACCAAGAATGAACCAGATCAAGACGCTGAATCGTGATCAGTCTTGAGGCATCTCTAGGCACTAAGGCATCGATGAAGACCGTTGACAATTAGAGCCTGGAGGAAGCTGCATTATATACGTCCTCAACTTGGGTTCAACAGGGTATTTGGTCGCAAGCAGCGACCGCTTATTTCGCATAACTTTGCCGCCCTCGTAGGGCATGCTCACCTACTTTTTGGTGGCCGTCATACAATCATTGATCCTACAAATCCACCTTGAGAGGCGATCATGTCTCCGAACTTGCGGTCTGCCATGTGAACGGCTCTGACGTCCAGCTAGCTAGTCGGGAGGCTTCCAGAGCACTGATCAGTCTGATACAGAACCGAGGCTCCGCCGCTCCGCACATCCACAGTCACAGACAAGCCAGACCCCGACACGTCGCTAGCGCGCTAGAGTACCCGGTCGCCATGGCAACGCCGTCGCCTTTGGCTTTCAGGGGTAAAACGGGACCCGCCAGAGTCTCGGCTCTGATCCTACGCTGGACGTACCGGCATCTGGCTGGCTCTGAAACGAAAAAGCAGGAAAGCTTTCCTGAAGAGCGTCTCCAGGCTCTTGCAATGGGCCCATCAATGGAGATTGGGAGGTTCGCATGAACTCGAGTAGGGACGTTTTCTTCTTTCGAGCTGCTAAGCTGGCAGCACAAACGTAAGATCGGTGGAACCGCGTCGTGTTCTGGGGGCTCAGCTCTCGGCCTGTAGTTACTGTGGTACACTCTGGCCTGCATAGGTCGCGCGGGCGGGTTCCCCAGATGGGCCCAATGGGAGTGATCCACGCTGGCCGCGGCCATGGAAGATGCTTCCTGGCCACATGCAACTCGCCCGCGACGTGGAGGTTGGGGAGTGATCAACGGTCGAATTGGCGACCTTTTTCGTTGTTGGAGGGCCGCAATTGGGCTTGTGCAATTTCTAGCTGTCGTCAAGCGCTGCTACCCAGCCATCCCGCCGACGAGCGTACGAGCTACCGAAGATATATGACCCAACCTCCCAAAGAAGAAAGAGAAGCATCTGCTCCGCTTAAACCCAACCCCCAATGGCTTCGTAGAGACCTCAGCTCTGTTGCAATGGCGGAATAAAGAGCAGAGTCTTGATGCAGAAGAGTAGTGCGCCGACAAGTGCAGCCGAAGCGTTCGATAGACAGCGCCAATCTTGTTGTTGACATGCTCGTGTTCATGGTAGCTATTCGCTCGTGGCGGTATCCGAGGCAGCTGAATGGCTGGATCGAGATAAGTTAGCGGCGGGCTGTTATCCCAGGCTCCGCGGTCACCGACAGATTGACCCATCGATGGGCGACCCCAGCTTGCCTAGGGTGCCTAGGCACACCTGCAGTTGCCAGGAGCTACAGTGCACCCCCTACGTAGTACAGTGTGATGGACAGGTTGGTTTTCTCTTAGTGGCCAGCGGCTACGGCGACGGCTGCGGGATCAATTGGCTCCAGGAACAAGACACCCAAGCTGTACCTAGCTCAGCGCCAGACACAGAAAAGTGATCGTCATCACATCGGACGCACTGGACGCTTTGTAGATGGCAACAGAGGCCACGCATTGCCCCGTGTGCATCTTGACCTTGCTGGCTCCTCCACCCCCAGAAAAAAAAGGCGATGGTTGGGAATACGGGATCATAGCTCCCAGGCAGGCCAGGCCGCGCATCCGGGCACATCCGCGACCTGGGCTCTTGCGAGAGCTGACCTCGAGCGCGGAGGGAGCGGGCTAGTGTGCTCTGTCGGGTCTGTCACAGCGGGCTCAGCGGGCTCAGTGGGCTCATTTCACCCCAAGTGGACCCTCCGTCAGGTGAGGGCCCTCTGGGCCCCCCAAACTTGCTGCAAGTCCCCCAGCCGCTTGGCCGGTTGCGGGCTGGGATAAACAGAGCTCCACCGCGAGTAAACAACGCTGGACCACAGGAACCCTGCATCACGCTGCCACGCATCAGCTCAACCATAGAAAAAGCAGGACCACTTCTGCCCTCCCCCGGCTCTGCGTCTTCTCCCTTTCTCCTCCTCTCCAATAGTCTCAGACGCCCTGCCCGACCGCTTCGTTGCACAGTCCCAGCCCAATCACCGCCTCATCCAACCCCATCCCCTCCGCTCTTCCCCCAACTGAAAGGAAACTGGTCAAGAAGCGCGCCCCGTCCGCTGCTTCTCTCTCCTTCTTCTCTTTCAGACTCAGAAAGAAGAGCAAGAGAAATCTTCTTGTCTTCCTTTCGCTACGAAAGGTTGTCGAGGAGAGGACTCCTGCACCCCAAAGGTCGCCAATCTGGACTTTGAAGCCCGAGTTCCCGTGCCCTTCAGCATCTTCCCTTCGTCTTACAAAGACAAGGCTGAGGCCGTCGAGACCACCACCCAGACCCACGAAGAGGTCGAGATCAAGCTTCCCGCCAAGAAAGCCGGACGGGAAGGTCAATACTCTTCATCCTCTGCCTCTGTCCACCTCCCTCCTCGCGGAGAGCAACGCTACAGCGAAGAAGAGGTCCGTATCACACGTGAAGAGGAACGTCACCACCGTCCCGGTGTCCACCGCGAGTACTACGAGGAACGCAAGTAAGTCCAACCCGACGTTCTTTGTTTTCTCTCTCCCGGCTCTCTCCTGTCGGCCAATTCCCTTTCTACCCCTCTGCTGCGCTCGCCACGAGATTTCCTTGCCCGCTTTGAGCACGCAAGACGGAGACCAGGAGGAGTACAATTATTGCGTCTACGCCAAGGGCTCGTTCGAGCCGGAGCTTGTGGCTCTGCTTGTCTGGGTCTGGAAAAGCGTCACAGTGGAGCTCGATGCAACCCGGAAACCAGGAGCCGCGCAGGCCTGTATATCATGGCAACCAATCTAGTCCTATTCCGAGCCCCCCCTGGGCAGAGCTTGGACTCTATTGGCAAATATTTTGTTGACACAGTACCAATCCGTCTCTCGAACTCCTCTTTGACTAACAACATCACTTCTCAGGCCTGCTACTTCCTACTCCGAGACTTTCGTCGAGGTTGACCGCCAGCACCGCCCGCAGTACAGCGCCATTGATCAGATCGAGCGCCAATACCGCAGCCGCTACCAGCCCTCTTACCAAGAGGACGTCCGCGTAGGCACTACTGTCGACGCCCACAGCTCGCACGCTTCTCGTCCCGTCTACGACGAGCAAGTCCGTATCACCGAGACTACCGTCGACGCCTCCAAGCCCCAGCCTTCCTACCACAAGGAGACCAAGGTTGTTGAGGAAACCGTTGAGTATCCTCGCTCATTCCACTCCGGCGCTCAAAAGTCTAGAATGGGATATTACGACGAAGACGGTATGTCAATGGCCTGCGACCCCCCTACCGAGACCCATGTCAGCTAACTCGTGTCCCAGGCCACTACCACAGTTTCCGCCACGGTCTTCACAAGATGGCCGACAAAGTTTTCCACCACCACCACGACCACGTCGAGACTCGTGCTCCCCGTGTTGTGTCGTCGGAGCCGGCGGCTATCCCCAACACCGTCACCATCCCCTGCCACCACATCCGCATGGGCGACATCCTGATGCTCCAGGGCCGCCCTTGCCAGGTCATCCGCATCTCTACCTCGGCTGCCACCGGCCAGCACCGTTACCTCGGTGTCGACCTGTTCACCAAGCAGCTGCATGAGGAGTCGTCCTTCGTCTCCAACCCTGCCCCCAGCGTCGTCGTCCAGACCATGCTCGGCCCCGTCTTCAAGCAGTACCGTGTCCTCGACATCCAGGATGGCTCCGTCGTCGCCATGACCGAGACTGGTGACGTCAAGACCGGCGTCCCCGTCACTGACCAGTCTGGCCTCTGGAGCCGCCTGTCCAAGTCCTTCGAGTCTGGCCGCGGCAGCGTCCGTGTCCTCGTCCTCAACGACGGTGGCCGCGAGCTTGTCGTCGATGTCAAGACCATCCACGCTTCCAGCCTCTAAATGTGCAATACGCCTATAGTTACGATGTACGGATTATAAACGGAGTCAAATCACTTTGCATTATCACATAGGGTCATTTATCTTGCACATGAACCGGGCGGGTGAGCTTTGGTGCCGCACATGACTGGGTGTCGCGATCGATCTCTCGAGCTTGGAAAAATCGATGTCGGGTTTTCAGTAGATAGTATCTCTGTAGATGACTGGTAATGAGATTTTGGGTTGTTTACGATTAGCACTCCGTATTTCGCTTTGTGACTGCCGCCGTGTGTTGATGCTGCAGAGAAGAGAGCTCCGAGGTGGTTGATACCGGTACCGTAGATCCGGTGTCGCTCGCGTGGCCATAGCTCCATCAAGGTCCTCAGAGCTGAGACCCAGCCGCCTTTGACGCTCGTCCTGGTACCATGGCCAGCCAATCAAGACAAAGACGCCCCGCCTCCAGTGTCGATGGCGCCACTCACGCGCATCTGATAAGTCCGAAGCATGGGCTTATCTACCTGCTGCACTGGGACACTTGGGGGGAGTCACGAGTCTCATGGCCTTCCAGTTGACTGCTTGATATATAGCTCTTGCATCTTCATATAGTTCTGCAGACATAGTGGCTCGCTGGGCGTCTGTCTGCTTAAACCCTATACTATAGCGACTTTTTCATCTTATCTATACTCTATCAACAGTCTCCGCTCTTGATTAAGCTACGACTGACTATAGCCATGGGTGGTTCTCAGTCCACTGTGTCGCCGGAGACGGCCATGCATGAGAAGGCGGTTCTCGAGAGACTTCGCTCTTTCCAGATGAGCGACGAGTCTCCGGAGGACGACTTTGTCCACGTCCAAGACGAGAAGAGGCCCGATGTGCGTCTGTCTCGCGAGGCTGAGGGTTTGCCTGTGCAGCTCATGAGCTCGTGGCAGAGCAGGCTGCTCGAAGACCCCAAGAACAGGTTGGTTTCCCCCGGTGTCGCATCATAAGCGGTATTCGATGCTCACATCGGCTCTCGTCCGCCAGGCTGGCCCTCTCGGCTCTCAGCTCGGCCAACCCCCAGGAAGTCCTGTCCCAGCGGGCGACGCAGATCGCCGACCAGCAGGTCTTCAACATCCAGATCCCGTTCGAGGGCGCGCCCATCACGAACCAGCGCTCGTCGGGCCGCTGCTGGCTCTTCGCGTCGACCAACGTCTTCCGCGTTGCCCTGATGCGCAAGTACAACCTGTCGTCGTTCGAGCTGTCGCAGGCCTACCTCTTCTTCTGGGACAAGCTCGAGAAGTCGAACTACTTCCTGGAGACCATCATCGAGACCGCCGACGAGGATCTGGACAGCAGGCTGGTCCAGCGCGTGCTTGCTGACCCGGTGAGCGACGGCGGGCAGTGGGACATGGTCTATAACCTGGTGGAGAAATACGGTCTTGTTCCGCAGGCTCTAGTAAGTCCTATACCATTCCCATGCTATATTAATATTATTATTATTATTGCGTTAAATACAATGTACGTAGCTAACGTATCCATAATAGTACCCAGATAGCTGGAATGCCATGAACAGCAGCAAAATCAACTACATCGTAGTGGCCAAGCTGCGCGAGTACGCCATCGTGCTGCGCAAGCTGCTCAAGTCGGCGTCCACCACGGCGGCCACCCTCTCGGGAGCGAAGCAGAAGATGATGCGCGAGATCCACCTCATCCTAACGTTGACCCTCGGGCCGCCACCCAGCTCGACGGAGAGGTTCAACTGGAACTTCCTCGACAAGAACGGCAAGGCCCGCAGCGTGTCCCTGACGCCGCTCGAGTTCGCCCGCGACATCTCCTCCCCGGAGTTCCGCATCACGAACTCGGCCATCGCGGGCATGGTGTCGCTGGTGCACGACCCGCGGCACGCGCCGCTGAGCCTGATGACGGTGGACCGGCTGGGCAACATCGTTGGCGGGCGCGGGGTCACGTACATCAACGTGGCGATGCCGGTGCTCAAGCAGGCGTGCGTGTCGATGCTCAAGGCCGGGGTGCCCGTCTTCTTCGGGTCCGACGTGGGCAAGTTCAGCAACTCGGCGGCCGGCATCATGGACCTGGCGCTGATCGACTACGAGCTGGGCTTCAACGTCGACATGCTGGGCCTGGGCAAGGCCGAGCGCCTCCAGGTCGGCGAGAGCGCCATGACCCACGCCATGGTGCTCACCGCCGTCCACGTCGACCCCCACGGCGCCCCCCTGCGCTGGCGCGTCCAGAACAGCTGGGGCGAGGCCGCCGGCGACAAGGGCTGGTTCGTCATGAGCGACCGCTGGATGGACGAGTTCGTCTACCAGGCCGTCGTCGACCCGCGCTTCCTGCTCAAGGAGGTCCGCGACGTGCTCAAGAAGGAGCCCATCGTCCTGCCCCTTTGGGACCCGATGGGCTCGTTGGCTTGAGGGGGAGATGTGGGATGGCGCAGAATGAGCTTATGAGGGGCGATTTCTGATGATATTGATTCCATGATGAGCAACTATAATAGCACCCTGTCCCACAGACGACCTACCTACAGTAGGCAAATTTGTATTTTCTCGCAATCATTCGATAGGTTCATGCCACTTTTGGTCCATCCTAACCTATGAGTCTTGTTGGGCTCCTTGATTGCAGCTTCGTGTACCCGCGGCTCGTCCCAGGAAGCTCGATCTTGATTTGAAATAGCACAAGAGGTTTCAAGCAGAAGTTCCAGATATCATTAGCGGGTGTAGCTAGGAGGTTGTCATAGGCCAACCGAACGTAGAGTTTAACACTAGCAATCCAGTATAGTCGCACGTACGATCGTCCCATCGCTGTATTCGAGGCATAGCCCGTGGCTGTGTAGCTTTAAATAATGAAACAATTCGAGCCGGCCATATTAACCCAATGGCATTTCAGGCTCCCAGCCACGTCAATATACATCAGAAGAACTGCACCTACTCTACAATGCTTTGCTAGCCAAAGCTACCTTTGCGCGTTCATCTTCTCGAATCAAACGACGAGCTCGGGTCATAGATAATTCCACTGACATCACGAGCATTCAACATTGATCGCAGCAAGCTGCCCGAGACCAAGCCAATAATACACGATGTTCAGGCATGTCTGCCTAATAGAACGAAGGCGTCCGCAGCCTGCTGCGGTTTTCGGCCCCGCGAATAACAAGACGGGCTCTTGTTGCACAACAGCAACAATTCCAGCCACAGCCACCCTCCTCCCCCGTAACAATTAAGCAATCTACAGATGCCGCGACCATAGCAACCATACATGATGGATCTGTCATCTAATGTGTGGCAGTGCATCGCCAGCAGCCAGTCTTCGGTCCGTCCTCTACCTGTGATTGCATGTTTTCTTATTCCACTACTTGACCCCGCGCCGTCATAATCTGCTGCCATCTCTCTGCGTCTCTTCATAGCTTCAGATCATTCAGCAGCATGCAGACATTTCGATAGAACCAACATACAGATCTGGCTAGCACAATGCGGGCGTAAATTACGAGATATCGAACCCTTCTCTGGTTTGAGGGCACTATCAATTCAGTACTAGGGAAGGCCAACTCATACGATCGTTGTAGAAAGCACGGGCAGAAATACCTTATTTCGCCCAACTCACTTCCCTTGTTTGTTGGTGTCGAATGTCATGATACCTCATGACATCCACGTCTTCGATCGCTAGCATACTGGCACTGGTAAGCCACGCTCATAGAGATTTGGGTATGTAATACTAATCTCAGGCACTCTAGTGTGCCACACGGAGTGTCAAGTCATCATGAGTTCTCCTCAACCTCCAGACCAAGACACTGGATTCTGCGCCGACTGTAGAGCTTTGGATTTTCATGCTGCATTACATGCTCTCGAAGCCATTGATGAGAATAGTAAGACTCGAAGAAACGATCCAGAAAGTCTCTACTACACAGAATTCGGAAAAGGAAGAAGTGTAGTTTTGGCCGATTTAGGGATGAGATATACACAACCTCCCACCAATGGCTGCATGCTTTGCTCCCGGCTCTTCGAAACCCGAGTTCCACAATATGGCCGAACCAGGGGGCAACAGGTCGAAAATAAGCTCATGGCATTCCCTTTCTTCGACGAATGGCCTAAAAGCCAGGTTTCCCCGAGTTCCCTCGCCTCAAAAATGATCATTGTTGCTGTTATAGCCAAAGATATCGATCTCTGGGGCGCCCAACTTAGTCTATCAAATCTTGGGTATCTGGTTTTTCATCTAGACACTGCTAAGTCTCTTAATCGCACGGTCGTCAGGAGTGTACCACCGACTTTGCAGTGTGAAGAGATATTGCAGTGTTTGAACGACTGTCAGCGAACTCACTATGAATGCACACAGTCTAGACCACCGTCATCGGTTTCAAAATTGGTGGATTGCCAAGAATTAAAAGTCTGCGATGCAGAGCCTTCCCAATCATACTTTGCTCTCAGCTATGTCTGGGGCGGAGTATCAATTTGTTCGGCAGACGCGCAGGGGAGATTGCCTTCCAAATTGCCTCACACTATTCGAGACGCCATTGTTATCACAAAGCAACTTGGGTTCCGATATATTTGGATAGACCAATACTGCGTTGAACAGAATAACTCTGCACTACGACACCAGCAAATTCTTGATATGGGACAGGTTTATAACAATGCTGAGTTGACACTTGTCGCAATTGGTGGCTCAGACGCCACCCACGGCATTGATGGGGGCCTGTCACGACCAAGGCTAACGAAATCCTCCATAAAGTTGGGTGACTGGACAATTACGTTTCAGTCAGGGGATATCGGACACGCAATTGATAAGTCTGCCTGGGCAAAAAGAGGCTGGACTTACCAAGAGGCATTCCTCTCCCGCCGATTGCTATTTCTACATGGCAGCCAGGCTCTTTATCAATGCCGTGGGCTTTGCTACACTGAGTCTCTTGGAAGATGGCCGTGGCTGGCCACGAAGGCAGATCAACCCACACCGATATTGGCACCATACGCGTATCGATTCGGCCCATCTCCTGACTGCAAACATACCGGTATCCCCTCCGTAATGGAGTTAAATGGAATTCAGGACTATGGGTCGCATGTGAGCAACTTTTTGGGCAGGGATTTTACATTCCCTCAAGATGCACTCGATGCGTTTGCTGCAGTGATCGAGGAATCGAAGAAGTCATGGAAAAGATTCCCTCGGCTCGAAGAATTCCAACGGGCCCTCATCAATGGCCATTCATCACAAGATCGGAATTATGATACCAGATGTGAGGCCAGTCCATCATACCCTCAACTCCCAGCGTCATGTGGTTGTCTGTCTTCAAAGGATGGTTTGAACGGCATAAGCACGCCGACAATATGCTTCACTCAGGGAATTCCATATTTCATACTGGAAAATCCATCTCCGACTAAGCTGCATTACGGATCACTTATACAAGGGCTGATGTGGAAAAACATAACCTGCATCCGACGATATAATCAACTACCATCGTGGTCTTGGGCAGCATGGACCTTTAAACGTCCCTACCATTGGGATTGGGATTGGGATTGGGATTGGTTTTGTTTTGGAGAGTTTTACGACTGTACCATGACTTTTTCAAATGTTTATTTCCAGCAGGAAGTATCAGAAGATGCAGCAGATGCCAGTACGATGCTCACAAAGGGTACTCAGAATATGAATCCCCCCAACATACTAATTTTCGATGCATATCTTATGCCTTTGACCGCCCCTTTTCTCAATAACTGCCGTTCAAAGTTTCAGCGTTGGAAAATCAACAGACCTTCGGAAGCTACCACATATCAGTGCTATCTCGCCCATGAGGGGTACTCTGATGAAGTAGATAGGACGACCCTTCTAGATGGTGGATATTCTCTGTTACTCCTCGGAGCCGAGATTAGACCTGGAAGGCAAATCGGATCTCTTATGGTTGTACGCCATCTTCAAGATGGATATTTTGAACGCGCGGGTTGCTTGGTAGTAAAAGAAGATTTTCCTAAGGAGAAAGACAGCCCGTTTCGAAACGCTGTGCAAAGGCTGATTAATAAAGGGAACATGTCGACATATCGAATCAAGTAGCCCGCGGAACGGTGAATAGTTTGCTAAGTAGTAGTTTTTAGCATCAAATACAATCATATGTCGTCACAGATCACATAGCCGCCATTGTAGATTAACCACGCCTCCTATTTTCTAAGGTCAAGATTTGGTGATTGGCACATATCATTCGAGAATTGCCAGATAGCTTTGAGTTTTCGGACTTAGTTTGAGTTTGCACCTCATGGAAAAAGGCTCTCTTTCTTCCAATACTTCCCTTTGAGCTGACTACATGCCCGGTCGCGCATCACTTTTTTCACTAGGCATGTCGATGCACAGAAGAAATTCGTCCATCTAAACTTTTGGGGAAAAAAATAAAAATTTGCGCGAAGCATATACGATCCAAGAGTGATTTTTAGCTTCATTCCCCCCTGGTTTGGCTCTTTGTGCTATGCTCTTGGACGGTAGGTGCCACATCATTGTGATGACAGGCTGGAGCTGCTAGTTCTTGCGGTGTTCTTGCCGTTGGCCTCTTGTGGTCGACGCTCCCTTGATTTAGCTCAAGAAGGATCAAGAACAGCATTTACGAGGGATGCTTATCGTGTCAGGTACAAGTCCTGGCATTGTGTACGGGCTGACTTGAGGATTGATAAGGGAAGAATGCTGCGACAGAGCTAGATTCTGCAGGACACTTCGCACTTCAGAAATCAAGCCTCTGCAAGGGAACCGTACGACCACAGAAATTCTCGCAGAGCGGAAAAGAGGGTCGCTTAATAGGTTCCGCGTTCGAGACCATGGTAAGTATGGTAGTGTATTTGCCCGCTGACATCGCCATTACGCTTATCTGCGCTGGCAATCCGTAACTAATACCACTCTTCCAATGGTTACCTTCAGAGCCGTCTCCTCTTATTAACAACAACTGATAGTGGAAATATGGGCAAAATAGTAATGATAGCCACATAGAGACATGGTGGGTCTACGGCCAAATTGTATCAGGATTCTCCGATAGACCGTTGAAGCCCAGAAACCATTGTTCGAGTAATAGTACAGACAGCTACAAACATTATTAAGAAACTAGCAGTAAGTGTAGATTGTCAAGATGTGTCTGATGCTTACAGGGTCAATTACAGGGAGGGGTATCTATGTCAATGTGGGTTGAGCACTGGAGAGTATACGGCAATACAACTCTAGTTTGGAATGGGATAGATGATGGGAGTGCTTCAAAAGTGCGAAAATACATAAAATCATAATAGTACTGATAATCATACTCATAAAGCCACTTACTTAACGTCAGATGAGGAGGAATGTGCGAGCAGAAAAGGGGGTGGGTAAACCAACGCCGTTGTGATCTTTTCCCATGCCACCAGAATGATTCTGGACAACAATTGAATCACATATGATGTAACAGCGGCTAGGAGAGAGCGTCTCTTTGTTTTTGTGGCCAGCATCGGGAGTTGACCTTTTGGCAGCGCGTCTTCATCGAAATCCCCTCATCCCGAAATGTTGGCACTCCTCTCCATCTGGCCACAGACGGCCACTACGGTGCCATGCCTTATGTCCGAGGCGGTGTGAGGGTTGTAGATGCCGAGGAAAGATCGCACGGCTCATAGCCTCTGATGGTAGAGCGTGAGGAGTTGGTTCGACTCAGCTGCAAGTCGTCGAGTCGTGTAACGATGGTGCCGCATGTGCTTACGCCCTGAATAGGCATGAGGCGTCAATGCACACGCAGGCAGAAGAAGGCGCATCGTAGTTTTGGTTCATCATGTGAGCTGTCACGGCAACGTCCTGGCTGTCAGCGGCGATCTATAGGTGTCAGAGGGTGCGTTGCTGGGGTCTACAGCCCCTGCCCCTGTCTTTTATCTTCAAACTTCCAGAAAAGGTAGGGACGCAGGCTACTGTGTACGCTACATGATCTTCAAGGTCCGACGGAGTTTGTCTTCACCGTACTTTCGGGCGGCAACACTCTTGCATCTTCATCGAATCCTCTCGTCTCGCGGCACCGAAGTGCTGCAGAAGGTGGTCAGACCACGGTGGCGACGTCTTCCTGATGAAACCTTCAGACACTTATAGCTTGGGTCATGTTCGTGCCCAATAGAACCCAAGGCAACAACTCAGAGCCGCATATGTTCTCTGTGTCGATCATACTGCACCTGTCGAGCTTGAAGTTTCCTGTATAGGGGAAACAGCTACCAATGGTCAGAACACCCGCCGCCTCGTTTATAGGGGAGTACGCCCCGGTCCGGAACTAAATGATGAAGACTCTACAACTCCGCATTAACGAGAAGTCTCACTACGAGAAAACTACATTTTCTAGTGTCAAAGACAGTTGAGACGCGATTTCTGAGTGGATTGAGATACATAGGATCCGCATCTTGCTTGGCCTGAAATATCTTCTCTTCCATCGTATCTCGGAGCCACACGCGCGAATCCGAATGGCGCTGGGCTTGGGTATCATCTCGCGGATGGCCTGTACCTTGGAGGATGACCAATGCAATTGGTCTTTGGTAGGTGTTTGCCGGGATCAACGTTCATGGCAATTACAGTAGCCGGTCGGGCACGAGGCAGGGCAACCCAGTCTACCCAACATGGTCTGGGCGTAAATCAGCCGACAAAGGCTTCTAAAACCTTTTCCACCGAGACTATTGTTTGTGACTATTGCGTTCTGGGTTGGCTGCCGCTTCTAGGCAGGGCACCTCAGTATAGTCCACATGGCCGGCTGGGAAGAGCCTAGCAGCCAGCGTAGCAGATGAGGAAATTATTATAGTCTCAACGGTTCTGTACGAAACCGGTAGGCAACGAGCAACTTGATACATAGTCTCCACGTTTTGTCTCGCCGTAGTACAGGAACGCTTGTGAATAGGCCGGCAGTAGGCCGTCAGGCCATGTCCTATGTGGGGTGAGGCAAAATTCTAGAAATCTTGCTGTGGCAGTTTCGGTGGACGCGGGCCGCGGTAACCCGCGCCAGTGAAGCTGCGATCTGCCGAGCAGGGCGCGGTCCTGACTGGGCGGTGCTGAAAGAACGCATGTCGCATGTCGATCGGCGGGAATAGAGGAGGCTGTCAATGCCTTGGCCATTGCCAATCAATTGGGCAACAAAGCGAGTATGCGGAAGTAAAGTTTCGGCTGGCGAGTCGGCAGGGTCTCGTTGTGGATCGATGTAACTGGACGACAAGCATCATTGCCAAATGGGGGTTGACAACATCACTTTTCCTTGTGTAACCAATTCATGGGCAGGTTCTTTTACCAGAGCAACAAGAAGCCCTGAGCTTGCTGGCTTGTTAGTAGAGCGGATCGACTAGCGATTAGGTTGGGCTCTAGCATCGAAGCCCAAAATGCGACTGGGGGAATAGATTTGCAACAGCGGCAATCCCAACCCATTCATCCTTGCACTTCTTTACACGCGACCAGATGGAAGATGGGGACTTCGATTGAGTGGGGGGCTTGGACACATAACAGCACCATGCACAACCGCAAGAAACGGCAGCAAACCGCCCGCCCTGGTGTGACGGAATTGATGCCACAGAAGAGGCAATGACCGGATCCCTTCGTGCCTGGAGGATTGGCCGCTGCGTGTATGCGAGTTATTAATAGGTTGAATGCCATCCGTAGCAGCAGTAGAGAAGGGATGGGCCGAGCCAACCACGTGGTCCGAGACAGTACAATGCGAACCATTCGCAGTTCATTGCACCAAGCTATCAACTAGAGCCGATGCTCTCATATGACCAGGTTGAAAGCTGACTATGGATTGTAGTCAGGAGGCTGTATGTGTGTATGTATGTAGTAAGTGAAAACGTCCCAGAAAGATATCCAGCGCTCCGCCAGCGGCCTTGCCTCTCGTCTCTGGTCACTCTTGCACGTAATTGGGTAACCACACCCGCAGAGTCATCCCGAGGCACGCATTGACATCTCGCGGCCTGAGGTGCTGGCATGATCATGATCCAGAAGAGGAACCACGAGTAGTTTTACGGGAATTACGCAGACAGACAGGCACACAAGAGGGCCAAGACAGCTGGACAGGGCAAGCAGGGCAACCCGCAAGAGCCAACAGCCAGAGTTGCAAGTCCGTATTTCGACTAACTACTGCTGATCGTCGCTGGCAGGCGGCGCGACAGAGCCCGAAGGGGGAAAGAGGCGTTGTCGCTAAGATGGTCCGCCGCGCGCTGCTCCAGCCCAGGCCCCAGGCTCACCCCTGACGGACGACGGCGCAACGGACTGACGCAACCTTCCACGGGCAGGGGATTGCACTTCGTCTGACCCGGACGTCATCGCCAATTTCTCTGGCGCCCCTCCATCCCAGAGGCTCGGGTAGCTTGTCCGTGCGACCATCTGGCCTGTGTCGTGCCCGTCTGGCCTGTCTGGCCTGTCTGGCTGTCTGGCTGTCTGGCTGTCTGGCATCGTCGTTGTGAATCCGCCCTTGTAAACCTGGGCGAAACAAACCCCGTCGTGCCCCCCTTCCCCCCACTCTCTTCGCAGACTTTCTTTGACTTGCATGATACCTACAGGCTGCACGAGAGACCTAACCTGCTCCGCGTCTGCATCTCTACCAAGCCCAAGCCGGCCGGTATCTTGCAGCGATTTTTCTCCAGAGGCCTGCTTCTAGCCCGTCTTATATGCAGAGCCTCAGCGTCGGAAGCAGCGCGAACACACCCTCACATCTCTTCTCTGGCCATTCGCTAGCTTCTGCTCTTATCGGCCCTCGTTGCTGACCAGGAGCCGACACACACAGCTGCAGCTGAGGAGGGGACGCAGGGTGCCGTGCCGGCAGGACCTCGAGAACCAGCAAACGTTGTGATCGCCGCCGTGGCGCTGCAAGAGACACAGAAAGCTGTCCAGAGCAGCCTCTCCAATCCCGCTGTCACTACATTGGAAGCCTCTTGTTGACAATTTAAGTTGACTGGACGATCTTGTTGACACGGACCCGGGGCACACGCCATCAGGCCGACACGACAACACCATCAATTTGTCTTTCGCCTACCACCCGCGCTCATCACCCCCTTTGCCTCTCGGTCGTGAGGGGTCATTTGACCAGAAAATCCCCCCAGAGATCTGAGACTTGCATTGTTCTCGTCAACAGACGGGCGGGAGCAGCGGCTGCACACATCTCGACTCCACTCCCAATTGCACTTGAGCATTCTGGACAAGGTCGCGCTTCCGGTTAGTGGCCACTATTGGAGCTGCTCGCCCATCCCGCGATCTGCGGCCCAGCTGGCATACGCAGCGGGCGCCGTGCAAGCGGCCACTCTACCCCACGATTGTCCAGGACCCTTATCGCCTCATTGGGCATTTCGTACTCAACCCGAATATTTGACCTGGGACAACTCGGGAAAAGGCACCAGCGCGTTACGGTGCAATTACACAACTAGCTCTCCGAGCTGCATCACGGCGACAAGTTGCGAGCCCAAGGCCTCCACGCGAACGTAGACATCTCGGCGCTTTCAAGCTCGGTCGGCCTGTCTTCTTTTCGCCCCCACTGGGAGAATCTTCCATCTTACGCACATATATAATCATACTTGGCTGTATTATCGCCCTCGAAAGATCCCGGATATCCCACTCTCGGGCAAGCTACCCGATCTCCAGCCAGTCTCTGCTTATTGTCACACCTCGAAAATCCTCCTAGTCTCGTCCGAGTATCATCCCATCAACGACCCCTCTACAGTTAACACACACAACATGTACGAGCACCCAATGTCTGACCCTCGGTACCGGTATAACTCAGGGCGTCGCTCCCCTACGTTCAACCCGGCAAGGGCTTCCTTGCCTATCGGCGTCGGGTACGGCGCTTCGTATACCGGAGATATCCATGCTGTTCCGACCGCTCGCTACGATGCGACTATTCCTCGGCGACAGGGCGAGGGTCACCACCGGGCGCCGACTACCACGACTATCACGACATACAACGTCACGAAAGAGCCTCTTACTCGAAACGCCAGCACCCGTGATCAGAGCCGGACACGACATCGGTCATCCACCATCGATACAGGCTCCGTGAAGCCCATCATCGTCACTACGAACCACTCCCGCCCTCATGATTCCGGGACATCGCACAGGTCTCGCAGACCGGAAAGTCCAAACAGAGATCCTTACCGATCCAGTGAGGAGACATACTACAGCCAACCGGCATCATCCATTCGGGCACGGAGCCACAACAGACACCATAGTGCGAGCATTGACAACGACGAGTTCTACCGAGCGAGGGAACGGTTAGGAGGCGATGATCGTCTCCGCGCACCAGCCCGACCGCATAGTCGCGGCTCCATGTACGTCAATACTCCAAAGGGTAGCATTGCCGACTTTGCGGTCGACGATTACGAGTACACGAAACCGAGCGATCTGGCAAGGTATGATCTGGATCACGACCGGCCGCGAAGCCGTAGCAGGCGCGATAGTTTCGACCGTGGAGCGAATTACTACCGCCCATCTGTCGTTGTGAGCAACGATATTGGTGGCCGTCCTGATGGAAGACGGGCCCCTCCAACATCCGGTGCTCTTGACCGATACAACAAGCATGCCGCGTCTGGTATATATGATCGCCCTGCACTTGCTATGCCTGCATTGCCTGCAGCGCCTATCCCACCACCGCCCATCGACCCTGCCCGCCGGTCAGGCACTCTTGATGTACCGGCCAGTCCAACTATTGACCGCCGGAGCTCGCGACCGCGACCTGTATCACTTTATCAGGATGCTCCTCCCCGCATGGGCCAATTGGATGATATGTTCCGTCCTCGGGATGACGAAAGGATACACAGGGACCACCGACGGGATCGCGGTGACGAGTTTGCGCGTGATGATACCATTGCATCGCGCGGCTTCGGGCTGCGTCCCGAACTGATGGACCACGCAGAAAGCCGGCGGCCTGTCGAACCAGAGCGGCGGGATCTCGAGGATCGTCGTCCACGCAGAGACGAGTCTCGCGAACCAAAGCGTAGATCGGACGAGGACCTGGATAAGCTTCGCGGCCGTCATGAACGAAGACCGTCTGAGCTTAGAGATCGGCCAGCTCGGGTTGAGGAGAGCCGAGACCGGAAAGAGAGCAAGGGAGAGAAGGTGCGCGACAAGGTTGTTGCCGGCCTTGGCGTTGCGGCTGCCGCCATTGGCCTCGGTGCTCCCAAAGACAAGGAAGAGGATCGAGATGCGAAAATCTCCCCACGGCGGCATAGAGACTCTGATCTCGAACATGAAGCTCTCGGCTCCCGTGCTGCTGAACGCTACAAACCACGCGAGACAGATAATGAGCGCAAGTCACCACCACGCGAGGAACCAATTGTTGTAGAGTCACGACGCGACGCGCCGAGAGATAAGGTCAGCCCAAGAGACGAGTCTACCTCTCGTGAACGTGAAAGAGAAAGGGAGAAGGCAAAGGAGCGAGACCGTGACCATGACCGGGAACGCGAGAGGCAACGCAATAGGCGAGACGCAGACCTTCAGTCCAGCAGGCCCAAGGATGGCGGAAAAGATAACTCTGACCATTCAGACGACTCCGCCGGAGGCACCAGTCGGCGACGCCGTCGTGCTTCGACTGCGTTCAACCCGAATGATACCAAGGGTTTGATGGATCTCAAAGCTCTACTAGCTGCCATGGATGATAACGGCAAGCCAAGAGAAAAGGACAGGTCTACACCGAAGGATCGCACAGAAGCTACCAACAACGCTTCCACTGCGGCGTCGTCTGCTTCTGAGAAGCAAGCCGTTTCAAGGCGGGACCTCGACCGGGCGCGAGACGAATCAAGAGGTCGAGAAATGGCTGCCGAGGCTGAGCAAAAACAGGTTCGCGTTGTATCACCACCCCGGGACAAGGGGGACTCAAGACCCATCAAGGGTATACTGAAGCAACCCACCTCTCAGTTCCCTGAGGATACGAATCCTGTTCGCGAAGGCGTTGCTCCTCACAAGGACGACAAGACCAAGAAGGATGTGCCTTCTGGTGCTCGCTGGACCAAGATCAACCGACGTGTCATTAACCCGGAGGCATTGACCATTGGCAAAGAAAGATTTGAGGTCAGAGATGACTTCGTGATTGTCCTTCGTGTCTTGAGCAAGGAGGAGATTCAGGCATATGCCACGGCTACTGCTCAGTTGCGAGGTAAGCACAGTCGCTATGAATAATTATCGAGAGCGGACACTAATTCATCAGCAGAAATGCGGCGAAAGGAGTTCGAGCAAGAACATGGTGGTGATCGAGAACAGGAGGACCGTGGGCGCGACCGTGACGATGAGGAGCGACGTCGTCGCCACCGGCGTCGCGATGAGGAGGAGCGGGAACGCCGTGACCGGGAGGCTGACCGGGACCGTCACCGTCGGCATCGCCAGGATGACACGCAAGAAAATGACCGTCCGCGAGCCATTGAGTACGATGACGGCAGCCGCCATCTTCCCCATCGCTCGCACCGCGACAGGGACTTGGAGACAATCGCTAGCAGCACCGATGACAGGCGATGAGGTGTTGGCCTGATTTGACCCTTTCTTGTCTTAGCCTTAAATTTTGGGTTGTTGTTTCCGGTGATATAGAGGAGTTGGCAAATTATCGGACCGAGATACCAAAGCATGTACGAGGGAGTTTATATAGCAAAGCATTGGAAAGCGAGCGAGCTCGGCGGGACTTCATGTAAATCATGTCACAGGGGTTTTTCGTCTCTGTATGATATCGGCAAAAAAAATCTTTTCAAACACGATTATATCTATGAAACAGTGCACTTGTGACTTCAATACGGTGGGCTGGTTGCGTCGAGATATCGATATTATTAGAGTTTCAGCACGATGCCAGGGCATCGTAAACCTTTCGTCGGTTTCTGGTCTGACGCTTGGTGCATTGGAGAACACCGCCAGCCAGGGCCTGACCTCGAGCGTCGAAGGTGGGCAAACTGCGTTTCCTTGCGGCAGCGCGTGTCATCTCAGCAGTCTCCTCTGGCTCTCCCGGCCTGATGTTTCCATACTGCGCATTCCGCTGCCGTGAGCAAGCCCGCGTCAAGCCGGGGCTGGACGAACTCGCCCACGAACTCAACATGCGGGCGCTCTCTGCATGTGGCCGGTGCAACCTGCAGCAGAGTGTTTGCTACCTGGCATGTGACCCACGGCCTCATTTGCCATTCTCTTGCAGGTTGCAAGGCTTGTTCTGGTTGTTTCCTGGTGACCACGTGTAGGCTCACCCAGCACAGGGCTGTCCATTCATTTCTATTTAGCGATACATGAGGCTTTTGTAAACTGGAACAAGCGATTGCTCACCCTGCTAAGGAGCAGGTGACGTTGAGCGCGTGACGTACTGACAGCCATACGTGACTACAGGGCAGTAGTGAAGAGATAGGGACGTGTTCTGGCTACACAATGATCTTGATATGGGTATTGTCCCGAGGTACGCAGATCTGGCCTTGAGATGATATTGGCTGCCACGATGTCTTGATATTGAGAGACATCTAGATCCAGACTCAAGCCGAACAATCACCCTTCCGCGGATGATGCTTCCGTATTGATATGTGGCCAGGACAAAGTCATGACTTATCATAAGTTCACACTCTTGAATGTTATAACCTGGGGGTATGTTTTTTGCAGTATTCACATCACAAGGCCTGCTTTTTTGGTGCATCTGCCGCTGCATTGGTATAAGCGACCGGCGGACTACGTTCTCATGAGAACTGTGCTAGGCTAAGCCATAAATCTCCAGAATATTTCGTTACTTTCTTTTGACCTGATCCCAACAGATTCCTCGGTTTCTCGGTTTCTCGGTTTCTCGTTGCTACCGCGATTGCCGCCGGCGTGGAGGTGTCCTGTATCGACCCCAGCACTATACTGACGGCTAAGTCTGCAACCTGATTGGTCGTATTGCACGGAACCGTACCAAATAGGTAATCGCTGTCGAGGAAGTAACCAGCACGACCACTTGTTTCCCCAATAGAAAGTCAAGTTGGGACTCTCCGTGAAACTCTATCTTCCCGGCTGGAACTGGCAAGAACTGACGCTTGAACTGGTTGTCCTGCTAACAGTGTATCATTCAGAGACTGTGCCGCACTCATACGTCAAAGTCAACACACCACAACACCATTCGGTGTTTACGCGATCACTTATTGGGGCACTTGCGATACTTGGCCCTCTCAATTTAGGTAGGTGTTTCGCTTTATTAAGTCAAGGGCGGCTCAGAATGGATATATTCACGTACTCCTGGGCAATTTGGGGGCAGGTTGTTGCAAGTTTGACCATAGACAAGCGGTGGTTGCCTAATCAACGGTTTCGACCTCAGGTGTAATCACGGATCAGCAAAGGACACTGAAGTGCTATAAGTATGCCGCGAACAGCATTTGAAAATGTGCAAGTGCATACCACTGCACTCATCTACTCAGCTCTTCACACATCAGGATTACCGACCTCAAGACTGCTTATCCACAAGAATCTTCAGCAATGGTAGCAACTACGTTATCCCTGGAGCCCGTCTCCTTTTCTTCATCTGTGAACAACGATATAGCCTTCTCCTTCCGTGTAGCCTCGGAGTTGCCACCGCGAGAGAAGCCGCTCGATGTTGCCACTTCCTTGCAGTTCGAGTTCATGAATAGCGAGCACGAAGTGTTCGCCGAACGACTTACGGCGCGGGATGTTGTGATCAATGAGGACGGACTCCGTCACGTACAACTTTCTGGTGCACATGTGCCCAGATTTCAGAACTCTGTCAACGACACAACAGTGATTCTTCACGCTTGGAAAGGCCAGAAATGGTTAGGGAAGTGGGAGCTTGGTACCCTGTGAGGGATGTGCTGGGTATTGGGCGAGGGAACACTCCATCAAGGAGAAGTTATCTATCTCTACTCGCACTCTTCCCAGCGAACCGAGATGGACGTATATGTCCAGGTTGACAACATTGTATCTCAAGATGGTCTATTGGATTGTTGTAGGCAGCTTCGCGTTTACAAGGGAAGGGCGACTTCAACATGGCAGGATAGCTTTGGTTTCTCGGAGAGCGACGACGTTGAGAGGGGCAATAGCGTCTATAATATTTAGAGTTCTGGTTTTCACGCCTCAGGAGCTAGAACCAGACAGTGTCTCAAATTGGATGGCATAGATCAAACTGTCTCTCTGCCTCGTGGAAACGTGCCCAAATTTCCGGGAAGCGGGATGCGACTGAGACCTGCCTCATGCTGGCTGTCTCAAAGAATTGGCTATCCTTTAGCGATTGCCAACCAAAACCGCGTCTGACGCGTGTGTGTACCCTGTTGATTTGTTTTTGAAAACACCGCTCTCGCGTGCAAGGCAGGACATGGGATTGCAGGCAACTAACTACATATGCGAGTTCATGCTGGTTCCTACGGACAGGTGTCATAAGCTGGGAAAAGGAAAGCTCACGAGTGTTGTGATGTGGTGTATGAGCAAGTTCAGCAGATGATGTAACTCAGTCGACTTATACAGTCTCCGCCCATTTCACAGTTCAAGGCTTTAACGCCGACTACGTACCCCTAAAGACAGAGACCACTCATCGTGCAACGTGGGCGGTGAACCCGCCTGACCAGACACTCACATTTCTAATCCCGAATACGTCTTGCGCCACCTTTCTATCTCTCCTCTCCGTCGCATCAAGCTTGGAAGGCTGTCTCCCGAATGCAAGTGAGCCTTGGCCTTGTCTACTTGATGGCTAGCGTGCTGGCGGGCACACCCATCTGCTTCTACAACCCGCGTAGTTCCCGGTGACAGTGTTGGTGAGGCTGGTGTTTCCAGGCGTGAGTCCAGTTTCGTCGTATACTTTCGGCATGCCCGAAGTATGCAAGCTCTACTAGAATTGCAGACCGGTCAAAGAAACCCCCATTTCTTTACGATTCATGCCGGCGTAATATTCCGCCCGACTCTGCAATCTCATTAATCATCAGTCTTGAACTGGGACCATTGCGATGTCACGATCGCCATGTTTCACATCGCGGTCTATTTCAAGATACATTTTCATCTCATCACTTTGCAACTTCCGTACTACAATCACTTACCCTTTTTGTCTGCTCCTCTTGAAGCCCAAACTTAGCCTCTCACCCCCACAACGGAAGAAAGATGCCTGCTTGCTGTGTGGGCATCTAGCCCTTGTCATTTACCCTACCCCTTGTGCCCCTTGCCAGCCTGCCATGCGGTACCCATACTTCTCAACGGCGGGCCTAAGCTCACTCACCCCTGAGTCCTGCACATACGCCATACCATAGTACAAGATCCCAACAAGCTGGCAAGCCCGGCCCCATGGTTCGAAATAATCAAGCCAAGGGTATTCTCCAGAGGTGGACATGCCTTGCACAGACTTGTGCATCCAAACATCGTGGCAGACATGGGCTTATCCATGCACAAATATGCACCATCAACGCACTACACATCTGTCTCCATGGGATAAAAGCAACATCATGAGTTTGAGAGCAGCCCCAAGGTTCTGACTTCATTTCTACTGCAGGAACGCTCTTCTCCCGATGCAACCTCGTGGTTATATCCCAAACGTGCAAGTCGAGCGCGTCATGCGCAGAGCCATTGTTCAACGCGTCGTGCCACAGGGGATCACGGAAGGCTGGACCCGGGAGGGGCGTCGAGCTATCGCGACGAGTATCGTTCCTTTTTACAGCTTAGCATCCTTTGGAGGTACCTGGCTTTTCGTAGGTATCATGGTGCATCCGGATGTATATATGAAGCACTAGGCAATAGAGGGCAGTGCCCCATCAAGCAAGCAGCGCCTGTTAGAGAATAGATTGGTCCACACCAGAACGCGCGAGCGAATGGAACGACACTGGAAACAAAGACTGTCAGAAGTCGCAAGGGCTGAGCACCAGATTCAAGGGAGCTCCTCTCCCCCACTGGGAAATAGATGGAGAAGCAGCTGCAAGACCCAGGGGGGAGCCCGGCCGAGGGAGGGATATTGCGCCTCTGCTGCGCTTGGGTCGTACTGCTGCTGCAGCGAGCGCTGCAAGCGCAACCCGCGGTAGCAGTGCTGACGATGGCGAGCCCGTCCTGCTGGGCAAACAAGATTCCCTTGCTCGCTTGATGCAAGGTTCAGGAGGATCTCTCATGGGAACACTGGGATGGTTCCCCGCGCTGACGTGGTGCCAGGCCCCCCTGCGATTTGCCATGGTGTGATTTCCCAGGCAAGGTACTTTTCTTCGCACGCCTCCTCCCGGCTCTTGATTGTGAGCAGGGGGGCTGGTCAGGGCAGAGCTATGGATGTGAGGCCGGGCCACCCGGCCCTGGCCTGGAGCGTGTGCGACCATCCTCGTTCCTCTTACCAAGATGTCAGGGTGGGTGGTTCATGATCAGATAAATCGACGAGAGGCGTGTAGCAGTATGCCAAATCTTTATGGCTATGCACGAAGAGAGTCATTCATTAAGCTTACCGTGGTTTCGTGGATCTGTTTCGAAGACTCCCAATCTGTGTCGTGCGCATAATGTCCAACTGATAACCGACATTAAGTTTGTTACGCGAGGCGGAGAATTATTTCTGATATCCAGTCTTTGTTTCCATACCCTCTTGGAGAACGAGCCTTGGGACCCACGCAACGGTATTGCAAGGGTGTCATTTTCAGTGGTACGGTATTTTTGAGAGAGAGGTCTAGAATCACAAATGGCCACATGAGATGAGATAGGAACACTTCCGCAAAACTCACGTCTTCAATAGCGGAGCCTTGAGACCGGAGATAATGTTTCAAATCATCTGAAAACAGGTTTCGGACGAATCTCCGGCATGATCACGCTTTGATCGGCTGTTCTGTCACTTCAAGTCACTACCAAGTGGAAAGATAGGGAGAGTAGAGACTCATCAAAACGAACGTACAATCTATAGTTATGGATGGCTGTTTGCTTGTCTAACCCTATGTTTCAAGCGAAGTCTATTTCCAAGACATCTGCATTAAACTTTAGTGCAACAGAATACTGCAACTGTCAGACCTAAAGTTGAAGGCGCTGTGGAAATGAGCACAATATTTTCTCTTCTTTATTTGTTAACGAGTCTAGCGATTCAGAGCAACGACCTCTAAGCTGGTAAGAGTCATGGATGGGGATACAATCCCCTGTCGATATTGTCATATACGACTTGCAATCCTGTGAAGTAGGCAAAAACACCGGTCCACGGCAGTGTCCGTTAATCGCATGATAGCCTACCCAAGCGACATGCAGGTAACTTGCTCGATCTGCGCGTAGTCTCACTTGAATTAGGCGACTGCATCTGCCATGGCGCTCCCGACTTATCGGATTGCATCCTTGAACCTGCGGTGAAGGATGTTCAACGAGAAGAGTGGAAGTCGGCCTTTGCTTTTCCCTGTCAGATCCGCCGGGGTGGTTGGATGCACGACAGCATTGTGAGGGCTGTTGTACCCGTCCGCTTTTGGCCCATTGCTTTTGGGGGCTTTGCTTTGGCGGCGCGAAGCGCGTCGACGTGGTCGTTAAGCGCAGTCGAGCCGTCGGTTCTCATAGCACAACTCACCCATATCTTGAGGTCTATCTCCAAATCGCTGGAACGGCAGAGGTGCAGATGGATATAGGGAATCCCTGGACTGTTTAAGCTCAAAACCCCAGTCTGTCACAGGGTAGGCCCTGTTTGCAAGATCTATCTGGATAGCCAACCTAGCCAAATCTCCCAAGCGTCAGGATATAACTAAAGTGCTCCTTTGGACAGTATCAACAGCGTGATAATCGTCGCAAATCACATTTTATACACCGGATGTCGATCTTGAATGTCAGTCGCGAGTGTTGATCTTGCAGAGCCTCAGGAATGTGTTCTTCCAATCAGACTGCTGGGTCCGTTCGATAGCAGGGGTTAATGGTCAATCCAGAAACAAAATGTTGATCGATGCCTGCACCTAATTGTTATATAATGCCAATACATGACAGAGACGAAGGACCAACTACCTACAACAGGTACCAATCGGTGGAACAAAGAAGAGGCGGGATGTTTGTAGTAATGTAAATGATCGCAATTACCGACATCTACAATGTACGTACGCTGGCTTTCGAGCATCCACAGTGTTGGTGTACAGTAGTCTAGAACAAGCTGACGAGATCCACCAGCCTCAAAATCTCCGTGGCTGCATACGATTTTTGAGGGCGCGCGAAATTGTCCATGTCCACATGCCGGGAGATTACGTGGGGTGGCCATGAGAAAGACAGTGCCGACCAGTGCTTTTGGCTTCCAGTTCCACATTTGAAAAATGAAAGCGGACTGATTGTAGCCCGAATTCCCAAATCGGTTCATCGGCTCATGTGGTGTCGTGTCGGAGAGGGACAGAGGAGCTAGAGGCAGCCTCTAATACCGGCACGCTGCCGCGGGGTGCAGGAATTTCCTTGGAACGACAGGAGACATTGCCTCTTTCTGAAATACGCCCGAGACTTGGAACACGCAGAAGACGTAAGTACGATATCAAAGCAGTCGAGGCTTTTCTTGAAGCAGAAGATCATACCCGTATCGAGTGGACCTGCCATTTACTATGTCGTTTAAAATCACAGAATCCCATCTGATGTCTCTAAGCGAGGCACAGCTGTCATAGGGATATCCATGCCAGAGAATACTCTCCGTAGGAGGCTGTGGGGCCCAATTGGCTTGGGCACGAGAACAATGACACCACTTTCGCAGCGGCCTAAACGGTTTTCACTTTAGTAGCATATGCCAGCTGTCTAGTGAAGAGCTTCTATCCCTGGAAAGCCTTATTCCAATTAAGACTCTGACTGAGGCTGTCGTTGCAATCAACCGTATTCGATGTGGTGAAATGAACACGTAATCCCCACGAAGCCCTCAAAACTCTGAG